GTTTGTCTATGTATGTTTGTCTATTATTTTAATCGTGTATGTTCTATCATATCTGTCAGTTTGAAAGATATCTGCCAAAAGATTATCTATTTCCAAGATATTAGGTCAATATTAAATCTTACAATTAGCATGTAACATCAATAATTAATATTGGTATTGGCATTGGTACCAATAATAATAATTAATTGTTGATATTCACATTGAAAATTTAATAGATTTTATAAATATTCATTTGTTTTTGAAAGAAATGTACTTGTTTTTCAATTGAAAGAAATGTTGAACAAATTTTTCCATGAAAAAATATTTCTTGCGATAAAAACCAGGATACTGTTGTAGGAAAACAAGTTTCGTAACGGTGGTATATGTATGTTCCTCAGCTCGTTTCCGAAATTTCTTTGGTGATCTGGCGAGTATCAAGGTCTAAAGCGTAAACAATTCGATTAGGTCAAGATTCACCTGACCGATTTTATGGGGCGAAAAAAATACTTCTTATTTATTATCCTTCCCTTAATCTGGTTTATATTCGGACGAAACTAATTTTTCATTCCATTCTTTTTCCTTATTTTTATTAGTAACGCAATGATTAATTATGAGTAACTGTAATGTGACGATCATGTTAATTAAAAAATTTACCTCTATCGATAGACATAGGAATCGGCATCGATGCGACGAGAGAGCGGATATCAGTGGCAGTGATATCGTAGACTCGAACGAGCCTCCTTGTCGACTTCCTCCTCCTCCTCCTCCTCTTCTTCTTCTTCTTCTTCTTCTTCCTCTTCTTCCTCGTCCTCCTCGTCGTCGTCTTCAGGACGAGGCACGGATCTAGTGGTCATCTCCGTCTTACCCAGGCTCGCAAGTTCATCCTTATCACACCCGATATCACCTACCCTCCTCAAAAATAAACGTATTATCAATATATTATCCATTAACCAGAGCGAAACGCGAAACGCGAAACGCGAAACGATGATTTCTATTTATACACCTCTAGAACAGCCGCGGATGGAGTAATGCAACCCTGGTGAGGGATATCAAGAATTTTCAAATTCCTACCCGCTGCTTGAATTTTAAAACTTTCTTAGAATTGTTACAACTCGAAGAGCTTTACTCTGAATTATTCAACCGGCATAAATCTAAGGGAATGCAAAAGTTTCCAACTTTCTGAAGACCCTATTCTGGAAGACTGACTATGTACCGGTATGAAGTTACAATATTTCTTAATTACTCGATTCAAATAAAAATTGTAAAATAATATAGTAAGAATAATTTTTTTTTTTTTTTTTTTTGTTAATTTCTTAAACGAATAATCAAAATACTCGTTTTATTTTTCTAATTTTATATAAAGTTAAAATGTTTCTCGACGAAAGAAAATTCTAGACAGAATAAATTTTACATTTTGTTGATTCTTTAGGATATTTGAACAAAGTTATCGTGACAAAGACGTAGTTTGCCTAGTGTATATCGTTAATAAGAAGGACACCAGTAGTGCACTGAGAAGTGAATACCTCCGCACTCTAGAGCACTCGAGAGGAGGCCAAGAGCCCTGAAAGGTATCACTGCTAATTTCTTTTAAAGAGAAACACGTCCTCGGTTCACCGACGGGTCTCTGATGTTGATAATATTTTTCTGCTGAAACACCTATTTTCATCTAGGTCTTGCTCTCTATCCTGGCATGCATCACTTCCCGCTTATGTCTATCTTATTTATTTATCTATGTATGTAAGATAATTTGAAAAATATTCACAACTATCTCATATGTATAAAATTGAAGTTGAAATTTTCCAAATGTTGTAAATTAAACAATTACAGAATGAATCTATTATTAGGTTATGTAGAAAAACAACACTTACATTATATCAATTCCAAGATTAAAGCTCTGTCAACAAACCATTCATCATTTCATTTGTACACGTCTTATTATAAACAGTTTTAAATCTTTCGGTTCCTACATTTCGTAGGTAATAAATAAATATTACCAACATTTGTAAATGCTATAAATTAGTATAATTATTTATATTTCCGTGTTATAAATACCGTAAATATTTGCTGAAGGTGAAAATATGAAAGTGACTTATTGTACGCCGCGAGTTACGATACATAGACGATATATCGAATTCGATAATAATCGAATAATTAACAGTCAAACGGTAGTGCGCCAAAACCGCGACAATTTGACTTGAATTTCATATTTTACTTTATTATTACTTTCCGAATTTTACAAAAATTAAAAGAAAACAATTGTTTCTTAATGTTAATAATATTTTACATAGTATTCTAAATAATTATAATCATATATGGTCATTTTCATTGTACCTAACTTAACCCAAAGTAATAGATATTCTTCGGAAAGTTAATTAAAAATTCGTATCAATATACTATAAAACTCACCTCAAATTTCACGAAGTGCCTTTTGTCTTCATCATTGAGGAGGCAATAGTCTCCAGAGGATGTATCTTCGTTTTTGACTTGATCTTTTCAGGAAGCTCCTTGAATGAACATTTTTGCAATGTTTGCAAGTGCATATTACTATTTTCTCAAACTATTCAGCTAACATTTCTCATCACATGTCAATCGTCACTAATTATCTTCTTCTCATTAAAACCACTGGATCGGTCTGAAGAAACGAATGTTATTTGGAACATCTTCGTACGAAACACTTAATTCCGTCTTTGATCTTCGTCCTTCACTTATGCGTTTCCTAAACTTTCATATTAATTAATCTCGGCCACGTTGCAATGTGTAAAATATTACTCGACACGTTCGTGTATCGGCAGAAAGTTTCGGAACAATTGCAAACAGGATGAATATGATATAATAATTCCTGAACTAGTTAATATAATTACAAATACACGTTTCTATAATACCACTGCCGTAAATAGGGCAGGCCTGCCCACCACCCTCTGAAAAAGGTGTCCACTGGGTGCCACACAATTTCTAAATTTTAAGATTCTAAAATTCCAAAATTTCAGTGTCGTTTCACATTCGTACAGTATCGTCGACTTATTAAATTTAGTTATTAAATTTCATTGTTTATACCGTTAACGAATAAAATATTGAGAATCGTTAATATTAAGAGTGGACTAACGATTCGGTTTCCAATAAACTGATTTCCGAATTAACAAGCAACGGCTTTAATAAGGTTTCGAATATTACAGTAGATAATAATATCTATTAGCCGATATGTAAGATTTGCGGATCCCAAGTGGAAGTCAACAATTGCATTCAAATTACACTTTCTCCGTGTTATAGATAAATAAATGTTCGCCTTTCCGTGCGACATGTATATACGATCATTTTCAAGATAATATCTCAACGCTCTATTCAGTGGCGTAACTATTTCTTTAGAAATTTTTGAAATCTGAAATTCTATAATTTTGGAATATTAAAAATTCAAGCTCACCCTGATCCTTTCATAATTACATCAGTGGTCACTCCCTAACCCTCGAAACACACTATTATTTAAAAGAAAAAGATAATTAACATGAATATCATGCATTTAATATGTTAATCAAATTGTCATATAAATTGACATATGAAACCAATTTTCAATTTGTTAGCCGCGGTTAAGAGGGCATTAGCATGATATTTTATTCTAGTTGCGTACAGAAAGTCGCACTATATGTATGTATGTATGTATGTACATATATGTATTATACGAGGTTAGAAAAGAAAATTAGTATGCAAATCTTTATAAGCAAAATATTCCAGAAACATTTAGTAGTTTGTTATGCGCGTCGTATTCCACTTCGATAATCAATAACTCAAAAAAATCGCGACCATATGTCATATGGAGATACGATGAATCTCCAAGCGATCTCCGACCTTGGGTGAAAATTTCATTTTTGGTGGTAACACATCTCTAAAAACACCCTGATTCGTCTCTACATAGGTAAATACATATAGATGCACATATAAACTTCATAATTATGTATCTTATGTATACACGTATTTTCATTGGAGAAAATAATACAGAACAAAATGGTAACAATAATTAAAGTCATTCAATGTTTTCTAAGAAAATTTAAAATTGAAAATTGAAAATTAAAAAACTGATGAAACGAACACTTAAAATTCTGCTTTGTATTTTAACATTTACAGAACATATCTATCGGTTCAATGTTGATTTAATTGTGTACAGGTTACCATTTTATTTCAAACTACCCTTACACAATCAAAATTTCTCACAGAAATAATTATTTTAATATTTATTCCACATTCATAATACGTTCAAGAATTCATTGTTTACTGGGGTATTATTTTAATCAAAATATACATATAAACATATTCGTGTACTAATGACATTTGAAATAGACAGAGATCTAATATCTATTATCCCAATATTTTTATCAGAAATTAATAAGCTTTTAGTTATGATACCGTATTTTTAGACAATAAATGCTATCTAATATGCACAATGTACATACATTATGTGTACATACATATTAACTACATATATGTACACTTCCATTTGACATGTATATACATACCTTGTAGTACATGTACATGGATAAACATTCGTTTGCAATGATGTTTTGCACAATCACAAATGAAATCACGCACAAGAATATTACGAGTGAAATACAGATTGGATGACAGAAAAGAAGAAAAAAAAGATTAAACACTTACACTTCACATATTTACGGCACGAGCTCGCGCGGTCGACTAATACATACGTCAGAAGGCATGCGTTACCCTGACGGCTGGCTTTCCCCCACTCATTCGCTTCCCCCACCACGAAAGCTCATCCCCACTCCTAACAAGATGTGTGTTTGAATTACTAAAAATAGACAAACTGGCTTTTATATACGATTATTGTACAAATAATAAAAATATTGTAATAATAATAATGCTAATTGTGATTGTAATCGAATAAATATCAACTATTATTCATACTAAATAAATATAATTAATAAAAATGATAATAGAGTTCTAAAATGTTACTAAATCATTAACATTTTTAATATTTTTAATAAATATTAATAAATATCCGTTTGCAATTTTCCTAACGTTGTATAAATTTAATTTATTTTTATACATATCTCTAACTTTTGTTAACATAACCTTTTTTTCAAAACAATTTGCTACGGGATTGTCATTCTTTGCGTGGATCCATATGTATTATTATGTGTAAAATATAATATTTGTAAAATCACCCATATACCACACAAAAAATGTATAAATAAATTACTACATGTTACATAAAGAGATAAAAACTAATAATAAAAAGAATTTTATTTTTCCTATAATTTCTACAATGTTCATTGCTATTTAAAAAAGATCAACTCAAAAGACATGTATATACATAAATAATCTTGATAAAAGTTTATACAAGTACTAAATTTATGCAAAATGAATGAAGATTTATTTAAACGAATAAAAACCAGATTAAAATTGGAACATTATTTAATGAATGATGAATGGTTAAAAGATTGCACTGAATTCTACATAAATCAACATGAAAATGTAAATAATGGTTTGCAATTTTTACTTGATTTAAAAATTTACTCGAGTTCATAAAATGTCAAGATTTTTTGCAAATTACATGCTGATCAATTTTTCTTTTATATGATTTAATTATGCCTTCTTTTTAGCCAAGCACAGAAGAAATTTTGCAATTTGTAAAAGTACAATGGCAACTTAGTGATTTACGAGAAATTAATAATGAAAATGGAAGTCTGCCACCTAACATTTCACAACACAAGTTCATTGTATTAACTGAAAATTATATTCTCCAGGTACATAGATTTTTACTAGACTCTTTACTAGATGAATACAAATTGTTCTTATTTATAAATAACACTTATTAAATGGTGTTACTAATCTAGGTGGAACAAATGTATGATATTACAAAATCAAAATATAAACAGTTAGAACAGATAAGAAATACTAATATTTCTGAAGTTGAACCTTCTGAATCAGAGAGATTAGATAAGTGGAAATACCCTAAGAAAAGAATGATGCAATTACGATTAACTGATGGAGTACAAGATATCATTGGAATTGAATATAATCACATACCTTGGTTAAATGTATGATAAATGTATACTGATACATATACCAAAACATTTGAAGAATATTAATGTTTCTTTTCTTTTTTTTCAAAGGATACGTTGCTTCCAGGATACAAAGTTATGGTAATAGGGCCAGTAAAATGTCGTAAAGGTGTATTATTACTAGAAGAAGGAAAATTCAAAGGAACTGGTGGAGAAGTAGACAGTTTGTTAATTCCTAATGCTCTGGAAAATATCTTAGCCAGAGCTCTGTAAGTATAATTCGAAAATCAAATGGAGTTATATATCAGGATATAATTAAAAATTATACTTTTTTATACAGGAATTTAAAAGAAAATCCTGATCCTTATAATGACAAAGAATCAAAGTCAAATGTTGCCAAACCTGAAGAGCCAAAAATAGATGAAAGTTTCTTTGAAGATTTTGAAATAAATTTAGAAGAGGTTTCAGAAATTGAGCATTTACACAACAGTAATAATAAACAATCTAACGTTAATACTATTCGAACGTCAAATAAATCAAGAAATGTTGCAAACTATAGTACTAATACCAGGACAGATATCCAAACGTTTGTTAAATCAACAATCCAAACAAATCCAAACGTTTCAGATATTCAAACATTTGAAGAAGAAAAAGTATTAGATGATGATGATTGTTTTTTGGAAATGGTGCATAATCTATTGTATTTCTTTAATGTTTAATTTTTAAATTTAATGAATAAGTTTAAAGTGTTGCTTAATAAACTTAATTAATTTACTAAAAATACAGGTCGATGAAGCACAATTTCTAGAACCGCAGTCGAAACAGGAATATATTGCAACTCCCTTTAGAGCGTTACCTAAAGAAGAAGGCGATGACATTATAATAATCGATGAAAACGATACAGTTGAAGATATTTCTACATCACCAAAATATGACCAATTACAACGTACTTCAAGAAACGAGAAGCAAATTTCACATTCAAGTCGTGAATCGCTAGTTAATAAAAATAATACATCAACTACTATGTTACAGTCTGCAGTAGGCAAAACACAAAGAGAATCATTGGTAATTGGAACAAAGAGGACTGTAAGTTATTAGAGAGCAAAATCAATTTTAAATAATCAGAAATATCAATTGATGATAAACGAAATTAAATATTCTCCTAGATTCCAATGTGTTCTGAAACAAAAACTGTGAAAAAAGGTAAAATGGAAAGAACAATTACACAATTTATAAGACCACAAATTCCAGAAATACCGCAAATTTGTGAATTTATTCAGGATATAAATCGTGCATTAATAACAAAAACAACTTTTAAAACAATTCGGGGACATGTTGAAGCTTTGGGAAAATTGACAAAAACAGATTCAAGGTGGATTTTAGAATGTACAATAGGAGATGGTAGTGGAACAATGGAAGTATCTTTTTCAAATAAGGTAATTAATTATAGAATATTATTATAATTTATTTATATCCAACTGTTTTTCTAGCAAAAAGAGCGTTATTTAAATTAAAATTATTAAACTTACATAATTTCAGGTCTTGGAAGAGTTGTTAGGTTTCACTGTTCAGGAATTTTCAGTAAAAAAGAAATTGAAGAAAAATCCAGAAATTGAACATCAACTTAGAATGGTAGTTAAATTAAATTTCTTTTTTTTTTCCTCAAAAAATAATAGAATTTGATACAAGTGTAATTTCTGTTTCATAAAAATATAAATATTTCAGATCTTCCGTAATGCAGAACATAAAATCAAAACTATGGATGCCCTTTTAGAACTAGAATTAAATACAAATATGAAACCAACAGTAATTAAAATTACTGATTTAACTCAGGAACAAAAAGAAATAATAGATAAAAGACTGAAAAACTTTTTATCTGAAAAATAGTATTTCAATTAATTTAAATTGTATAATATATATAATAAGAATATGATAAAGATGTTTATATTAAATTTGTAAATATAATAAATAATTTTGTATCGTTTGTACCGTTTTGTATGTATAAATTTCTATACCTACAACACTTTGATGATTATAATTTGAAACCTGAATGAATAGCAACTACTCCTGAAGTTAAATTCTGATATGTTACATTTCTAAAACCTGCTTCTTCAATCATCTCCTAAAATAAGTAATATTGATATTAGAGTATGAAATATAATATAATTTATATAATTCACCTTAAAATCTTCTTGTTTAGGAAATTTCCGAATACTTTCAACAAGATATTGATAGGCTTGCCATTCTCCTGCTATTAGTGTACCCAATACAGGTATTATTTGAAATGAATATTGGTCATAAATCCTACACAAAAATGTTTTCTTGTACATTTATATTAAAGATACAACTCTTTATATGATAGAAACATTTTAATTTAAAAATAAATGATTACCATCTGAGAAGATTATTATTTACATGGCTAAACTCTAAACACATAAAACGACCACCTGGAGTAAGTACCCGATATGCTTCTGAAAGAACCTAAATGTTTTTTTTATAAAAGATTAGATTTTATAGTAGTTTAATTTATTTAACTTCAACATAATGAAACAAAATTTAATTTACCTTATCAATATGTGTTACATTTCTTATTCCAAAAGCTATTGTATAAGCTGTATACACATCACTATTAAAAGGAAGCTTTTCAGCATCACATTGCTTCCAATCAATTTCAATATTATCTTGACCTATCCAACCTTGTTTTTCAGCTCTAACTTTTCCAACTTTTAACATATTCTCATTTATATCACAAACTGTTACAGAACTTTTTAAGTTTTGAGGATTCGGACTATTCTTCAAGTAATTTAAATATCTAAATGTTATATCTCCTGTCCCGCCAGCTGAATCTAATAATTTACTTCCATGAGTTGGTCCAAGTTTCTGAATAAATATATCTTTCCAAATACGATGAATTCCTAAACTCATTGCATCGTTCATTTGGTCGTAGGAATCTGCTACTTTTTCAAACACGGTATACACTAAAAAAATTAATTTACAAAGATCAGAAACAAAATAAAAATTAATTATGGAATTATATGATAATTATATTTTTATAGAAAATAAAATAAATTGTTTATAATACATTTTGTAAAAGCACAAATACTGCTTGAATAAATTATTAGACTATAGAAACACACCTTCTTTCATTTTATCAACTTCTTTAACAGTTTTAAAACCAAAATGAGTTGTTTTTTCATTATCATTAACAGTAGTTGCTTCTGAGAAGTATTTTTCAAATAGAAAGGTTGTTTTTCTATTTCTCATTAAATTTGAAAGAAATCTTCTTCTTATAATCATTTTGAAGTAACTTGGTAGTGTTAATTGAGACTAATTATGAAACATTAATAAAAGATTAATTATTCCTTTCCAACTGCATGTTGCAGGTTATCTCTGAATACATTGTATTTATATACATATTATGTAAATACATATATTTGTTTACATAATATGACGTATTTTTAGTAATTGATATCTAAAAAAACAATAAATTTTTAACAGAAAATTAATGATATGAGTTTGTGCAATAAATATGGAAAAATCAAAAAATATATATTTATATTAGCTATAAAATAATTTTTTATATACTTAAAAATTATTAATACAATAGACAAATATATAAATGTATTTTGAAAGATAATATAATTTACATATGTCAATTATTTCTTCAATAGTTTATATTTTTATCTTTTCTTGTAAAATTACCAGTAAGTTTGGGATTATTTAAAAATGTGTAAAGTTATTTTAAATCAATAATAAATTGACAAGTGTTAATGTAATTAAATTTTACTTGAAATGAAAATATTTTATTATAATTAGTCGTTGCGTTGATTACAAACGCGATAAATTCAAATATTCTGTCGCTCAACTGCGTAAAATCAATAGTTTATTTTCCGTCGTTGGAGAACCTGCGTAATACCTGTTGATTTTTCCTCAAAACGTTGTAAGAAATTGTCAGGTAATGCAACAAATTTTGTATGTTACGAACTACCATTTAGTTTTCATCCTTTAATTGAATCAATGTATGCTTAATTTTTTTTTAAGTTTAACGCTATTAATATCTTGTGGTATTTCAACTGACGTTTGAAATATCATTACTCTATAGTACAATCACTTAACACTTGTTGAATTTATTAATAGAACCAAAGTTTAGATAATAAGGGAAATTTGTAGATATTTATTAAATATATATACTATTGTATGTACATACATTCATGCATGACTCTAAGAAAAAAAATCTAAATATAAAATATAATTAATTAGTAATATTTTTTAATTGATATCATTTATATAAATAGTATATTGTGTAACATATTCATTCCTGTAGTTGTTTATATACATAGCAGGCTGATATTTAAATGTCAAAGCAAAAAAAGGAAAGGAGGTAATGCTACCATATGTTAAATGCTCTATATAGTACTGCTTGATAAAATGTATTAAATGTTGTAATTTATTATATATTCATGTGTCTTTTATTTGTTAATCACATTATGTAGCTTATCAATTAATTTTTCATTGTTTGTTGTTAAATTAATTTTTTATACTTACTAAAGGTCAAGAACTGTATTAAAGTATAAGAATGTTTAGATGATTTATTTGTACATATATGAAGAATCACTTTATAGTAGAATTATGCCAACAAATTATCCATATGAGTATCAAATATGTTTAGGTATGTTATTTTTTTTTATTTTTTAATGTTAAATATTATGGTAAATGAAAACTTGTTGATTCAAATGATTATATATATATATATAAAACAAATGATTTTATGTTAATTTCATTATTTTGCAATTCTATGCTTAATCCCATATTGAATGAAACTTTAAGAAATTAACAAAATAATTTTCAGACATGGAACAAATTGGAGAACCACGCCAGTCCCTGGAAGGGTTTAAACCACTAACAATTATAATGGAAGTTATTGGAACAACCCTGGTAATTCTGGTTGCAATTTGGTGTGGTAGTTATAGAGGTGGTTTCTCTTGGAGATCTAATCCATCATTAGAATTCAATTGGCATCCTTTGTTAATGACTATTGGATTTGTTTTCTTATATGCCAATGGTATATTCAACAATTTAAATAAAATTAATTAAAAAATGAAACTTTCATTAATTTATTTTAATTTTTTTTTAGGTATGTTAATATATAGAACCCAAAGAAATACCAGGAAAAGGCGACTAAAACTGGTTCATGGTGGTATAATGTTATTCACTGTTGTATTAGTAGTGATTGCTCTTGTGGCTGTGTTTGATAGTCATAATTTAAATGCAGAGCCAATTCCTAATATGTACAGTCTCCATAGCTGGGTTGGACTTACCAGTGTTATTTTATTTTGCTGCCAGGTACAAAGAAAATACTTAAATATATAACAACAAGAATAAACAATATTTTTTAATTTCAATTAAAACTTTAGACACACACATATCATATACTTACTTCTACTTGTTAAAGTAAAAAATATTAATGTGTTATAATTATTTCAGTGGCTTGCCGGATTTTTGTCCTTCTTTTACCCAGGCTTACAACTTCCATTAAGAACCTCTTACATGCCTATTCATGTATACTTTGGTATTGCTGGATTTGTTGGTGTAATTGCTTCCTGTCTTCTAGGACTTAATGAAAAAGCAATTTTTTCTTTGAAGTAAGTAAATGTTTCCAATATACATGTAGTGCACAAATCTGTAACTTTATATATAACTATAATATTCCATTTCAGAGGCAATTACTCAAAACTTGTTGATGAAGCAGTATTAATTAATGTGATTGGACTCCTGTTAGTTCTTTTTGGAGGAGTATCAGTCTATCTTGTAACACAGGAACGCTATAAACGTTATCCTAGACCTGAAGATGAATCATTAGTCGCTGGTAACAGTCAGTAAATGTCAGAAAATACTGTTAGTTTTCTGTAAAGCTAAGTGCAGCTTGCGTTTGAATACTATGTGTACAATTTTTTAATTTGTAAAACATAGTTCAAATCTGGTCCTTTTATTAATTATGGCGCTATGGTTGATATTTTATTTGAAATAAGAACCTTACCAATTCTTGGTAATATTAAGGATCTCATATTTTTTAATATTAATATTGTTTTTACTTTAACTGTTTTCATAATAAACTTTAAATACTACAATTATAAAACTGGGCTATATATGATTGTAGCATATAAAATGTTAATAATATTATCTTATTTTGATGTATATGTGCAATGTTTAAACCATATATTACAATGTATGTAAAAAGTGTGTATTTCACAAATATATTTACAATTTATTTCATCTCTTTATCACAGTTTTATCTTTTGCAATAATAAAGGAAAAGCAACGAGTCAAATTTTTTAATTCTATAAACAAATTCCTTTTTTCATCTCAAAGAATATTTTTTTTTAAATGTGTGGGTAGAAGGTTATTATCAGCTTGAGAACCCATTTGAAGTTTTAAATATTTCCGCGTTTTGCTAATTCCAATATTGCGCAGTAAAGCCATATTCGTTGATTTTATATTTCTAGGTTGCGTGCATACATATGTATATGTATGCGTATGGATTGGTGCACTATATTGCATTGGGCGTAGTAATAAAAGCGGTAATCCACCCTCGAGGACTAGCGTCCTCAAGCGTCTATCTCGACGAACATTGTACGTTCAATGGTTAATCAAATTCCTGTTCCTCAAGCAAAATATGAATTGTTAACTGACGTTAGACAGTGAGTTGCATTTTTTACTTTTTGAGCAATTATACCTACACTTATATATCAATTACACGATTGTTAAATACATTCAACTTATTACTGCACGTTTATACATATGTATAATATATTTAAATATTCATTTTCAATTACTTATAGTTATTCTAAAGATTTTCAATATTAAGTAACATATGTTTATTTTATTTTTTAGGTGAGCAAGTACTTTTATATGTATATGTATATGTACATTATAATTCAATGGCATTTAATAATTAGTGCTACTAATATTGATACATATTTTAAAATTATCTTAAAAGTTATAAATAGATATCATATCGGTAGCGAAAATAATAGAGTAGAACTGATAAGCTTGTTATTTCTAATAATTTTGAACACTCTTAATTTGTTTATACAGTTGTTAAAAATTTCAAAAATATAAATTGTTTTCCATTGTATGCTTTTTTTAGTTAACTTAATATGACATAAAGCTATTAATTGCTTTGTTATTCACTTAAATATTTATTTGGTCTTTGATTTAGATGTTCATGCTTATTATTTTAAATATAAAATTATTGTTGTAATATTTACATAAAAAAAGATTGTACGTAAAATAATCAGAAAACAATTGCTTTATCTAAAAATAGTTTTAGATATCTTTGAATATTTTGTGTATTGTTTTCTTGTTATTTTTGTTTTAAAGTTCTTTTTCTCTAATATATACCTATTTCTTTGTGTGCTGAAATGTATGAGTAAGTATGTACCTAAGTGTATGTCAAAACTTACAGGTGTGGTTATTGATTGTTCTATATTTACTATGATGTAGGCAGCCTTCTTGATTTAAGGTAGACATAAATGTACATACAACATGTAGTCACAACTTTTATATAAATTTATAAAATTTATATACACATTTTTAATTAATTAAAGTTGAATTCATATTAATTACTATATGAGCTACTTATTTACCAAATCATTAATTACACAGAACAAAAAGTAGAAAGTTAAAAAAGTGGAGTTAATCACTTTTGCTTGCGAATGGATCGCAAGTTCATATTAAATAAATGTATCAATATTATAATTACATACTTGAAACGTTTGTTTTAGACCTCGTTGGAAATCACAAATCTTGTGCCTCTTACTAGTGTCTCTGGTATTTGCAATTCTCTTTGTATCACGTGCCTGGATAGGAATTGTCATTCTCCGCTCTCCAAGAGCTGAAACTTTTGATACAGAGACATTAGTAGACAATGCCAAGATTGCTACGTGGTTACGTCGGGCTCGGATGTACGCCGAGTCGACGAAGGAGAACCAGAATGCGGACAGGAACAACAGTATCAGTTCGCCACAACGCTACAGCACCAACTCCTCAGGGTAATCTATCAAAAAATACCACTGACTTTTTACACGTTGAAATATAGTTTTATAGAGAGTAATGTCTTCTTACATAGGCAGATCCTTGTCTGTTATTACACCATACAGAGCAACCTGAACACGTTCTGGGAGCTCAGTCCGTCGCACGTTGACCCTAATCTTTGTACGCATATTATCGTGGGTTTTGCGAGCGTGGTGAACTGCAGTCTCGATCTGGGCAGTAATTCATCAATTTACAAGGATATTCTTGCCTTGAAAAAGCTGCAACCTGAATTAAGGGTCATGATCAGTGCTGGTGGCAGTAATGAGCTCCACTTAGGTTTCTCAGAAATGGTAAAAAATCATCTTAATAGGAAAAGGTAATTTCTATTACTTTGTATCTTATTTAAAACTCCAGTACACTGATATAACTGCTTTTCAATTACAGATTTATAAAGTCAGTATTAAACGTAACAAAAACATTTGGCTTTGATGGATTAGACTTAGATTGGGAATTTCCAGCATGGCTTGGAGCTGATGATAGAGAAAAGATTCATTTCATACAACTATTAGAAGAATTGCGAAAAGAATTTTACCGAGCCAAAGAATCATTAATTCTTTCTGTTGCAGTAGCTGCTCCACAGGCTATTGTTGATCAAAGCTATGATGTTGTAGAGATGGCAAAGTAAGCACATAATACATCACGTATTTTTTATTAGTAGTATAATCAATCATTTTTTCTTTAGGTATGTAGATTTTGTGAACTTAATGTCATATGATTACCATTTTTATGTTTGGTATTATCCAATAACTGATCTCAATGCACCACTATATCCACGCCTTGCTGAGTCTGGGTATCTTTCCACTTTGAATGTTAACTTCTCCACCCAATATTGGCTTTCCAAAGGCATGCCCAGAGAAAAGTTGATCATTGGAATTCCTACTTATGGTCATTCCTATAGGCTGGATAATCCACTGAATCATGGTTTACTTGCCCCTGCAAATGGGTTTGGTAAACTAGGCAAAACGGGTTTTGTTTCTTATTATACTGTATGCCAGTTTCTTCACGATGGTGCGAAGATGGTTTTTGATGATGAAAGCAAAGTTCCCTATGCATATAAAGACAGAGAATGGATATCATATGATGATGTTACAAGCGTTTATTACAAGGTATGTATGTATATTTTTCTTTTATATAAATTAAATTATATACTGCATTCTTGAATATATTTTTAGGCGGAATGGATTCGTGCAAATAATTTTGGAGGGGCAATGATACTATCCTTAAATGTTGATGACTGGAATAATACGTGTAAATTCAATGAAACGTTTCCTTTAACCCGTACTGTTACCAAAGTTCTCAGGTATCGAGAATATTAATGGTTGTATTATTTAATTGTTCACCTACATTCCTGTAAACGTTGCATTTTCAGAAAAATATGCAGTTAACTTTTAGTATATTGTATATGTATTTGTATTTATAAGTCCTAAAGGTTTTTGCAATATAAAATGCTTTAGATTATTGAAAATCTAGTGCAAAGTTTCAATTTCAAATAATAAACATGTTAAATTAATTCTTTTAAATTAAAAGTAAGTTAATTAAATACACCTCTATCAGAACACTAATTGAAAATAACCAAAATAAATCTCTCTAAAAATATAATTATTATCATAAATAAAATATATTATAGTTCTCCTATCTTAATATCTGTTAAATAGTTACACGATAGTATGAAAGAAAGACATAGTGATATACAAGAATTAAATGAAAATTATGAATTAAAATAAAATTTTCAATGTTTGTTTAGAGTTTTGTAAATTGGAACAATTTTTATTTAATTTCAATATAAAAAAAGACTATAGTTTCAATATTAGTAACAACCGAAAACTTTTTCTTTTTCAAAATAATTGCAGTCATTAAAATTTGTTATATTGTGGTAAATCAAAAAAAGCTGTACATAAACAAATTTATTGTACTTAATTTAAAAATATAATGTACTTCAATGAAGATAAAACTGATTATTTTCATTTAAATATTGCAACAAAACTAAGAAAAATTAATTTATTATGATAAAGGTAAATTTAACACAATGCAAGTGTATATATACATATATGATATAATAGAGCATATTTACTAATAGTTAAGATAAAAAAAAAAAAAAAGAAATTATAATAAAATAAACGTTGTTCTTAGTTTTACTGCGATAAAGGTAAACAAAATGAGAAATAGTTTAAGCGCGAAGATTTCGTCCATATTCAAATCAAATTTTTGATCAACTATTTTATTTTTTTCACTTTACTATGTATATCTTTTGTGAAAGATTCCATGTAATAAAAAGATTAATAAAATACCATTAAATTCCTTATAAACGCCTCAATGGTTATTCTTTATACTTTACAACAACGACTTTCAAAATGAAATACATATATTACTCGAACATTATTACATATAAAAACAGAAAAAAAAATTATGTGCACAATGCAAATATAAAATTATAACTGCTTATGTATATTTCCATAGACGAATATTGATGGTATGAGCATGATATTTGTTTTAAAGAATAAATACTACAATTGGCAAGTTATTTTACTATTCAGTTGTTCAGCAATACTTGCGTTGTGATGGTCGTTGTTGGAATCATGTTAGCACTGCATCGTCTTATGAACTTCAATCAATACAACTTGCATTAATTGCAATATAAACGTGGTTAAATTTGACACATTTAAAAAGCTACTGATTTCTTGGAAGTGCTGATAATTGAATAGATCGAATATTAAAATCTGTTCAGTCGTATATCAAACACATTAACAACACTTCGTAATAAGATTCTTTTACATCTCATAGATGTACATTACTCTAATACATATGTATATATATATATACATAAGAATATTTAAGATAGCAACCTCAAACCAAAATTTAATAAACAGGGAATTCAATAATAGAGAGAATAAATGATATAAAATTTGCAAAAATGTTAATAACCATCTGCATGTATTTAGGCGACTAGAAAAGGAAATAGGAAATAAGAATATGGGATGAAAAGGTCGCTACATGAAATCATCATATTCATCGTAAACATAGTCGCCATATTCGCTCAAAAGAGTATTGTCCCCCTCAATTTTCAGTTTTGCCTTTCCCTTGCCTTTGTTCTTTTTCGCCTTCTCGCCTTTCTCAATCTTCTGTTTTTCAATTAACAAATTATCAATCATTGTTTTTACTTTCTTCAAATGCATCGAGGGTACTGTAAACGAGATTTACATTTTATGCTAAAGAATTTCTATATATCGCTCTATTATTACTATGTATACATTTTTCTAAATTTTTAATTTATTCTATTAGAATATAACATACTTACAATTAAGAGCAACGCATTTAATAAGTTCTTCTGCAAATGGAGGAAATTCAGCACTTTTAGCAAGTTGGTTTAACTTCTGTGTAAGTACACTTCCATACTGTTCAAATTCTTCTTTTGTGTTAGGCACTGTAGTGTCCAGGCTCAACACAGACTCTTCTGTGACACCTAAAATTAAAAAAAAAGCTAATCAAAACTACTGATAAATTTATTTCATTAGAAGAATATTAGAGATTGTAGATTTGATTGATTAGATAATCTTGCAAAAGTTCTTAATGAAAGAAAACGTACAATCTCACTCAATCATTAAAATTCAATAACTATTAATTACTTATTTCTTTTTTCTTATATCATTCTAGTATTATACATAATTACATTTTAAATTACTGCTTTTGCATTTCATATATAAAATTGTAGTACTATTTTTTCTATTTCACAATATTTAACATTGTAATGAACAAGTAATTTAAAAGTCTAATGTAGAAATTGTATTAACAGCATACAAAAGTAAATTATACATTACTTTAATATATTAAACAAAATATGAATTTTTAAAATGAAAATTAAATATTTATCAGGAACGATACAGGAGATCAATGTTGATAAATAAGACACTTCTGCATTGTTTTTTCATGAAAGAGAAATGTTTATTTTTTACACAATGACAATTTTATATTTTCCCTCAAAGGTAATATTAGCTTGTTTAAATACATCTTTACATCTCTAGTACAGTTCCTGACACAAAATCAATTTTTTTTCAATTGCACTGCAAATAAAAAATTATCAGTGTATGACTTTAAAATTTAAACGTTTTTTCATTTATATAGCAATAGTATTTAAAATTGAAGTGAAGTCTTTTTAATGTATAAAAGTTATTCAAAAATTTGTAGAATTGCTATAACTATATAAATTCATATAAAAAAATATTTTGTCGTCTTTTTAAAATCAAGAGAAAGATTCTTTGTGAATTTAATGTTGATTGTAGAAAGTTATTTCCTTAATTGGAATGCATTTAAAAATTACAAAATAATCCAGTTCAAATTTTTACACTAATGGTACCCAATACTTATGATTAGATTTTATTTTAATTTATGAAAGACAATGCTTTAAAAAATAATTAAGCCATTAAAAACTTGTTTTAAGGCATAAATAATAAATCAACCCTTTGCAATCCAATTATAGTTTTTTAAATAAATACAACTTTCAGATCCTTGTTTCCTTTTAAATCATAATTGTATAAAAGAATAAAAACGACTTTAAAAACATAAAATTAAAAAAGTTTAAAACTTCAATAATTTCACATAACTAAAACTTAAATAAAATATCAATTAAATTAAAAATTTAGATACTACAAATAATTATAATTAAATAAGATTGGAATAAATTAATAATGAATTTTGTACTTTGATTTATATTCCAGTAATTTAATTTTTTTATTATAATTTAATAACGTGCTAATCTTATGAAAAAACATGACAATCGTTATGTTTGCAAAAATTAAGAAAAAAACTTCGAAAATCAATGATTAATAAATTAATACATATTCTTTGATATCTTGTAAGTAAAATACTAATTTTAATACTTTCAAAGGTAGTATCTCTTTGTCTAATAAAATGTTAACTAAATTAGTTACATAATTTTCTGAAGGTGATATTGAATAAAAAATAGGAGCGCAAAGAGTTAATAAATAAAAAATTTTAGCGAAGTCATTTCCTCTCGGTTCTGTGCGGCTTGCGATGAGAAAAATCAACAAGGTTGGACAAACCAAAAGTCTCCATAGCAAGACGTAGATCGGCTTCCTCTTGAAGCCTCTGACGTCTCAATTGTTCTGCTCTCCTCTCCTCTGGTGTCAATGCCTCTTCCTTTTCTTTAGCTTTTCTTTCTGCTTCTGCTCTCGCTTTTTTCTACATTTAAAAAAAGAAGAAAAACAAAACATAGATATTAATTTTATAATCAGACATTATATGTATAAGTACTACTCAAATGTAAAAAGTTAATAACAAAATGGATCTAATAAACATTGAACAAACGGATAACTAAATGCTTTAGTTAAATATTACAATACTCAATTATTAATATTAAATTAGTAACATGAAAGAATATTTAAACTGTAAATATACCTCACGTTCTTCAATTCTTTCTGCCAAAGCTTTCCTTGGCTTTGGCTTAGCCTTAGGCACCTCAGCGGGTTTTTCTACATCTTTCTTCTCTTCTTCGACATCTTCCCAGCTATCCTATTAATTGAATTTCTTTCTTCAAAATATTGTTTAACAAATATAAATAATAAAAAATTTATTAATACTTAATCTTTTAAACTAACTATAGTTTAAAGATTTAATTTCAATATATGAAATATCATTATATTGTATATACATATACATATAAATATAAATTTCAAATTAAATTTCATTGCATTAAATTTAATTTTAATATCAATCTCAACTACAGTTTTGACTTAATTAAAATAAAATAGCAAGCTTCAAGTTTCTTCAACAGTAATCAATTGTCGTGCTATTAGTCTCGTGTTGACTTACTCCATGAAAGGTTAAGCATACTGCAATCTCATTGATATAATACAAGATTTTTAAAATATTGATTACAAATAAAAATAGGAAATTAATAAAGATAGAACCTTGACGTCTTCATCTTCATCTTCACCCTCCCACTTGTTGGATCTGATAGCCAGGTCGAATTTCGCCTCTGCGTTTTCGACATCTGTAAAGTTGAAGGTTAAAATCATTTCGTTACCACGAACTCAAGTGCGATGATACTGTAATTAAGATGTTTGTCAATTTATTTCAGCGTACCCCATTCGTCATCCATGATGAATTCTGGATTATTTGCGCACGATTTGGTTCGTAAACGAAAGAAAACCTCTACGAATTAACGTGGTCGAACGGATCACGACTGGAATCGAGCGAGCCATACTGCGCGAGAAAAGCGTGTGCCTTCCTTGCAAGATAGTGGTGGTGTAACTTATATTATACGTTTCAAAGATAGGATACTCTATATTTAAAATAAGTATTAAAGACTTGTTTCAAAATCTTGATTTAAAAATCTATCATCTTTTGAAAGTGGACCAGAGAGAACAATATACTAAACTAAATTAAACTAACTTTGAAATGGAACATTATTCAATTAAATTCTAATAACCAATAAAAATATGAATAAGAAATTATTCATAAAAACTTTATAGAATGTATTATGCTTATATGAATATACTTCTTTTATACTATGAAATTTAAAATGTTAATATCATAAAGAAAGAGAAGACAACTTTGTTTATATTTATTCATAAAATCCTTATACTATTTAATTGTAGTCTATTAAACACTACTACTATATAATGTATTGCAATTGATTGCAATATTTTCTCTTATGACATTGTTATGTTGCAGAAATTTTATATAATCATTATTTGAAATCTGCATATTATACCTATTTATGTATTATATTACAGTAAAAGCGTAAAGTTTAGTTAATTACAGATGGCGTGAATTGCAGTTTATAAATCACTCATGATTTTTCACAGTGATTTGTGATCCTTCGTGATCGCTTCTGATTGGTGGAAAGCATAATTGTTCTTTTCATACGAACTCCGAATTCCGCATCGGTAAAACAGGCCATGTTTGATCGAAAATTAAGGCGATGCTAGCGTGGAGGCCGAACTTCGAATTCCGCGTCGGTAAAACAGTCAACGTTTCATCGAAAATTAGGCCGAACAGAAACTGATTTCAACGCCACCTGAATTATCGCATCCAACTAACGGCATGCTTTTACTACGTTACCTTTCGCAAATACCTAAATGACACATGTATGCTATATGTATAAGTATACATATAATTAAACAATACTGGCCATGCATTCATCATTATTAATTTTCTTTCCGTAAAATTGTATTTGTAATGTGGTACACTTCAGAATCTTAAAGACATAGTTCCTGAAAAAAATATAACTGCGATTAAATAGAAAAAAAGCATTTTCGCAGCCAATTCGCTCGTATTATTTGCTGCATAATTAATAAATATACCATAGAAATAATGATACAGTTATTAATTAGTCATCAAATAATAACGATTTCCCAGGTCTCACCACGGGGAGGTTGCTGCGGGTGGAGACCCGCCTTACCTCATCCCATCCACCCTCCATTTATGCATTTTTTTATTTTTATTCAATACCATCATCCTCTTGATGTACATTTGCAAAACGTTTTTGACTGTTGTGCAAACGAACAACAAAAGGAGCATTATTTTTATTCACTACCTACCTATCTACTTATCTATACATACATATTACGATGCTCAAGAAAAAACGTTATTAAATATCAAACAGTAAATTGTGTGAAAGAATATTAAAAACGTTCAATATTGGTTAGGAAATTAACGATATAAAAGGGAAAGTAATTCAAATTCTGCTGTTCCAACCTCATTGTACAATCGCGGCAAGAGCACAAATTTTCAACTCTTGTATTTTTGAAGAAAATGCCGAATTAATATCAAAGATCAAGAATCTAGACTTCTCTTCGATGGCTTTTTCTGTTTTTTGTACTTTTAACACCCGATCGGCAATTTAATTTAATATTTGAAGATAATTTAATGTTACCTGTTGCAGACACGTGCCAAACAGACGAAGCTTCGAAGAGGACTGTTGCACTCCACCACACTCCGCGCAACGCACCCTTTAACGATGAATCTGATTGGTCCAAATAGAAGGACGCCATAATGGAATGACCAATCACAGGCATTGGTAGAAACTTCGAATTGCTTTGAAACTTTAACATTAAAAGCATGGAAAGATTCGTTGAAAATTATCAACGCCATATTGAAATATGATCAAGATTACTTTTTTCACTTTAAAGCACCGAAATATAAGAAAAAAGATAGAAAAATACATAAGATATTAATGGTTTTTAATAAATTATCATTATAAAAGCAGAATAAATGAGAAATACGTTATTTTAATTCGTATCTATATCGACAAAATAGGGTATCAATTTTCAGCTTACGCATTTCTGAAGACAATGTGGAAATGATGTCAGAAATCACGACTCCGGTCTTCTCTTCAACTTTGTTTTCTGTTTTTTGTATTTTTGATATCTAATACACAATTTAATATAATAATTACACATATTCACGTATACGAGCTGCGAATGAGCGCGTGGTCGAGCGCAGAAAACGAACGAACTGCGCCCTACTGAAAAACCGAGGAACTAAAGTTGTGGTCTGTTTTACCCAGTTTTACCTTTTTGACGTCTAAAATTCAAAATTTGTTCAAACGGTTAAGTAGAACTATGAGCAATGCAACTAATTATCCTTCTTGTATTAAAATTGTAAATATTTTACGAATAAGAAAGTTTGGTGAGTCCAACTTATTAAATCAAGTGTAATTTACAACAAAGGTTAATCTTTTCAGCCATCAACAAATGTAAAACAGAGTACGACGGTTACTATGTTTTCTCGGAATTTTGACATAAAAGAAGCATTAACATTAAACAATGAATTAATATCACTAGCAAATCAAAAATTTGGAGAAGGAAAATGGAATCATACTGTTACTAATCAGTCAATTGGTATATATTCTTATTTTTATTCATCTTTTCTTAATGTTATTAAATTTTCTTAATTATTTCAGATTTTGTTGAATCTTTTATGGGTAAATATATTTGTGGATGTGTCACATTTATTAAAATCCAGTTAAATGATGGAACATTTCATGAAGATATGGGATATTGTTATGCAGAAGGTGATATTAAAGGGTCATCAATATATTCTGCTCGAATTGTATGTTTAAAGTATTTCACTATATTATATTTCTGTATATTATAAACAATAGTTTTTCAAATATTGCATTTAGGGTTCTGTCACGGATGCCTTTAAAAAAGTATTGTCATGTTTTGGTAATGACCTAGCGCCCGAGATAGAAAAGCTATTCAAAAAGATAACAAATTTTTGTAATATCCAAAAAGAAGATTTGAAAAGTAGGATAAGTCCAGAAGAGAGGATTGAAACATTTAAACCGTGTGCTCAGTCAACTCCACTTATAAGCAATAAGAATGGAGAACATAAAGGTAAATAAAATGTTTACAGAATTTGTTATTTATAAAACCTTAACAATATAATGTGTTTATTATGTACTTTCTAGAAAATAATTGTAAGCCTAAAATTGAAAATGATCAAGAAAAGCAATCAGTAACAAGATCAAAAAGTCCTGTAGAACAAAAAGGACAAACAATGATCCAAACATTTTCAAGATTAAAAAGTTCTACTGAACAGAAAGCACAATCCATACCTGTAAAAATTACAAATAGTATAAAAGGTCAATTCCAATCTAATGACACAAATTACCAAAAGGAACAAGAACAGAAAAAACAAGATCAAACAGCGGGTAATAGATCTAGTTATAGATGCAGTAATAATGGTTGATATTAAATTGAATATAATTAATTTTAGTAATATCCGAAGAAGAATTGCTACGGTTAGAAAGAAAACGAAGACAAATTGAGAAGCAAGCTGAGTACAAAAGACTTATGAAGGAAAAAGAACAGCAGAAGTTTAATGAAAACAGGACACTTAATCCTAAGTATTAATCATTGAATCAAGGTGATACAAATATAAACTATATAAACATTAATGTATTCTAATTGTTAAATATTACTATAATTATAATCATGTATTTATATAAAAACAATATACATTTATTTACATGGAAATTTATGTTTAAAATGTTACTCTTGTCTTTTGGGTTAAAAATTAAGGTTATGAATTCCTTGAAACACATTTGAATGTATCGATCACAATTTATTTAAAAGTATTATTTTATTTTAGTAATTATAGGTTGATTTCTATAAAATATTAGAATATAAATCAAGTTTTTTAATATTGAATTAAAAACTGTTTGATATTGTTAGAACAACAACAAAAAATGGAAAGCATGAATCAATATTTTAAAAGTTATGAAGAACTTGATGTAAGTAATATAGTACTTGTTTGATTACATAGATTCAAAGAAAAGATGTAATATTTTTAATTGGAATTTATAGGTACATCAATTAATGTTAAGAGATGAAACCAGAACTCTTGCTTATAAAAATGCAATAATGAATAGCAAACACATGTTCATTAACAAAGTTGTTATGGATGTTGGTACAGGGACAGGTATGGTTTTGTAATTAACTTTAACGGACTAAAAATTACGTGAATTTTATTGGATTGGTAACTTTAATTTCAGGAATATTATCAATATTTTGTGCACAAGCAGGTGCAAAAAAGGTTTATGCAGTAGAAGCAAGTGATTTAATAAAACTTACTGAGCAAGTTATAATAGAAAACAAATTAAATAATACCATTACACTAATCCATAGCAAGGTAGAAGATATTGATCCAAATGATATAGAAAAAGTGGATGTAATAATTTCGGAATGGATGGGATTTTATCTTGTGCATGAAGGAATGTTGAATTCTGTTCTTTTTGCTAGGAATAATTTTTTAAAAGAAAATGGCACGTTGTTTCCGTGCGTTGCTAAATTATATGCATCACCATGTCAATTACCATCCATGTACGAATTTTGGAACAACGTTTATGGAGTCAGTATGAAGTAATAATCAATATTTTAGTGAAGAAAACTGAAAATTTCATTAGTACAATATTTAAAGTCTTTTTGTATTATAGATGTATTGGAGAAGAATACAGGAAAACAAGATCAATGAAACCTGAGATACTACTTGTAAATGAAAAAGATCTTTTAGCTGGAGGTAAATTGTTGGCCTGGTTGGATCTACAATGCATCAGTTTGGAAGAGTTAGATCAACTTGGGGGAGAAGAATACGTTTCTGTCTGTAACAAAGATGGAAGATATCAAGGGATTTGTATTTGGTTTGATGTTGAATTTCCAGATGGATCAGAATTATCTACAAGCCCTTTTTATAAAGCTACTCACTGGAAACAAACTGCTATTGTATTACCTACAGATATAGAAGTAACAAAGGATGAACCTATTGCATTTAAATTAGAGCTAACTAAAAGCAATACTAATCCTAGGCAATATAACATAGAATTGTTACTTTTGGATTCATTTGAAGTTGAACATGAAGTTCCTTGTTCTTGTCACATGACAAAATGCATTGTTATGAAAACATATATAGAAGAAGAACATAATGGATCTGGTGATGAAGATTTAGAAAAGAAGTGATCATTTTTTAAGCTGTTATATTTCATGTAATTTTTTTATTATAAATATACATATACATGTAAACGTAGACACATGCCATGTGCAATAAACCTAAAGGCGAATTTTGTAGAGCATTATGGCTAATTTACATGTAATGATTGCTACATCAACTGACATTCCGACGGATTTTTATGCAATAATAAACAGTTTCATAGAAATGTGTCAGAAACATATTAGAAGAAAATATTCTATCGGTCACTAATTTGACAGTTATTGATATAATACAAAAATCGTATTAGTCGTCAAACGTAGAAGATCATCAAACATTGCAATTACAATTGTCATAGTATATGATAGAAAAGATAGGATTATTATAATTTCTTCTTACCTTGACCGTACAAATGCGTGCGCAGAGATACTACCGTGTCAAGATTACAGAACGACATAACCTCGAAAACTTTGTAATAGAACCTGCATAGCATATGACATACACTGACATATTTTTCATACGTATCCTTGTTTAATTGTATTTAAAAAATCAGAAGGAAATAGAAAATAAAGAAATATGACGACGGAGAATGTAGAAATTGATGCGCTGACGATAAATGGAAGAATGGACGAGGAAGATATTGTAACTCCTTGGGATGTTGAGAGTCAAAATGAGAACGGAATTGACTATGACAAATTAATTAGTGAGTTGTACATAGATTATTCTTCACAAAAAAATATTTTTCTCTTTCGTACATAATATGTATATATATTTGAATGTATGTTATAGTCTCAAAATTCGCTTCTTTTAGTTTGAGAAAATTTTTCTTTGTTATAGAAAAATTTGGAAGTTCAAAAATTGATGAGGAATTATTGACTAGGTTTGAGAAAATTACAGGGGAAAAACCACATCACTTCCTCAGAAGAGGGATATTCTTCTCTCATCGAGATATGCACACCATTTTAAATCTTTATGAACAAGGAAAATCATTTTACCTTTATACTGGTAGAGGTCCCAGTTCAGATTCTATGCATTTGGGGCATCTTGTACCATTCATGTTTTGCAAATGGTTACAAGATGTATTTCACGTTCCATTAGTTATACAGTTAACTGATGATGAGAAAGCAATATGGAAAAATATAAAGGTAGAGGATGCAATTAAGTTGGCCTATAATAATGCAAAGGACATTATTGCTCTTGGATTTAAACCAGAAAACACATTCATTTTTTCCAATTTAGAACATATTGGAAATAATCCTGCATTTTACCAAAATATGATTAGGATCCAAAGAAGTGTAACATTTAACCAAGTGAAAGGTATTTTTGGATTTGGAGATAGCGATCCTATTGGAAAAATTGCATTTCCACCTACTCAGGCTGCTCCTGCAATTTCTGGATCTTTTCCTTTTATATTTAAAAGTGCAAAGGTTCATTGTTTGATTCCATGTGCTATAGATCAAGATCCTTACTTCAGAATGACAAGAGATGTCACACCAAAAATTGGTTATCCCAAACCAGCTCTGTTACATTCTGTATTTTTCCCAGCGTTACAAGGCTCTAAAACAAAAATGTCTGCTAGTGATACTAATAGTGCAATATTCTTGACAGACACTGCTAAACAAATAAAAAATAAAGTTAACAAACACGCATTCTCAGGAGGACAAGCTACTGTTGAAGAGCATAGACAATTAGGAGGTAACTGTGATGTTGATATAGCGTATCAATGGTTAAGATTTTTTCTAGAAGACGATGAAAAATTAGAGCAACTTAGGAAAGTAAGTTCAAATGAAAATAAAGGTGTTTTCCAAAATATATTTATATGATGTACAAATATCTGTAATGAACGTACGTGAATACAATACAATAACTCTATTTTTCAGGGCTATACTAGTGGAAAAATTTTAACAGGAGAACTTAAAAAAGAATTAATTAATGTCCTACAACCTTTGGTTGCTGCACATCAAGAAACTAGAAATAAATTAACTGATGAAACAGTTAAACAATACATGATTCCTAGAGATCTTGGTTTTGTAACAAAGTAGTTATATAAGAACTACTTTTTTTGTATATAAAACACAGAAACTCCATTTTCATCAATTTATTTAATTTTATTTATTTTCTAGCAGCATATTAATAATTGTTCATTTAAAAAATTTATTTTTCAAATTGTGATGGTGCATTAAATTGCTTTTCCAAAAATACACGCATTGTACTTATATTTGTAATCCTTAAAATATACTTTATTTGATAATGTTTTAAAAGTATATATGTATTTAATCTTTGTATATTGATAATGTATATTATAAAAATATTCAAATAACTATATTCATGATATTAAAAATTTATATAAAAATATAAAAACATTACGTATTACTGTTTGTAAGTAAGCAGAAATAATCTTAAATATGTTATGCAAAAAAAGGAAAAATTTTTAATAAAATGTAGCCATGTATTCGAGGGTAATAATTGTTTACGATGTTATATACCTACAAAACAATCATCATCATTACAAAATCTAATTATCTGATGTAATAAGAATTCAATAATACGATGAAATCGATAAAAATTCATTATAATACATTTCGAAATCTAAATACGTATTTACAAAATGTCGAAATTTAAACAACGTTTACTGGCTACGACAATGCTGATAAACAGAGCATAATCAGTGACAGTATGTACAATTTATCATCGAGCAAAAACTTCATGTTTTTGTTTATATATTTCTTGGTGAGAGTTAATTCCAGTATCGCGCGCAAGTTAATTTTACTTTGGGATCCTATATGATTGCCCAGGCTTGAGCGGAAATCGTGGGCATTTGATTGGCAGATCGTGACGCCATGAGACATGCTATTAATAACCGACGCATGCGCAGATATTTTCCTAGTGTATATCCGCCATTCATGCAAGTCGATTTCGTTAGTTCTGTGTGTTGAGCCTATGAGCCTAGCAAAAGAACAATGATAATATTTAGTCACGATCTTCCTACGTAAGTTTCATAAATATGTAGACTGAGCGTATAAACTATTTTAGTCGCGATATTTGGCACTGCCAAATAGTATCTCATTAAAATCCGATGTAGCTTACGCGTAGCGAGGATTTTCAATTCCTGTATTCGATTAATTCACGACATTTGCGGGACTACTGTTATAATTACATATTGAATGTAATTCTATAAATTTCTAATCATTTCGTTTATACAAATATCCCCTTGTTTCATTTTCAAATATTTTCATCACAAAAACTATTTTGTACGTTACGTTCGGTGTATAAGCAGTGTTATGTTTTAATTATCTATTTTCTGTACTTAAATCACGATTATAACTACAAGATAAATCATTTTTTCATCACGTCATATAATGATAATTGAAAATGAAATTTTAATATTGTAACATAGACATATTATTTTCCATCTAGTTTAAAATTATATTATTGAAAAGAAACAATATTTTTGATACACATTACATCATTCCCTATTTTAGCAGCATGTAAAAATTATACATTTCTTTATTTTTTTATATTATTGTTATTTTAGGTAAAACTTAGAAAAAGTGTTATTCGAACGATCAGTTAAAAAATGCTGGTCAAATAATATCTAAAAGGAGTAAATTAATTAAGCTGAGGCAGCAGATATCAAATATATACTATGGGGTCACTTTTGGATACTCCAAAAACAGATAAATACAATGAACATGGTGCTGGCAATGGATTACGTTATGGAGTTGCCAGCATGCAAGGCTGGAGGATGGAGATGGAAGATGCTCATAGAGCCATAACTGGTTTGAAAGGTGGTCTCTCGGATTGGAGTTATTTCGCAGTGTTTGATGGGCACGCAGGTGCATCAGTATCAGCTCATAGTGCAGAACATTTGTTAGAATGTATAATGCAAACGGAGGAATTTAAAGCTGAAGATGTAGCCAAGGGAATTCATTCGGGTTTTCTTCGATTGGATGATGAAATGAGAGAGTTACCAGAGATGAGTTCTGGCACGGAAAAATCTGGTTCAACAGCTGTTTGTGCATTTATATCTCCCAGAAATATATATATAGCCAATTGTGGCGATTCTCGAGCTGTACTTTGTCGAGCAGGAGATCCAGTTTTCTCCACGCGAGATCACAAACCTGTCTTACCAGCCGAAAGAGAAAGAATTCAAAATGCTGGTGGTAGTGTAATGATTCAAAGAGTTAATGGAGCTTTAGCTGTTTCTCGCGCATTGGGCGATTATGAGTACAAAAATTTAAAAGATCGAGGCCCCTGTGAACAGTTAGTGTCCCCAGAACCAGAAATATTTGTTCGAGATAGAGATGATGAACACGATGAATTTCTAGTTTTAGCGTGTGATGGTATTTGGGATGTAATGAACAACGAAGATCTATGTAATTTTATACATTCAAGGTTGCTGCTTACTGATGACTTAGAAGCAGTTACAAACCAGGTTATAGACACCTGTCTTTATAAGGTAATGATGTCTAAAGCTTTTCATACCTCTTCATTAAAAGTTTCTTATTGTTAATGTTAACATTTTCAATGCTAAAAATATTTCAATTTAGCTGTGCTGAAATTTTATCAAATATAAACACACAATATATATGTATACAAATTTTTCATATATACCTTTGTATTCGAAAATTTAATTGATAAATATTATTGAAGTATTATGAAATATTAATTTATCACTTATATAATTAGATAAAAAATAATATACTACAATTTTTAGCAATTATTACCATAATGATAACACATTTCATTAAATATTTTACTGTGAATAACATCCTGTTTTTTTATCTTCTATTTTGTTTCTTTCTCTTTTATGTCAATAATTTCATGAATATCTCTCGCTGACCACTTATGAATATTAGAGGATATTTTATTAAATTGTTTTCAACAATTATTGATTGCGTTCAAAAATTAAAATTTATACTAAGAAATAGGGAGTATTTTTTTGAAATAATTATTTATAATTTACTATAGATAGTTGTTTTATTTTATTGTAGGGTAGCAGAGATAACATGAGTATAGTTTTGGTAACGTTTCCTGCTGCTCCAAAGCCAAGCCCAGAAGCTCAAAAAAAAGAAGCCGAGTTGGAAATGGCCATTGAAAGGAGAATCAAAGGTTCATTATCATATCCATATTCACATCAATTATATTCTCTCTGTTGTTGCATTAATATGAAATCACATTATCATACGCATACTTGACATTCTGACAACTCTTAAAGAGTGCCAATTTATATTATATTTAATATTTGATATTCTGGTCTTTGAGATGATACAATACTTGCAAGTACAAAAACATTTTATCTCATATATAAAATATGAAACTTACAGACAAGTTCTTAATTCATAATTAAATGTTTCTATGTGTTCCAGTATAACTATAAACATACACTGTCAAAATTATCTTTTAACACTTCGTTTTCTATAATAGAATGCATAACATAATTCATTATTTAGACTTCAGTAAATTGTGCAATCTATATTATAGAAACATTGAAATACATATTTAATATGTATTTTATTTTATTTAGTCAAATCTTGAAGTGTGTTCTAAGTAAATACCACATACTCGTTGTACCTTACATGTCCCTCTAATTTCTTGAAGAGGGCTGTGTATATGTATGTATATATACATATATGTTTCTGTTATGAAACTGTGAAAACTTATTCTTGTCCAGTGGATGTATTTTCATACTCATCTATTTAAATAATTATATTTTGTGTCAATTTGTTATTTATAATTACTAATTTTCAATGCAATTACTAATTATAAGTAACAATTGAAATGTAAACAAATATAATACTACTAAAGTGTTGGCCAAATTCTAAGTATTCTAATAATCATATTTGTGCAATATAAAATTACGTATAAAATATGTCCAAGAAGAAATTGAACTGCACTTTTATGATATCTATAGTATCCCAGAAAAGTGAAAAACGTATTTCTATACTAGCCTTTTCAAATAATAACTGAAATTGATTTAAATTTCACTCATTTTTATCATTCATAGTATTAATGTGTGAATATTACCGAATATATACTTTTCATCTAATATGAATTTTAATTCTCTCAATCTTCAATTATGGGGTTGTATTTCATTGTATTGTTGTCAGTTTCCCCAATAATAATATATATAGTAATATGTATATAAGTATAAAATTTAAAAAAGCAACTATTAAAATATATTTTAAACAATTTATATAGAATAGTTGAATGGATGTTTTTCAAATATCTGTAAATCTATATAATATTTAACAATTCCTGTTTTAACAACTACTAAGTTATCGTTAAAACAATGTGCACAATTTTTAAATAATTGTCAGCAATATATTAACATTACAGTATTATATTAGAGTCATATCGGTTGCATATCCTATTTATACTGTTAAAATGATAGAAAAATGATAAATATGTTAATAGTGTTAGTCTTCCCCTTTATCAAATTGTATTAATTGTTTGTCCTCTTATTAAACTCTTTTAACACCAGAAATTATTTTTTCTTAAAAATGCATTCCACCCTTGGAGTTGGTATTTTTTTAAACATTTTTGTAAGTAAAATTTCTATTTAAAAGTTGTTTGTTCCTCTTTTCAAGTATTAAAATGGTATTACAGGTAGGTGAATAGTTGCTTATGAAAGTTTGAAACTATCCCATTATATTTTTGTTGTTTCCCTTCAATAATACATTTCTTATGGAGGAACATTGCAACAAACATATAAGTTGGAAAATATATATTATCAATTCCAATGGTGGATAAGTTTTAAAAACAAAACTATACAAATATTTGTAACAATGTATCTACTTAAGACCGGATTATATTTTTAGGCCTTCCATAAGAAATGTACTAAAGCGCCGTTAACATTTCCAGTCCTAAGTAGATGCATGTATTTTAATTATTTTATTATTATTCATTTATATAAGGCACTGTATAAATAATATCATATAACAAATATGATATTATATAAGCACAATATATTTAATAGCAGTAGAGAAATTTATTTGTGACATTAATTAAATTTCTTAATAATAACATGTTCTTTTATATTTGTAGAAATAGTTGCTGAACAGAAGGATGAGAATGAATTTGATTTTTTGAAATTGCTGCAACTTCTCATGGACCAAGATTTTCCTAATTTACCTCCTGGTGGTGGTCTTTCAGCTAAGTATGTATAATTATGAATTTTTTAAATTTTAATTTAAAAGAAAGATATGAGTTTTGTTTCATAGAATTAGTACAAAATTATAAGGTTAGTATTTCTAAGACTAAAAGTAGTTTATCATTTTTGGCTTAACTTCAAAAATTAAATCCATCTAAAATCTATCATTTATATAATAATTTAATTTTCATAAAATGTACAAGTAGAAATATTTTGAAAATTTTCTAACACATTGCTATAGAGAAATAATTGTAACTTTTTAATACTTTTTTATATTTAAATTGATGTATTTATTTTGACATATAAATTTGTTTCTTTTCAGACAACCTTTCATTGAACAAGTGTTTCGGGAAGTATGCCCCAACCAAGCGGATAGTGTAAGTCTTGGATACGATTTCCCTTCGATATAACTAACCTTTGACTTTTTACTGCATCAAATGTACAACTATAATCATTAGACATGTTCCATAATCATAACGATGCAGATACTATCAGAAATATCTTTATTTTATTGATCTCTCCTGATGTAAAAAAAAAGAGATTCGTTTTAAACTACAACAGAAGTACACTGGTATATTATAAAGTAAATATTATCTAAACTAAAGTCTGCCATTAAACATGTGCAGCCTTAAATTCCTGCAGTGCGTTGTTGTTGGTAAAAATGAATTAGTTTAACTAAAAAAAAAAAAAAAAAAAAAAAAAAAAAGAAAGAAAGAAAAAAATACACTTAAAAATTATGAACTACTAAACATTCACCCATTCGGAAAGATTGATTAATTAATTTTCTAAATTTCAAATTATTTCATGTATCCTATGAAAGAAAATAACAAATGTTGAGTTTGCTTCTGGAATTATTTCATCAGAAATAAAGTTTATAGTGTAATGTTACTTAAGTAAGGGGTTCAGTAAAACTGTGTAAAAATCATTAGTTTTGCATATTTGATAATATTATAAAAACATTTGTTTTGTTATCATTTAATTTGCAGTGCAAGTAACATAAAAACAGTTAATAATATGTTTATTGTTTACTGTACATTATTTCTTTTCTAAAAGATATTTTCAAATGAACAAGTTAAAAAGTATAAATATTATATAACATTTAGACACTAAAAGATATTTCTTCATATGTTCCACTGCATAATTTGAAAAAAAAAAAAAATATATATATATATATATATATATATATATATATATATGTAATGAGCTCAGTACATTCTACAGCTGATTCTAATTGGTATTGGTATTGATGGGATGGTTTTCACAATTATCACTATCTATTGTTGGATTTTATAAATTCTTCATCCAAGGAGTAAAAAAATGTTTATATTACAGTTATAAGCAGAGGATTTAGATGTATTCTACTGAGAATATGTGCAAATATAGTATATGAAAAACTAGATAAAGTGAACAACTACCTTAAATTACATTTATTAACGTGGCTTAAGCGGATTGAATTTTATAATCCTCTTTTGATTTGTATGAAACTATTAAAGTGAAAAAAGAAACTTTCTAATATTTCTAAGTAACAATTTTCGTACAAACTGATATTATTTCTTTGGAAATTCATATCACTTCACAAATCTAGATTTTCATTCAAATAAATACTTGGTAGAATATTTATATCGTATCCTCTTGCTATGTTGATAAAAAAAAATGCATAATATTACTATAAACAACTATATATTTTTGTAGTTCTAGAAAACTTGCGCTCAGAATAATCATTCTGAGGTCAGTTTTTCATACTCTTCCTTTAAAAAAAAGTTTTAAGTATATTTATACGACTGTTCATTCTTTGTTTCAGAACATCTCATATTTTTTACACTAGAAGAGTAGAAAAACTGATCATTTAGTTTTAGAAATATATCAATATTATGTATGTACATAAAAACTGTGTCCAGGAAACTGTGTATTAATATTTTATACAAATCAGTTTTAAAGTCAAGCAGTAGGATTGTAGTAAGGAGGCCTTGATTTTAGTTTCTTAAGGTAATATTGTACGTTAAATTACATTATTTGTATTTGACTTTAATAAGGTAACCGAATTTGAGGTAAAATTATTTAGTTAATAAATTTCATAGAGTCTGGAAATTTGTAATTGTTCAAAACAGTACAATTTAAAAAGTAATGGATATAAAAATTTTATATAAGTTTTAAGTAAAAAAAAAGAGGTGGAAAATGCAAGTTTCAGATTTTACTCATCATATAAATATAATGCAGAACAAGTAAGTATTGTACTTAAGATATATTTATCAAACTAGTATATTATTAATCTTCTGAAAATATTAAATATTCTTGTAAATAGAATACTTAAAACGGTTAATGAAGCGATTTATATCAGGTAATCATACATTTATTTTCTTTACCTTTTCACGTGATTAATTTTATACTTCCAAAAATTCCCCATTTGTTGTAACATAGAAACTATGTGTCAAGGCCATCCTCAAATATAAAAATCTAGCATATGTATACCAAAGTATATATTACCGTTCCTGGTTAAACAAGTCCTGAAATTAACTAAAATTAACAATCTATTTTCGTTTTAAAGAGTAATATATTAAAGTAAATAACAAATTCCATACATAGAGTTATCTTCTCTATTTTTACTAATAACGGTGTATGGAATATATAAAAGTAGTAATATATTTTACTGGTACGCTAAATCATTTATAGGTTTTGCTTAGACATGAATTATCCCTGTGCACATATTTCAAAATATAAAAGTTATAATATATGGCTTAATAAGTCATAACAAGATATTGAAGATATACAATTTTTTTTTTTCATATAGAATTAATTAAAAATAAAAGTCATGAAGTAGTTTAATGATATTTAATTCATCATGCCTTGGCTATCACATACCCGTATTACTAAAATATATGTATTACAATTTCAAATTCATATCCTACTATTACTGAAATACCTGTGTACTTTAATTAAGAAGTGAACTATTTTAGCTTCATACGTGTGATTAAGAGTTTACTACTACTCTCTCATTTGCATATATATTTGAAAATTAATGGTAGCAAAAATAACAATAATCATGCTGATATTAATAGTAGTAATCGCTGTGGTCATGAAAATAAATCCAAAGTGCATTTTTAATATGAGTTTCTACTGCATTTCATTATTATTTGTTTCTGGTCCTTTTCTGCTGTTCTTATTTTGACCAAGTCTATAATATTACAAAATCGAGACGATAGTAACTATTCGTCTTCTTTAAATTTAGCACTTAAAGCGGACTTGGTAATAGTGTTATGCAGAATGGGACTATCAGTTAATAAATATAGTATAAAATATGTACAACATTTAAAGTTTAAAAAAGTAGTAGCTTCGGTTCTTTTTGTACATATTAATTTTTGCTTTTTTTTGTGTGTGTGTGTGTGTTTTTGAAATTGAACTTTGCTTCCAAAAAATTTCTGGCATAATAACTTAACAATGATAGAAATAGTTGCAGTATTCGGTTGAAAAATTAACATTTCATAAATCATACATAGTGTATATAAAATGGACAGATTTTTGTAATGTGTGTACCTGAATTGTGTTAGTTTTCAAATAATCGTGTAAGTTGTTTTTAATATGCGAGAATGATAGAGAAAACTTAAATATTTAAATAATTTACAGTCTTTTTCCTGATTTACACATAATATTATTCTAAATTACATATAACTTTTAATATATTTTTAAAGTTTTATCAAATTGATTTCTTCATTATCGTAATACATCCCTTTCATATCCCATTTTTATTGTTTAGATCAGATTACAACAATATTCAAGTCCTTTCCTGCAGTCCAAGCTGAATTCTTCAATCCCTGATCTTAATAATAACTGTTAGTATTCCAACATGCTTGTACGTGTACAATATTAGACTTTTTTTGCAAGATACAAAATATAAAAGTAAGATACATTTGATCTGCTATTCTAATAATTAAATTCAAAGGTATTTTGATATACATATATAATTGCTTTTGATTTTTTAACATTATCATGCACCTATAACGTTTGTGTAAATCAATAGTGCAATTGAAGATTCCTTCTTACATTTCTTAAGAGGCAATTAATGTTCTTATATATATGCGTGTGTAAATAAAGGATCCTCCCCTTTCTTTTTCTTATTAATATTAATTTTCATAGTGTAGTGCATAACTGAACTGTTGAATAGCTTTGAGATGTAATATAATTGATATTGTGCATAGTTATCTATTTTGGATGACAAATGTATCTAAATCTTAACTGTAATACTTCAACTGATTAATTTAACACCAATGACATTACAAAAACATTATCTTAATGTTTTTTTAACATGTACATTTACATAATTGTATGTGAATCTATATAAGTATGTAAATGTAAATAATGTGTACTTGTAAATAATTGCAGAAAATTATTAAGATCATGTAATAAGTACATATTTTGTACTGAGAATATTAATATTTCAAATTCCAGTATAAAAAAAAGAAAATAAGTTTATGTACACAACTATCATATATGAATTAACTGATATTTATTTATGTTATTGTATATAATATACATAATTAAAAAAATATTTTATGAGTATAATTGTTCTTTTGATAAATAGATATCTGTGGTTTGTAAATTTTCATTTGTATTATCTTGCAAAACGTAATTCCTTAAACAAATACTATATTCTTCCATTTTCTACTAATTGAAATTTTGGATATCTTTTGTTTTTTAAATTACAAATTATAATTTTTTTAACAAATATAATATGACTTTGAGTACAATAGTTTACAATATTGTTCAGGAATTTATTTTAAAACGAGTATATTTAATTCTTGCTAGTATTTCAAAAGTAATTTTTAATTATGATAAATTTATTTTTCTCAGCTTTAAAATGGTGTCAATTGTAACTGTATTTTTCTAAATTTCTTATATGCATATTACTGTTTTAATTAAAATATTAAGCGAAAACTTTTCAATACTACTTAAACAATTAATTTCAATAAATAAATATGAGAATTTAACAAGTCAAATATGAATTTGTAATTCACTAAAACTATACTTATAAAAGTGTGTTTTATGACTGTGCTGTAAACTACAATAATTCTAACAATTCCAAACCATATGTTAAATTAAATAGAAAATATAACATATTTTTTAATACACTTCAATTATATTATGTATTTAATATAATACTCTAATACTTCAAGAGTGTAAGTATTTAATGCATTTTATATTTTCAGTTGATGGTATATGGTGTATTTGCTACTTTAATATTGAAATATATTTTAAGAACTAATTTAAGGATTAATGATCTTTCTATATTTCTTAAAATATTAATACAGTACAGATACTTTATAGGGAAATATTAGAAAGAACACTGTTTTAATAATAAGTATTTAAATGTGAAAAAATACATTAATACAAAAATTAAAATACTATATAATGATGTGCTTACAGAATTCTCAGACCAGTTAGTGTACACAATATGTATACAATTTGATACATGTGGTATACAATAAACTGGCCAATCCAAAAGTCATGAAAGTGAGATACCAAACAACAAGAACTACAGAAGAGTACAACACGAAGAAAGACTGTGTGGAATGGTAATTGAATAATCTTACAGGCATATTACATTTCTGATTAAAACAATTCTGAAAGTCTTATCGCATTGTAATGTTAAATTTAGTTACAAAATTTATTGTACAAAGCATTTTATTTTTAAAAAGAAAAGGGTAAACAAATTTTTGATCAAGTTCTCTATAGCCATATATCATAGGTTTTTATTTTGAACATATAGTTAATGTTGTATATTATTATCTTTTTACTCAATAAATATTTATCAAATACATTTTATCTGTTCTTCATTACTTGTATAATCTAAAACGTGTGAAGCATGTGAAATTTATTATCCTGATGTAAAAAATAGAAGAGATAATAATTTATTCAATATATATATTGTAATAACTTTGTTTAGATAAAACATTTATTTTACATTAATATATAAATGTTCTCTATACTCTACACCAATAATTTGTATTTACATTGTTTATTATATATACTGTATTTTGTAAATGTTAAATTACGTATTGTACCTTAAGAACTAGATTCAAAATTTTTATTTTTATTGAAGCACATTAATTATGTGCTATTGGATTTTGTTACTCTCATATCTCTTATATCCATTATGTACTATTTACAAATTTGTGCAGCTTTGTTGTTAGAAATTGTAATTAATATCTAACATCATGTATTATTTTCATAAAATCATCCTGTCTATAACTTACAAAATAATCTTTTACAAAATCGAATATATGTAAAATTATTTAATGAAATACATCTATACATATTCATTTATTCGCACAGAAAATACTCTTACACCTTTATCCTATTTCAAACTTCATAATTTGATGTTTTGTATATAGAAAAAAAAAGAACTTTACACAGAAAATATACCATACTTACTAGTAAATGATATATTTAACAACTAACAAATTACAGCAGTTTTTCATTTATTATGTAATTATAAAAAATTGAACATTAATGTTTGTCAAATATATAAAATAAAAATTGTTATATTTGAATTACAAGTAAAACGTTTAATAATATATAGTAAGTGTATACCAAATATTGTTTAAAATTAAATGAAAAATTCTATTGAGAAAATTTCACTTACAATAATTACATAACGTTTTGTAGTGCAACTGTACTATTTCAATGAATTCATGCTCCAATAACAACATAGATGCTGCCTTTTTTTTCTTTCCAAAACCTTTAACAATGTTTTAAATACAAAATTTCATTTTGATATCATACGTATAACTCTTAATTTTAATTCAGTGTGTCACACGTTGTTTGGTGTGAAGTATGTATAAAGTATTCAACAGGTCGTATTTATGTAATATACATATAATAAAAAATATATGTGTAACATGGTATAATATCTACATAAAGATAGCACAATTCTTAAAACGTCATTTTGCAACACTTTTGAAATTTATTTAAATAGGTTTAAGTAACAAACTTTTCACTTAATTTATCCAAATGTGTGCTTCATAGAAAAACGAAATATCATAAGACTTACAATATTACATTAAAACCGCTAATAATTTAAAAATACATAGACTGTAGTGGTAGTAATGGCATTTTTAATGTAAAAAAGCACTTTATGTATATATTAACAAATACATAATCACATGAAGTACGGTGAGGATAAAAAGGGCAGTCATTTTAAACTCACGTATGTCTTAAGAAGAATATTGACAAACAGTTATTGAAAATGTAAACGTCCAAATATCAAGTTTGTACATTTACAAAATTTGTACCAAAAAGAAAGTATGATCTTTAAGTCTATCATGAGCTAAAAAAATATTTGGAATTATATTACAAGTAACACAAATTAATATATTGCATAAATAAGTAAAAATAAACTAATCTTCAGATCTTACAAAATCTTTCATGTCGAAATTGAACTATTTCACGTTTCATATATGAATTAAGAAATTCATACATATATTTACAGCGTGCTATACTTTTAAAACAGATAACTCTGTATTTCTTTGACACACTGTCAGTATTTGTGTCTTTTGATACATACGATATTACATATGCAGTTACGGTTTGTATAAAACGAAGTTTGTTAATCGAATAAAACAGTCTATTTGTTTGTCGTCCATCCACGCCAAATAGAGGCTATACTTGCTGCAGCACTTGTAACTAAACCACCAGCAACACTCTGATTCACTTGCATACTAGAAGATTGTTGACTAATCATTGCACCAGGAATGGGAACTGCCATTTCAGGACAAGCAACATTTGGTACCTATAAAACGAAACATTCATGTAAAATATGTTTTACATCCAATGAAAATAACTTAAAAAAAAAAAGAAAAAAAAACTTACAGCCTCCCATTCCCAATTAAAAGCATCTTCTTCTTCATCCGAAGCAGAATCATCACTATTCTCTAAATCTGGAACTAATTGACTGTGCAATTGTGCTACAATATTTGGATCAACTTCCATTGGGCCAATTCTATAGATAGGTAAATAATTATATAAACTGTTATCTTTATCTATTTGCAAATGTATCTAGTAATTTACCTTCCAAGATCACTGATTTCAGTATTGAGGAGGTGCATCAGATTTTGCAGAGTATGCATTGGATGTAAAACTGTAATATTGGTATTTTGTGTAAAACATAAATGTAATACATTGCTATTAAGTCTTGCTACTTTTCTCGCAAACTTTTGATCTGACATTTCGTTTCCACAAAATTCCCTGAAAAGTATTGGAAATTAATTATAACTTCTTTGTTTCCTATTCTATAAAATAACAATTTAATTACTTGATGCATACCCATAAGCAAGTTTATATGGCAGCCTTACATTAACGTAATAAGCGATAATATTAACCAATTGTGTAGCATAAGTTAAAGCAGCACTGATATTATATGCCGGATTGTGCATTGCGGTTTCTTTATTCGCACCTGGTACTCCGTCTTTATTTGCTGCCACTAAACCAATAAATGAATATTTACCAAATGGCTTACTAAAATAAAATCAGGTAAATTTGAAGTAATATATACCCCATAAAGAATAAGCACTGTAATCACCAGTTCCTGGTAAAGTTGGCGCGACTATGCGATGTTGAACTTCTAAAGCATTATCTGTATCATTAATCCATCTTCCTCTAACGTATGAGGTTCCAGATGCATCTGCTAATGCACAAGTTACAACATCTGAACTAGCGTCTTCCTCGCTACTACATAAACTAAAACGAAATTAATATTTTCTCACTAATGTCTATTAACAAAAAATTATTTTAGACACAAACTGAACAGATTATTACCTCCTATTAGGTTGCACTTTAGATAATGGAAAAATATATTGAATCAATTGTTTAGCAGCAATTCTAATGACTTTCTTTAATTGCTGCCTCTTTCTATCTACAGCCTGCTTTTGTTTCTCTTGTTTTATTATCAAACCAACAACATAACGATGTAATTCTTCTACTCGTTCTTCATGTCTGGGTAATCTAAGTGCTAACTGAGAATTTACATCTTTGAGAACATTTAAACGTTGGTTACCTGTGCATCATTAAAATTCTTATAATATAATATTCAATTAATAATTGTACAGTTATATTCAAATTAAAATATACCTCTATTTATACTTTGTCTGGTTTCACTTACTAGTGACTGGAGCAACCTAACTCTTTCCTTACAAGTATTTATATCACATATCTGTAAATTTCAAAGATTTACAAATATATTATTATATAAGGATTTTAATTTCACTGATTTTAAATATTTTATTATTATAAAATACCAATCTATCCCGTTGTTTATGTTTCTCAAGAGCTTTCATGCATTTTTCTTCCAACTGAGCCCTTGCGGCTTTCAACCGTAGAAGTCGCAATTGTTTATCTGCAAATCTATAAAAATATAATTTATTAGAAATAACATTTTACATTCAATTATCATTATATTACCTACAAATTTTTAAACAAACAACCTTCACAATAAAACATGTTTCATGTCATTAATAACAAATAAGAATGTATTTAGAATTTAGAGGAAATAAATGATTTAGGTAGTATTTAAATTTATGTATATAAAAATAAATGAATAATAATCACGTAAATGATAAACATATATTTACCGTTCGGAATAAACAGAAGTTGAATGGATAAAATCACCATTTTGAATGCACTGACGACAATAAAAAATTCGACGACTATTATGGCACAGTGGACACTTTAATAAATTAACGCTTAAACGGCTTGAAACATCTTCCAGCTCAGAGGAAAGCTGAAAATCTGCAGGTGCTGTACAAGATCCTTCGGAACTGCTTGTCGCCATAACCAAGAACAAGAACAATAAGCTTTCGTCTGTCTGTTGTCACTCATCAGCTGATCTGATATTTACTTGTAATCTCCCGCCACTCGGTGCATGATATTATTTTTATCACCAATTTTTATTTTCATATTTATTTTTATTGCACAGACACGATACAATTTTACAGAAAATTTTCATACAATTTGATGAGTAATCGTTGAATTATGGAAAAAACAAACTTAAATCTCAACTTATGTATTTCATAGTTGTACCGTGATAGCAATCATCTTGGTAAAAATACCGTTGTGTATTGTACATATGTATGTAATACATATGAGATAACAGGAGGCAAACATATATGTACATATATATACACAAACATCCGCATTTGAAAAAATATTTATAAATACGGGCAAGATAATCAAATGTACTTACAGCTGTGGGTATAAATATTGTTGCACTCTTGAAATTATTTAAAATGATCTTTTTTTTTACCAAGTGCTATATACATATATGCTTATTAATTTGTACCTTTTAATTACTTTTATAGTATTCTTTCTTAATTTATACATTCATAGACGTCTTGTAAACAGTCTCGTGTCAAAATTTTGTCATCAATTTATTAACAAATTCAATCTTATCTTTTTGCCGCGAAATACCGTGGTGTTAGCCAAAATTTTGTTACAACATTCATACATATATTTACATATGTTTGTTCGTTCAACGAGAGATCATATGTATGTATGTATGTAGGAAGCGAGCCTATTGAAGTTAGCCGAAATTCGCAATGCAAGTATAATATCTCGTTGAACGAATAATAGTGTATTTGCATCAAAAATTAATTTTATAATGAAATATTTAGCAAAAATAAAAAATGGTCTGGCAGAAAAGTATGAATTTTTTCATCTATAATAGATTTAATACTCTCCTGTTGTTTTTATTTATAAAAATAAACAAATTACACAAATTCAGATCATTACAGGTTATTTAAGTTACATTTCGTGTATTATTGTTCTTATTATTTATATACAATATAGTTTGATGTAAAAGAGTAACTTTTACATGAACTAAAAAACACTTGTACCATGTTGCACGAAATATTGTTGTCGCTATGGGGATGTTCAACTAATGCTTTACAAATATTAGAAAGTGGTGTAAGATTAAAATTATATTTATTCATATTATTATTGTCTTTATATTGTTTTTTTATTTTTTTTATTTCTGTAAATTTAATCTATTACTTTCAGACTATAGATCTTGAAAAATATTTACATCCTGGAGAACGTGTGTTACTTAAAAAGATATTGGATATAGTTGAACAATGTAATGTTATCAGAAATTTTATCCAAGAATGTACTGCATTAGATAGTTCAACATCCAGTGAGGGTATGAAAATCATTAGATTTAATCATTACATATTGCAACTAAAGTATGTTTTGACTTATTAATCTTTATATTACAGAATTACAAAATGTGCCTCAAGGTCTATATTTACAGGCTCTTTGCGAAGGAATGGATCAAGCTTTAGAACCATTTCGTGATGATATTGTTGATTTAGAAAATGTAGTTCTTCATGATAGTTATACTCCATTGTCATTAATTCTTTGTCGTGTTCAAAAATATGTATGTTTATTTTCTGTTTTAAATTCTATAATACAGGAGGTAAATAAATATCTTTTATTTATGTTATATAGATAATATATGATATATGAATGTATAAAATATTATATAGATAAGAATAATTTATATTTTCACTTTATTTCAGATTCGCACACAAAAAATACAAGGTTGTAAACTTCTGCAATGTTTGCATCAAAATATGCACACTGGTATTCCAGAAGTAAAATTGGCTTTAGAAAAGTAAATATTTTGTACTACTATTTTATGTTGTTACTTTCATTTATCTTTAATCATTATATTTTGATTTAGGATGGCTTATTGTGTACACGTAGTTTTTTATAAGCACTTAACAAGTTGGCTTTTGTATGGTCATTTAGAAGATATGTACAATGAATTTTTCATTCAAAAAGTGTCAGAAGGACAAAGTAGTTTAATACTAGTAGGTAATAAAAATAATTGTACGGAGTCAATAAACGCAAAGTTTGATGTAGATATGTGGAATTATGATATTCGAATAGATATGCTTCCTTCTTACATTAGACCATCCTTAGCAACTAAAATTTTGACCATAGGTCAAACTATTATAATGTTTGGAAACGATCCAAGGCAAAAGAAAGGTAATTTATGCATAAAAAACGATAAATTTTACAAGATACAACTTTCGATATTTTTTATTTATTTGCAGATTTTTCTACCGTTGATCAGATAGAAAACCCTATATGGGGAGATAAGGAATATGAATATTTTCTTAAATTGCAAAATCTTCAGAAAAAATCTATTTTTAATATTGTTGAATTTGAACATACAATCGATGAATTAAAACAATGTATAACAGAACTCTTGTGGCGAGTTGCTGTCGAAGAAGCACAGCTTGTACAACAACTTAAATTAGTGAAGGATTTTTTTCTTATAGGAAGGGGTGATCTGTTTCTTGAATTCATTAGACTTACTGCACATATATTAAATAAGCCACCAACAAATCATACATCTAGAGATATCAATTTAGCTTTTCAAATAGCGTTAAGAAAAATGCATTTAAATGATGAAAATGCTATGGATAGCTTTAATTTTATAGTACCAGTATCAGTAGAAGAGAGCGAAGATGTTGAAGCAGAAGGTACGGAATTTACTGAGAAAGAACGCGAAGATCCCATCGGTAAGGCTTTTTAACGTGATTCATGAAATATGTATTATATATTTTACGTATATATAAAAAAATATATATTTAAAAAATCGGTTCGATAATATACTATTAATGTTTATTAAATGACTGTAGAAAGACGTGGATGGGGTATGGTTATTTTGAAGTACAAAGTCATATGGCCATTACACTTATTATTTAATCCATCTTCTTTAAATGATTATAATACATTATTTCGATTTTTGTTAAGAGTGAAAAAAACACAAATTGATTTATGGAATCTTTGGAGTGAGCATATGTATTATAAAAATATGTAAGATATAAGTAATATTTTATTTATAAAGAAACTAATGTTAATTTATAATTACTAATCTACTTTTCTTGCAGCGATATTGGTGTAATTCAGTTAAGAAACAATTTAATTTTTATTATTGATAATTTACAATACTATTTACAAGTAGATGTAATAGAAAGTCAGTATACAATAATGGAAGCAAATATGAAGAATACTCGAAACTTTGAAGATGTACAGAAAGCACACTCTATTTTTTTGGCTAATGTTATGTCACAAACATTTTTGTTAGGAAATTCAACAGAAAGGAAAAATCCTGTATGTTATATTACTTTTATCAATATTGTGGTAGTACTCTGATGCATACACATGTTTATACATTTGATATAACTAAATTGTAAATATTTTTTAACAGGTAAATAAATTAATAAAACTTCTACTACGGCTTTGTGATGATTTTATCTTGCAAGCATCAATGTGGGAAGTTGGTAATTTACTTTTAACGGAAAAACAAGAACTTAAAACATTATCTGATACTCTTGAGAGTTTAATGGGCTGGTTAACTAAAACATTGAACAGAGTACGTGCGCAACCAAGTGGAGAACACTTAGCTCAATTATTATTGAGGCTGGATTTTAATAGATGGTTTAGTAAAAAGATTTGAACAAAAAATGGACTGCTTAAGTACGAGTTGTAAGAAGGTAATGCAAGAACATATGACGACATATTTATGATAGTTTATTTGAAAATTATTTTTTTACTTGCATTTAAGTATTAAATGTGCATCAAACTCAGTTTGTTATATTTTGTAATAAGTAGTAATAACTTGAAAGCTAGTTTTTTAATTATTAAAATAGTATGCTTAAGAAGAATATGCTTAATGAATTTAATGATAATTCTGCACATAAATGTAGCATATAAACAATATGAAAATATATTTTTACATTGTTTATTAATTGGAAATAAATTATCATTCAGTACAATGTTATGTAAAAGTTTTATTATTTTCAGGATTTTAATAGTAATTTATGCAATAAATATGAATATAAAAAACTTTAATACTTTTTCTAATAATATTGTACATAATGTACTATTATACTCCTGATATCTGGCTATAATTTTTTTTAACGCCTTCTAAAATACACATTAAAACGATATATTACTTTATTAAATTTAATCGCTTTCATCATTATAATCATCATCTGTGTATCCATATATTTTGTTGGAATGAAGTCGACTTAATTGTATCGCATTTTTAATTGAGAGATCAGAAGATAATTGTTCAGGCATTAAATCATCATTATTTTTTATCATTGGATCTGCACCAGATTTTAACAACAAATTAACTGTGTCTATGTGTCCACGACTTGCTGCTGCATGTAATGGAGTTTCTCCCATTTTATTCTGTAATAAAAGTGTATATGAAAAAAGTGACATGACAAAAACAACGATACTACAAATATTATACTTACTTGGGCATTAACCACAGAATTTGGTAATTTTAAAAGCTCTTTTACACAGTCTAAATGACCAGCACGTGCAGCCCAATATAAGGAAGTATTACCCATTGCATCTAAACCTGTACCCGAAACTCCTTCTTTTATGTATTCTTTTAACAATGAAAGATTTCCCCGTCTTGCAGCATCATGTAATGGCAATTCAATTTCTTCAGTTTGTTCTTCAACTACATGCAGAATCATATTATTTCTCTGAACTTATTTACAAAAGTAGTAAATAATAAAATTAAATATCATATATATATAATATTAAACTAACCATAATTAGCAGGTACAAGACCCTCTTGAGTTCCACACTTTGCTCTCCACCAATTTGGTTCTACATCTTTGTCGTATACGTAAAGAAGATCACCTGCTTCAAAGGACAATTCATCTACCTATGAAATATTGTATCTATATACATATATGTGTATTAAAATGATTTTTTTTTAAATTATATTATTAATATATAAACGTGCTTACACGCTGTGCTTTATATGTATACAATGCTCGTACAACTTTAACTTTTCCTTAAAAACAGATAATAAATTAAATGTAGAAAATTATTATTTAACAGTTATATGTAATGAACAAAAAAGGGAAGGTATAGGACTCACAAACATTACATTCACATTCATTATTAGTGATACAAGTAAACGTTTATTGGGTTATTTTTTAAATTGCTAAGTACAACTTCCACATTGAACTGTACAAATTGGTATGTAGTATTTTTATAAATATACACAAATTCAACATATTTCTTACTAATTTGGATAGTATCTTTTTATACAAACAAGTTATAATTATTTTACATAAAATAATTGTAACAAACACAAATAAAACTAATGATATACTCTTGTTTTTATCATTTACCAGGTTTCCATGTAGTTTTGGGTGGTACAGGTGCTGTCATAGGTTCATTCATAATGGTAGCCGTACAGTATTTGACAGTAATAATAATGATGACGATGATTGTATGTGAATTGTAAAAGCTATTCACATTTGTGCAATAGCTATATATATATATATATATATATATATATATATGATGTATGTGTGCGTATGCTACTCGCAACCCATGCCTTCTTTATTTCAATTATAATTTTACAAACCATATGTATATATGTACAATCGTACAATAAAATCTAAATTCTTTTTCTGGCAACTTTCATAAATAACACCATATCTGTAAAACAGAACATACAAATAATTTTGTATACGAAATAGACTTAAGATGTTGAATGTAAATACATTAGATAAACTTGTACTTGTAATAAAATTAATAATCATAAACCTAATATGTTAAAACGACAACTTTTTTTATAGTAATACTTACTGAAAAATACTACTAAAACAAATGCTATCATTACCCACATCCAACATCGCCAATATGACGTAGTATGTTCTTGAAGTTTCAATGATTCTGATTTCAATTTAGTTGTATTAACATCAGTTAGTTTGTCAGACCTTTCAAGTAAACCAATATCTTTCTTGATTATAGCGTTTGCTGCTAAAGCATGTTCTTTCATGCTGCTGGTCATAGAAAGCATATTTTCTGCAATTTTCTCTTGAATGTTTCTATTATATTTTAAAAGTGCATCCAAATCATCATCTTGCATATTGCTAGATAATCTCTGTCTTACACCATCCTCTAATATTCCTATAAAAAAAAAAGAATTAATTGTCATTAGAGATATAAGATTATATGAAACAGAAATATTTATTTACCTTTATCAGTATGGAATAATTCAGCTCTTAATTCTCGATTATATTTTGCTGAAGTCTTTTGATGTATTTGAGTTGTTATATTTGGACCTATTGAATCATTAAATGTAGTAGAATTTTTTGACAGCATCTGTACTGCTGCTACTCTATCTACTGGATTTGTAAGCTTTGTTGTGTTTATTAGTCCTTTCAAAAAATCTATTCGTTTAACATAGCTCATTATAATATCTTTACATGGTTTGCTACAAAAATAATACTGCTATGAATAAATATAAATTTAATAATGCTACTACTATTGTATTTTACCTTGGTAGTGTTTGCAACTGTTTTATCATATCATCCAAAGCAAAGATGTACTGAAAGAATTAACAAGTTTATTTTAAATAAATTACTTTAATTGCAAAAATGATTTATAACATGCAAATACATGCAATAAAAAAACCTTTTCAAGTTTCCATTCTTTATGAGGATCATCTTTTGCCATTAGTTCGCATCTGACTAAAAGTCTCTTGATATTAATTTCTTCTCTGGATATTTGATTCATTTTTCACAATTGCTAAACAATCAGAAAAATTATTTATAAGTACTTATTATGTATTAATTCCGATTTTCAAATCAAATTTTTCCGCTATACTACTTTAGATTTTTCGAAAGCAATTCTATAAAAATTGCAATTAGAAATTACTTTTGATTGTTAAAAATATTGATGTAAAATGAAATAGCAATTACAAATTGCTGACAGAAATACTATGCATTGTATAGATCATATGAACACGTAAGTAAAACATATATATAGAACATAATGTAAACGAAAATGTATTCTGTATGAGTATTTGTTAGAAATAATGTTTAAAAACATGAACATTTTTATTTTTTCAAAGTACTATAAATCGTAGTGTATATATATATATTTGTATTGTAGTATTTGCTTGTTTTAAATACATATTTATATATATATACTTAATGTTTTAGTATGATTCACTTTTTTGTGTGGTTTTAAATGTACCGCTACAACTTCATCACTAGGCGATAATAATTTACTGTAAACGGTATAGCACTTCAAATATTCAATACATTTTTTTCATCCAACCAGGATTAACTGACTTCATCAGTAGATGCCTTTATAATAGCATGATTGTCAATTTGATGTATGTGCGATATACAATTTTATAGGTTGTGAGAGTTCTATATTGATATACGGAATGTATAAACGAGTTTTATTGAAAAGTTTATAACATATAACTACAAATATCATAAGGAACACGATAATCATAGATAACGATTGACGTTGGTATACTACATCATTTGGGGGGCCGATCCCAGTGCATTTCTCAGTAGATTGACAGAGCCGCTAAGATGGCTGATATTAAAGAATCTCCGCCACTATTTGACACCAATGAAACAAAAGTTGACGATTTAGACGACGACGATGAAGATATTTTTGCGTCAGCAATGCAGGTACTCATTACACTATTATCATATATATATATATACATATGTAGTGAAGTTTTACAACCTAAGTACATATCACTTTTCGAAATTCATTTGTTTTTGTATTAAATTAATTTGCGTTTCTATTTTTTTTCCTATCAAACAATAGTAAGTTCAGAGAGAATAACATTCTATGTATATTTATTAAAACGTTTCCTATAATAACAATGATTGTTTAAATTTAGGACCAAAGTCAGTTGGAAGATTCTTCTCCCTACAATGGAGTATCAACAATTCAGGCAGAATTACCAAAGTTAACATTACGAGATGCACCTGAAGAAAATTCATTTTCATCTGTATCAAGTCCTGCACCAGGACCTTTAAGCTCACCCCTGGGACCAATGAGTAGCGACATAGGTGATCTTCATGATGTTCCCATAAATGATAACACAGATGTACTCTCAACAAATGCTATGCAAAGTCAATCAGTTGATGTGGTATATTTTTAATTACTAATTATTAATACCAAACCAAAAAGAAAATAGAAAATATATAATATTATAATACTTTATAGGTATCGACAGATTCATCCGACGTTTTTCTAAAAATCACAGTAACTTCTCCTCAGAAAATAGGAGATGGTATGGGTGCTTACGTTGCCTACAGGGTCGAGACAAAGACAAACATGCCAATATTTAGAAAAAGAAACTTTAGTGTTATTAGACGCTTCAGTGATTTTCTTGGCCTTCATGATAAATTAACAGATAAATACCTTAGAAATGGTAGAATAATTCCTCCTGCTCCAGAAAAGAGTGTTATTGGTATTGATACAAATATTTTTAATTTATTATTAACTTCAATCTTGATCGACAAAACAACTAAAATAATTATGTAATTAGGAACGACTAAAATAAAAATGTCTGGTGATAAGAGCCAGGAACAGAATTCTAGTTCTACAGAATTTATCGAAAGACGTAGAGCAGCACTTGAAAGATATTTAAACAGAACTGGAGCTCATCCTGTGCTTAGTGTTGATCCTGATTTTAGAGAATTTTTAGAAGCAGGTATATCTTAAGATAAAATAAAAACATTTATCCTAATGCAATTATATTAATAAAATTATATGTTTTTTAAATAGATATGGAATTACCTAAAGCTACTAATACATCTGCACTTAGTGGTAAAGGAGTGATGAGACTTTTCAGCAAAGTTGGAGAAACTGTTAACAAAATTACATATAAAATGGATGAAACTGATAAAGTAAAATTAAATTTTCACAATTATTATGTTCATAAATTGTAAAATACCTTTTTTCATATAGTTACACGAAGTGTAATAAAAATTGAAGGATTTAAATCAATATAATATTTCAATATTTTCATTGATACAGTAATATTTTTAATTTATCTATGTTGCAGTGGTTTGAAGAAAAAACATCACAAATTGATTCTCTTGATGTTCAATTACGTGCATTACATTCTGCCGTTGATACTCTAACTAATCAGAGAAGAGAATTAGCTACATGTACTGGCGCAACCGCAAGATCTATTGCTGTTCTTGGTCATGGTGAACCAGGAGCGTCTCTTGGAAGGGCATTAGCTCAGTTGGCTGAGACATTGGAAAAAGTGGAAGTGATTAGAAGAGCACAAAGCAACAGTGATCTTTATCAGTTTGCAGAAATGTTAAGGGATTATGTTGCACTTATTGGTGCAATAAAAGTTAGTATTTATTATATATTTAATTAAATTTTATACATTTATGTTTCATTGGATTTAAAATATTGTCATTGTTTTAGGATGTATTTCACGAACGAGTAAAAGTTTTTCAAAATTGGCAACATGCTCAAATAATGTTAAATAAAAAACGGGAACAGAAAGCAAGGCTGGAACAATCTGGTAGAACTGATAAAACAAGTCAAGCGGCTACTGAAGTTATAGAATGGGAAGCAAAGGTTGATAGAGGACAAGAAGAATTTGATAACATTTCAAAAATGATTAAAAAGGAAGTTGAACGGTTTGAACTAGTAAGAGTGGAGGATTTCAAAAAACAATTAACAGAATATCTGGAGTCCATGTTACAGTATCAAAATCAACTTATTAAATACTGGGAGAGCTTTTTGCCTGAAGCACGAGCAGTTGCATGAACATTCCCGAAATAATAATGAAATTCTTTTTAATATAAAAAAAAAGGAAAATTATGAAAAAAGATACTAATGCATTGTTTTGGAGTAAACTTCTGAATGATAAATAATACTTTACAATGCGTATATATATTTATCAACTTGCAGTACAATAATATTCATGGATAATAGCGAATGGAATAACTTTTATGCAAACAGAAGTTTCGTAAATAATAATTTGGAGTATTGTTAATGCTTTTATAAATTTGGAAGAAACAACTGGTATGGCATATTCATTCGATTTTTTAAATATTCATTTTATGCCAATTATTTTTTAGTGTATCATGCGTTTAGAGTCTTCTTACTATTAGTTTATATTAAAAGTATATAACGCATAATACAGTTTGTTAAGAAATGTTACATGATAATAAAAATTAAAATTGTATAGAGAGCATTAAATATCTATTTGTTAAAACAAAATATAATTATATAATTAATATTAAATTTATGATTTTTATATTGTTTTTCAGAATAACAAGTAGATACTTTAATAAAGTTTAATTAAAATTATTATAATATTATATACTTTGATAAAACTATGGGATAAAAATATATTTTTCTATATGTTAAAGAGTTAACTATAAACTATAATAAAACTGAATCGTTAAATATATTTTATTTCTATTTTATTTATTAAATATCAGTGATAGATAATTGATATGCCTACACAAATTGGTAAACTTTTTATTAAGTTGGCCAACTTGTTTTTAGTATGTTGAATTGGCATAGTGTCATAAATACTTACCCTTTCCTATGTATGTATGTAAGTATGTATGTACCTATCATGTAGCGTGTCAGTAATAATTAAATTTGAAATTAGATTATCAGTTTTTTGTTGTGATTAATTGTCATTGAAAATCAACAGAATTCGTAGATGAATTTTGTTCTTACTTGAATTGGTGTTTTGCATACGTGGCAGAAACTGCTACCAATCAGGAAACAGGAGTTTTGATAGGCGTGGCTTCGAACACGTACACTTGCTTGGACGTCCGGCAGCCATAATTCCTGAGAAGAATTGTGTGTGAATTCTTGTCGTGATTCTCTATAGCCAAACACAGTACGCTGTACATTTTACACTCTTCAGTGGAAACGATTTATTGAAAAAATTTTTGGTGAGCAGTGCAGATTTAGCGAATTTACTAGTTTTACTGTTTTAATAGAATGTTAGTATAGGATATATAAATCAATTTGCCGGTTCTACCGATTCGTAATTTAATGTTGAGAAATTTGACTCATCTCCAGCGATTGTGTCGATGATCTGCTTGTCACCCATATGTCATTTTCATTATACGTTCTTTCAAACTTTCACTTGGTAAATTACTGTTTTGCAAAACATTGTATTATATCTATGTATATGTAAATATATATGTATTCTGTGTTCATTTTATATTTTAATATGATATCCTATACATTTTTATAAAATGTACACACTTATAGAAATATATTAGGAATGTATTTTTAAATGTACATTTAAATTTATTATTTAAATTATTGATAAGTTGTACTATATAACAGGTTGATAATCTTTGGAAAGGATAGATGCGAGATAAAAGTTATGTACAGATAAATATTAAGCACATTTCTTAATCACCAAATTACTGATTTTAATAAACTAACTTATTTTAAGTTACCGATATCGATACTGAAAAGTAATACAAATTTTCTTTTCATAGAAATAAGCAAAATGGATGTTCAAACAGGATTGGTATACGTAGCGGTTGTAGTTATTTCTGCAGCAGTTATTGTTTTAGTGTCAATGTTTGGTATAAAAGAAAAGTCTTATGAAGAAGCAATAGCAGAACAGAGAAAACTTCCTGATGATCTTTTGTTTAGTAAGTAAGATAATGTGATATAATCTGTATGCAAAAATTTCATGTTGATCAGTTTGTTTTGAGCTATTAAATAATTCTTCAATTTTTTTAACAATCTGAATATTGTATATTATATTTTAATCAAGAATTTCATTGTAATGCATAAACTATATTGAAGTTTTTATATTATTTAAAAATTAATGTGTATTCAATAATACGACATATTGTTATTTTTAGGTAAGAAAGATAAAAATAAAGAGAAAAAACATAAAAATAAGACTGGGAAGAAGGTAAAGGAGAAGAAAGAAGAAAAGGAGGAAAAAGAAGACAAAGAAGAAAAACCAGAACATATTCAGTTTGAAGAAAATCCTCAAATACTACCATTAGAACCCTTACTAAGGGTAAGTATATTCATTAAATATATGATATCTTTTATAAAAATTGTTGTTATAAAATATTGTTTTTCTTAAACATATATCATTCCTAAAAAATATATGAAGTAATCAGCATTGATTGACATTATGATTCATGTAAAGAAACGAATGTTAAAGTTATGTATTTAAAAAGAAATTGATTTTTTTATATTAGACATTGATAAACTTAATTAAAATCATAATTTTTCTTATATGAAAGATAATAGTAATTTATATTATTTCTTCTTTGAGTACTGTATTATTTGTTTTTAAATTAATTTTTGTTATCTTTACATGCTTATTGCATGTTACACATGTAATAACCATGGTACATCTTTATAAAAGGGAGAACACACATATACGCTTTTTTTTATCCTTGTGTTTTCACACATCTCATGCATGAAATATGGTATCCTCATATGTTATATGTTACACCTGTACGTCACTTAAGGTCTTTCTATTCTTGAAGTATCACATTTCTATCTGGGTGTTATACAATTCATAAAGGCTAATTGTAACATGTTAGCATAACTCTTTAATAAAATATAGTACCATTTTTTATAAAGTATTTTGTATACTACTTTGTCAAAATTAATACATATACTTCATGTGGTGTAAACTTTATACTGTAAAGTAACATCTTTTATTTTCTTTCCACTTTTTTACATTTGTATTGTGGTACTTATTCTTTTTATATTCATGTTATTGTAAACATAACAAATTAGCTAAACTAACTGCACATTCCTATATCAATGTAAAAATTAATTGATGATGTTTTCCTTATTTATTTTTGTAAAAGTAATATGAAGTGTTTTATATATTAAGTTTTATGTACATTATATTCAAATGGACATTATTTCTTATAGCTTTATTTTTATAGCTAAATCTTGTTGCATAAGAAAACAATTTAACACTAGAACTATTGACTTTTGATGCACACTTATTTTTAAGTTGAAAATCATGTAAAAAATTAAGTATATAAAGAATGAAACATAATTCAATATATACATCCATTCTTCATCTCGACAATAGCTAATATACGTTTCAACAAAAATACCTTGATTAAATTTATAATTTAAAATAAGAAACTTGAAACCAGTTATTTTGACTAGTTTGATAGTTCTAGTGTTAAAAGACAAAAATCAGAAACTGATCAGTCCTATGATTACATGATTTTCATTTGTTGTTAATGTATTTTGTAGTAACATGTTTTTTTAGTATATTTGCATAATATAAAATTTTTATCTAGTAGTGTATTCAATTCTAATTGCAGCATTTTGCATTTTATGATCTTATTTAGCATAATTGAAATCATGCCTTGGTAAGTTAGTTACAATTATGGTTTTAAATACATGTATTGAAATGTTTTATGTTACATATATAATTTTGCATATATCTAATAATTAATAATTAATAATAATAATAAAAAAAATAGTCTGGATTCATAAATTTTTAAATAAAATTAACAAGAAAAAATACTAATCTGATATGGAACAAATTAACTGAAGTAAATGTTTGTTTTTTCTTTATTGGCCATTGATAAACAGTTCTAGGACCTCAAGATTAATTTCTATAAATAACTGCTTGACACGTTATGATATTATCTTACTCTTATTGCTACTTTAACTAAATTAAGCAAAATAAGAGAAAGATGTAAAGCATAATGTAACCTGAAAACGTTTAAGATATGTATATTTTTCAAATATTTTATACATTATTATTAATATTAAATTATAAAAAAACGTCAATAATATTCTTATGTTAAAGTTTAGCAGCTGTATAAGAGGTGGTACATTTTAAAATGTAATTTAAACTGTTAACAAAAATTTGACTGTAAAGATGATTTTTAATTGTTAAAATGTAAAAAAAGTCGAAAGTGTTAATGGATTTATCAATTGCAGGTATATATGTTTATCAAGAAATCAAAATAAATACAGTTTTAAGGTGAAAAGTAAATCAATATATAAACGGAGTAATAAGTATGAATTATTAGTTTATATAAAATAAATTTTTATTTTGTTTCTATTTCAATTCAATATGTATATTTAAATGAATATATATAATTCTAAATGTCCATTTTAATATAATGTAAAGTAGTACATGTACCTCTATAGAAGCGAAAGATTTTTATCTTCACTATTTTTACTTTCTTTGATATATGGAAAACATTTTACATATACATTGAAATCATAGGGGGGTAGCAAAGGAAGTAAGAAGAAAAGCAAGGTTGAAAAGATAAAACCGATTCTTGTAAATAAAGACGAGCCATTGGTTATTGTGACTGAATTAAGTTCTTCACAACCCTTGTCGATAGAGGCTAATCATTTTGACCTCATTCAGCCAAAGGACGACCTCGAACTAGTACGGAGTCATAGTGTGAGTGAATTGCTTTTGGTAGAATATGTTACCGCATATGCATTTCATTCGCTTCTCATAATTTTGCATAGCTTGCTGCTTTTATAACACAAAAACCATACTTTCGAATAGTGTCAACGTTTATTTATACATATATGATTAATACATTTTTCAGATTTATGTATGTCTGATCTACAAGCTAATCGTAATATGCCCAATTTATTACCACAAAAAATTTGTACACAAAATAAGTTTAAATATTTTAGTGTATCACAGTTATTTTGATTTGTACCTGTTTTTTGTTTTATATGTATCTACATTATTTATATAATTTTATTGACAAATAATTTAATACAGAATTAAGTTTTGTGTATTTAATTTTTAAAATTACTGAACTTAAAAATTTATTAATTAAATTCTTAATGTATTTATTTCAATATATTTTGTTTTTAATAGAAAGAAAATTTACACCAAATTGGTCAATCTGAGCCAGTTGCGAATAAATCTCCAAAGGAAACTCCAACAAAATCAAAGAAAAGTGTGAAGGATTCTGCAAAGAAAAAGGATGAAAATGTTAAAGAAGAAAAAAAGGAAGCAACTGCAAATATTAATGGGCAATCAGTTAATAAGGATTCTATAAAAGAAACAAAAGATGTTAAAGAACAGAAAGAAACACCAGTTAAAGAGGTGAAGGAGGTTGTAAAAGAAACAATTGTACTTTCTGCTCAACCTCCTGCTAAAGAATCTAAAAAGTCAAAGAAGAAGAATGACATTTTAGCACAAATTGGTAAGTTAATATATTAATTATTTTGTTTACGAATTTAATAATGTATTATGCAAATGTACAGTTGAATATTATTATTATAAAGATCCTGTATTAATGTATTATTGATTCTTGATTTATATTATGTAAAGTAGAGTACATTTTTTTCTTTTTTGAGAATATTATTTAATACCTTAGTAATAATTGTAATACTTATACATGTGAAATTAAATTATCGATTAAAAATATTGATATTTGTTAAAAGAGTAATTTAAGACAAATGTAATTTATTAGTTTATAACAGTTTGATATGTATTGGAATTGAACAACATTTGAAATTGATTAAATATGCTTAAGCTTTACCAGGAATCTACCTTGAGCAAAACAGATTCTCTTCTAAAGTGCTTTGGAATGCAGTTGAGGTAGGGTCAATTCCCCTTCTCTTTTTACAGGTCATTGTCCGTACAGTTACTATCAAGGTCATTCCCATATGAGGAATAATATAACATATTTAGTATATATTTGTTAAGAAGCATTATTAGTTTATTAGTGTCAATTAGTATTTACATTATAATAAATTGATATAAAAATGAAACACGAGATAATTACAATATAAAAGTACTATAATGTACTAATATTTCATTAGAATATTTATAATTATTATGAATTATTTTAATAAATAATTCTTATTATCTATTTACTCATGTAAGATTCATTCATTTTAGATAATATTTTTTATTTTAGGTGGAGATAGAGATGCTGTTAATGTGTCTCTTTTGATGCCTTTGGTTCAAAAAGCTGAACTTAGCCGTTCTGAAATACAAATTCTCATTGATCAACTTTTAAATAAACAAATGGATAATCCATCAGAACACTCGGAATGGACAGAAGGTCGTGCAGATCCGGTGATTAAATTAAAGAAACAATTGGCAGAGAAGGAAAAAGCTTTAGCCGATGAGCACGAAGCAAATATCGCATTTCAAATCAAACTAAAAGAATTACGTGTTGAACTTAATTCTGAGAGATCTAGATTATCGGCTAATGTGAGGCAACTAGAAGAAGCTTTAAATGCAAAAGTAACGGAGACTCAAACTTTACATACACGGATGCAACACATTTTAGAAAGTCATGCCGCCGAAAAGCAAGGATTTACTAGACAGATCGAACAGTTGCAAACTAAAGTAAATGAAAATGCTGCGATCATTCATAAAATGCAGGAGGATCAGGGACAAACTCAAGGTCATCTTCAACAAGAATTGATCACACAGCGCAAAAATATGGAAATTCAATTTGCACAAATGCGTGAAAATGAGAATGCTTTGAAAGCACAATTAGCTCAGAAACATGTTGACGTACAAAATCTGCAAAGTGAGTTACAAGAAACTTGTGAAAATACAACAGGTGAAATCGATTTGTTACAACAACAATTAGGACTCATGCAAAACCAATTAATGCACTCAGAAGGGCAGTTACAACATTTTAAAGACTCCGATGACAGATTGCAAGATATGGCTAGACAGCTTGAGGTGAGAAGTAGTATTTATAAATATTTTGATTTTTATTAAGAACTTACTCATTTGTAATTATTTATCTAGGAATCACATCGCGCTCATGCTGATCTAGATCATAGATTGAAAAATGCTCATCGTCATGAACAAGAGCTTCAGAAACAAGTAAACTCATTGCAAAGTGAATTAAATGCTGTAAAATCAGAAGCTAACAATGTTGCAGCATTAAAGGCAGAACTAAGTAAAGCTCAGTCTGATTTAGTGAAATTAAAATCTGAATTGTCCGTTTCCATGAATGAAGCGAAATCTGAAGCAGCTGAAATTACAGCTCTTAAAATGACACTGGTTAATAAAGAAGATGAGTTGAAAAAATCTGAGGAGAAACTTAATAATATACGAGTAGAGTTTAATCAGTCAACAGAAAATACAGCTAAATTGGAGGCGCAGTTGCATGCGACACAAAAGAAACTTGATACGCTTAAAGTCGAATTTGAAAAGGCAATAGAAAATCTAAAGAAAGCACAGGAGAAAGCTAATACTTATAAATCTGATGTGCAGAAATTACAAGAAGAATTGAAACAAAAAGAAATCGAGCTAGAGAAGAATCGCGCAGAACTTAGAATTTCAAATGAGGCAACAAACGAAATAAAAATGTTAAAAGCTGAAATAAACAGGTTACAATGTAATGATAAAAAATTAAGCGAAACACAGTTACAAATTACACGGTTGCAAGAAGAAAATGATAAACTTTCAATGCAGGTACTTTACATCTTAAGAAATAACTATAAATAACATTTTCCTTGAAGTACATGCATTGGTTTTTCAGTTATCGACTTTCACTGATCTACAAAAACAACTTAAACAATTGCAAGAAGAAAACGAATCATTGGCTTCTCAACTGGCGGCAACAACTGAACGACCAGCTGCAGAAGGCCGAGAAAATGGAATCGATGATAATGTTCAAAAGAATGTTCAGCTTGTAGAACAAACCAATTTGTACGTATACACATATGTACATATATAAACTTACAAAATATATAATTTAACATTTAACTATATAGATAAATATGTTTGAAGGTTGGCCCAAAAAGAGAGTCAGTTAGACGCCTTAAAAAAAGAATTAACACATAAAGAGACAGAACTTAGTCAATTGACTGCTCAGGTTGATGCATTACGAAGCGATGTAAACAACCAACGTCGTCTTGCTGTTCGCTTAAATGATGATTTAGAAGCACAAAGGTCTAAAAATAATGTAAGTTATAACGTTCACGGGTAAAACAAAACAGTTGTAAAGCTGAAAATCATTCTTATAATCGAATGATTGCTTCCATCACTTTGCCACTTTTTGAAAATCATTTTCTACGCATTATCGTTTATTTGTACTAAAATATTTTTCTATCAAATTATACCATACTGATCCTTTTTTTTTATGGTTGGAACAGGAGTTGCGTATGAAAAATTGGAAAGTGATGGAAGCTCTTTCTGCTGCTGAATCGCGCGTTAAATCTAATAATGGCAAGAACGTTGATGTAAGTCTCGATTTTATCCGTTTATTTCTCTTTTCAAAATTTCTTACTACTCTTTCCTTATTTTCCATATTACATATAAACTGTAATGAACTTAAATTTTTAACTTACATTAAATGTTCCCTTTTTTAAGTGAAATATTAATGTTAATATTTTTATTTTTAGGAAGTTACAAAAAAGGTGAAATCACAACAAGAAGAATTTACAAAGGCTTTATTACAAAGGATATTCCCGGAAATAAAAGTATCCGAAAAATCCTACGATCAGTGGCTTAAAGTTTTTGAAGAAAGAGTAAACACAGTTTTAATAGACTTAAAGAAGAAGAATATAGTTGATACACCCTCGGAGTTCGAAAAACAAAACAAAAATTTACAAGACTTGGTTTCACATTATAAACAAATTATTGACGATACAGTAAGTTTTATATTCATTAGTAAAGTCTCCAATTAAATTTCAATTTGACAGGTATATTTATTTGAAATATACATATTTACAGGAAGGTATGCTTAATAAACTTCAAAGTCATGTAGAATCGGAAGAAACGAGATGGGAGTCCCAGCTTCGGCAAAAAGAAAATGAAGTTGCAAGTCTTAGGCTTGAGTTAAACGAACTCATGAATAAATCAAATATAAATGAAAAGGTAAATTGAAATAAACTTCATACAAATTTTCATTCGGCATGTTGAAGAGATAAGTAAAAAATTTATTAATGTGTATATAGTTACAAGCCAAAATAGTAGAATTGGAAACTAGGTTAAAAGAGGCTGAATCTGTTAAAGAACAAACCAATACCCAATTACTGGCACTTAGATCTGCACCGCCATTATTTCCGAATGAAATAAATACTCATGATCTAGCTGCACTGGAAAAACTTCAAGAGGTAAGTAAGAATATCAAAATTCTCTTGAATATAACAAATGTTATGTACTATTTGTAAATTATATTTATCGCAGGAAAAAGCACGATTATCAGAAGAACTTCAAATAGAATGTAATAAAAGAGCAGCAGTAGATGCGGAATTAGATAAGTTACGTTCTGTAGTTACACAACTTCACCAAAAAATGTCACAAATTAAGGTATAAAATATACATTACTATTATAGAAGTACTATGTATATAGTTTTAAATGAAAGGAATGTAAAGCAGAATAATATTTTAAGTAAATCAAACTGTTTTAATTTTAGAGCGAAGTTCGAGGGAGTTGTAGCAATCCAGAACAATCAGTGTTAAATGGGCCGCCAACTTCCGAGTGTTCTAATTCTGAGGTTAGTATACATTGATTCTAATGTTTTATAAGTGTTCTAATTAATTTTTGTCCAGTGCCTTTTATATAAAAGAATTACCAAGCTTCTATTACAAAAAGTTATAACTATAATGCGAAAATGTGAAAAACTACATAATATTGCAAAATTTTGACTTAAGGTATTACTTATAATTAATTTGTTGCAAGTAATTACTAACAGAAATTCATTGCGTTTTATTAATACTTTACTAAATATGATAAAAAAATTTCATATATAGGTATTATTTTGTAAAAGGTATTTTAGTAAAGTAAATACTGCTGTATATAAAAAAAAGAAACTTTTTAATGGACTACTTTTTTTTTTAATAGTACAGAATATGAATTTGTTAGTTAATTGTCTTTTACACAGTATTATCTATATAAAAGTCGTTATATTTATTAAATACATAATATGAGTAATAAAATTAATAAATTGAGAATGCATAATAAGTAGATTTCATATAAGTTACATCTATTATATTATATTTTTTTAATATTAACAACAGAAAAGCTCAGTCTTACTTAAAAGTTCGATGACTACTTGGTTCTGTTCTGTTTTTTTTTTTTTCCCCCAATTTTATAGTATACGTAACTTTAGATGTGCTATTATTGGTTTCACATTTTATTTAGCATATATTATTTTGAAATTAAGAAATATATGTGACTCGCTTTAATAAAGTATCAAAAGATAACATTTTTATGGAACGACTATGTATGAACAATTTAATTGTTGTCTATCTGTTGATTTTAAAACCATTTTTACAACGACAATTTTACAAATTTTTCCATAATTCTCTGATCAAAAGTTTGATAAATTGTCGTCGCTTGATATAATATATCAATCTCTAAAATACAGCACCCATTAGCAGCACAAAATTTGATAGCTGCATTAGAAAATATTCATTTCAAGAATACAGAGTTCACAAATTGTTCCATTATCAAGCCCATCAATTTGGTTCAGTTTCAAGAAATTGACAACAGCCCCTTTACTACAAAACACTCCTTCAAATCTTGTCATACGACAGATCACAACACACAGCCTAGCTGGAATCCGTTGATGAGCCAGCAGCATAAAAAGCACAAGAAAAAAAGGAAGGTAAACTTCAAAATTGTGAAAAAGGAACAATTACAGGCTCTATTTCTATATAGGTGCATTTCAGTTAGTTATTAAAATAGGAGGTATTTTTAGTTGGACTCAGTATCACAAAGAATGTTGTTTTAACAGAATTATTATAATTTGTAATTGTAGCAAAATTACAAATATGATAATTTTGTTACTTAAATTGAATAATATGTATCTTTAGAGCATCATTTTACAATTTGTACATTAATTCCTTGTGATAATTCTGAGTCGTTTGTATTTTATTGCATTATTACAGAATACTATTTGAGTAGTTTATATTTTGAAAGAGTATTTTATAGTAGACTTGTGTTGGATATTTTATTATTTATTGTGGCTGTCTGTGGCTGTTCATTCAACTACCATTTGTATTTATACGTATAATGGCTTCAAATTATTTGATAATTTTTTAATTAAAAATGAAATCCATTGTAGAAAGTACTTGCAAAACTTTTGTACTATTTTATATTATTTATATCACGAATTTATTTATAGAATTGATGCAAAAATAAAAAGTGAACGATGGTTATGATATTTAATAAGTTGTAAGCCATATTTGACATGGCTAAAGTATGTTATATACAGCATATTATACATATACTGTATATGTATTTTAGTTTACTTCAGTTTATTTTTAACAACAAATATTTTAATAGTGTATGTATTGCAGGAAGCATGCAATTTTGTATTTGCAATTTTATTCTTTAAAGGAAGAAATAATTTTTCACACAATTTTATTTGGAAAAGCTCGATGCAAATTCTAATAACATATTTATCCCTTTCTCCCAGTGTTTGTTTCATAGAAAGAAAGAATATTGAACATTTTATTAAGTACAATTGTTACTGAAATGCAACAGTGGCTCGTCATGATTCTACGATTAATATGAAAAATTTACTTTGACGTATAAACGCTTATAATATAACAATGAATAACAATTTTGTTATTTTGATTGTTCCGACAGTCCACTAAGAAACCCATGGCAAAAGGGCGCAGATTCGCAGGTATGCAAAACAAAATATGAGATTCTGGAACTTTTTCTTCTTTTGAAAAGGGTTGATGGTAGACTGCTGCTAGCAGTTTATGCCAGGTTTTAATACAATGGTTTATTTTAAAATATTAATTTACGTTGCACACATTATTTTTCGTAGTATTAAAATGTTACATTCTTATTTTAATGAGCACTATTTTATTATTTGCTTACAAATAGTATAATTTTTTAAACAGTTACTGGAAATTATAAGAGAATTACTAAATATTTTGTATATTGAATATTTACAATAATATCTGGTTAATGTTTCAAAACATATTGTAAAATTTTGAAGATTAGTAATGGATTCATTTAAATCGTAGAGAATATGTTCATATTAGATCAAGAAAATTTTAATTACAAGACGTAGTCTTGTTTACATTGCACTTATACATATTTTATTTTACAAGTTTCCCAACTTAAAACAAAATTATGTTTATCAATTTTCTATTGTAAGTTGTTTTAAGTTATAAGCTGTTAAAATGTGTGTGTCCCCAGAAATGTTGCACAATGTTTAGATCATGTTAGCTTTATTTGATTATCATAATGCATTTTGACTGTCCTAGCACATATGCTAAAGGAAATCAATTTTATATAGTTTTATTCTTAATTACGCTATGTTTCATGTAACTGTGAAACCTTTAAATTATTATTTTGTCAACATATGTAAAATTACAGAAATGTATTGATTGCAGCTTTATTTTAAAATACATCTATAATGTATAGATAGTAAGGGAGCTAATAATTTTGTTTATTTATATGTTAATTATTCACTTATAGAAACACACAGTATTCTTTGTATAGTTATAGAAACAGTTTGACAAAGAGGAACAAAATATATAACATTGCCAGTGTGGAAAGGAGCTATGTGAAGATGATGGGTATCAAAGAGTATGCATAGCTATATATGGATTAAATTTTTAAAACACAAACACTGGGGTAAAGGGCACACTATGGAAAAATTTTGTTTGCTCTATTAAAATGATTACACAGTTCTTTTGTTGATTTAAATTATTAATACTTTTTCACGACAGCATCATCATTGATTTTCCTTTTTTTATTTTATTATTTTTTTTTTTCATTACTATAAATTTGCATCGCTTTTGCTCTTATTGTTTAATTAATTTTTTTTACAGATTACACATATTGTTGAATATAACTTAATATATTTTTTTAGCAGCCACAATATTAGTAAGAAATATGCTTCTGTAACAAATTGTATTTTATTTTGTCCTGCTATATCATTAAGTTTATGCTGTTGAATTTATATTTTATGATATTACAGTAATGAAACAGAATAGTTAAATGATATTAGTTTAATTGCAATTATGTTTACATTAAGTAAGTAGAATGATCTTATAATTCAAACAGCATGAATATTATTGATTTAATACACTTTTTATTTTATTTATGTTTTTTTGCTTGCCATAATACATGTGCATTTATGTAACCCTCCTATGTAAGATTAATATTTTACTAACATAGAGTTTTTAACATTGCTTTATGTATGGTGATGGATTCTATTTGAAACGTGGTATTAACATTATGTATGTTTATTTATTTGTTTTTGTTATATTAAAAATATATTTAATGAAAGCTATATTTGGTAATGTAATCAATTAGTATAAATTAGCACGCAAGAAATCAATTCAGTATGTACTTCTAATTCTTCTTCCAACAGATACATTTAAATATATTTTTTTAATAAAGTGAAAGGTTTATATGAATAATTAAAATTGCAACTGACAATTAGTTAGCTAAGAAAGTTGATTCTTTTATTTTGTATCTGATGGAATAGCTATTAAAGAAAGAACTATTTTTATTTATCTAGCTTCTTCCAAAAATTGAACACAATAGTAAATCCATTTAATGATTTTTTCAGGGTGGTTCAGGAAAAAAATAACTTCAAAGGGCAAGCTGCGTTAATACAGTGCAAAATCAGATAGTTGGTAAAGGAAATAGAAGTAAAATTACACATACTCCAACACTATAAGCAACATGGTAAACTTTGCTATCGAGAAGACTAATATTCTGATGAAATGTTATGTTTCTTATAAAAAAGAGTATCATATTTTATTATGTGAAAGAAAAAAAAATATAAATAACGAAACTTTTGTAGCTAGACACTAAGAAATAATGAACCTGGTGTTTGTCATAATTGCACAAGTGATAAACACAAAGAAATATATAATTTAAGAATTGCTGCAACTGTATTTTGTAGATTGCAATATAACAATATTGTTTGAACATTATTTTTGTTACATAAAGCATAAATAGATTTTCTCAGTCTTCGTAGCGGTTTATCTGAAATTTATTATAGATATATTGTATCATTTATACAGTAAAATCTACGTATATATTACGTTTAACAAAACGCACGATACTTTAAACTACAAATGATAAAATAGGTACTTTTATTGTCCATTTTTCTTTTTCTTTTTTTATGGAGTAGCAAACACCAGAGTTTTAGACAATTTTCATATTGTTAAAGCATTTGTATACAAAGCTGAAATCGTTAATGAATTAATGTGCAATAAATAATCGTGTTCATGTGATCACGTGTATGAAAAATAATAGTGTGTTCAAGACTGCTTTTAAGAGCAACTTTCAATTTACGAACAAATTCTTTTTACAAAATACGATGAAGACTAATCATGCACAACTATAGCAAGTGTAAGAAAATCTGTTCAGGAATACATTTGAATGGGTTAAAATATAATAAAGTAAATAAGCTATATTAATAGAATTATGGTTTAAATGATCTTTACACAGGAAATTTGAAAATCATGGAATAGATTAATTTAAATCTTATTGGGGCATTTAAAAGAGCGTTTATTAAAGTTTTTATGTTAGTTTATTTTATAGATGAATTATAATTTTTATCGAAATGTTATGTTACATCATGTTGAGAAAAGTAACAATACTCTATTTATAGCGTATTAAATACTTGGTTCGTGAAGTATAATTATTTCGTTTATTTTGCACAAATATTATGCTAAATGCTGTACTTATATTTTACATTTGAATAATTACAAATAGTTGATTAAAAGTTTATTGTTTTATTTGACGTTAGATAATGTATAAGTTTAAATAATAATTTGTAATTGTAGCAAATCAATCTGATGTCGTGCTTTAATCTGATGCTTTCAGAAAAATAAAGTTTTTTTTATTAGACATGATAAATACAGGTATTCAAGGTTTATTTTCAGTTTTTTTTCTATTAATGTAATTAATGAAGAAACATTTTATGTAGATAGTTTTATTGAAATGTATGCTGGCTATTGTCGAGATAAAGGATGGATGTATACATATATATATTAAATTATCTATTTAATTTTCTACATTATTCTCAAGTTAAAAATAATTGTGCATCAAACGTCGGTAGTTCTAGTAAAAGCTCTGTAAAAACTTCAAAAAAAAAAGCAAATCATATATTTTAATATTTATTGTATGTTTTGAGGAAATTTACAATTTGTTTCTTTTTTAAATTTACATATAAACAAAAGTTAATGACATTACTCTTTTTACTTGTTATAAAAATAATATGTATATATCTACTGCAGCACTATCACAGGTTGTAAGCATGTTATTTAATAGTTATCTTATCGTTTATGTTCTTAATGTAAGTAATAATATTGTTACTTAATTCAACATAGTTTGTAAAAATCCTAGAATGTAACTACCTAAATCTTCATCCTGATTTGTCCATGAAACATATACACTTTTTTGATCATCTTCATCACCTTCTACTTTTACTAAAACAGATTCAACAGATATTGATCCATCTGTTAATTGAACTGTCCAACCTGATAATCTTTCCTTCAATGGTTGTAATAATTTTAAGGTTGTCGATTGTGCTGGACCGGGATCCCTTACTTGAACGGTAGATGTAAAACGTACAACGTGTTTTGTTATACCTGCTGCTTTTGTCACCTTAAAAGAAAAAAATTTATGATTATTTATATATTAACTAAATAGAATAGAATATAATAATTACCTCATCGGCATCCACGAGGCACGCTCCGTCTTCTCGTAACATTAAAATACTGTGAAGTAATCTTCGTCTTTTAGGATCTGGTGGCAAAGCTGAATATCTTTTTGCTTCAGCTTTTAACAATGCTAAAGAAGCATCGACTGGTACTTTGGAAATGGTTGTGATAATACAAGTTTCTCCATTTGCAGGATTGTAACAATTGGTTCCAAACTCTTGTTTTATTTTCTCTTTTAAGAACTCCATTTTAGCAAATTCTCCATGCACCAACATAACATTTTTCGGTTCACAGTACTGTATTAATTGCATGATACCTTTGGCATCAGCATGCGCAGAGAAAGACATATACTCTACTGCCATTTTAACTTCTACGATTTGTCGATTTTCAAATTCAATTCTTCTGGAACCATTCAATACTTTGTGTCCAACAGTACCTTGAACACAGAATCCAGGCATAATAACCATGTTCGCTTCGTTTGGAGCCCATTTTTTAAAAATCTGTAACGACAGTCCTGCATGTAACATTCCTGGAGTAGCAAACACTACCATAGCTCCAGGATTATCAATATATGATTTGTCAAATGGTTTTATGTGTTTAAAATCAAACATATTACGTTGTACAAAAGTTTTCTTAATTTTTTGATTGGTCCAAGTAATAAACATTTTGTAGTAATTATTAGCTTTTTCAGTTAATCCTAGAGCAAAATATACAGGGACTTTTAAATTCATTCGCTCCCAGTATGTTTCTAATAGTATACAAAGTTCTTGTGCACGTCCAAGAGCAAATACAGGAATTAATACTTTTCCACCTCTGTCTATACATTCATGAACCTGAAAAAATGATTATGTAAGTCGAAGATAGAACATAACATGCACCTGATTCTTTAAACATACTTTTTTAAGGAAATCTCTTTCTCTGCATCTTTTTGAATCTCTGATAGTTGTTGCATATGTCGATTCTGATATTAGTAAATCTGGCCTGCATTTATCTATCCATGCAGCACCTAAATGTCTATCAGGAGTCATATTGTAGTCACCAGTATATACAATTGATTGTGATCCAACACGAACCCAAAACATTGCAGCACCAAGAACATGTCCTGCATAATACGCTTTTATTTCTAGTTCTGAGTCAACCATTACAGACTGATGCAATGTAACAGCTATAACTTTTTTCATACAATCTTTTATCATTTGTGAAGTGAAGAAATTGCTTTCTCCTTTACGCTCCACTGCAACTTTCCTCATATCTTCAAGCAATATTGGAGCAATAGCTTTTGTTGGATGTGTCATATAAATTGGACCAGTATAACCTACCTGAATATAAAGTCATTTATACAAATATGTTTAAGGCTGTAATTCGTCTTTTTTTTTTAAATATATTTACCATTTCTGTAAAATATGGTAAAGCACCACAATGATCTAAATGAAAATGTGAAATAATCACACAATCAATATGATTGGTGGCTGGACCTTCTGGAACTATGTATGAGAAATCTGGGAATCGTCTTTCATCATTGAAACCCATGTGCATACCACAATCTAACATGATATTCTTTCCACCCATTGAAACCAGAATGCAACTTCTTCCAACATCTTGGCCAGCTCCCAAAGGAGTAACTTTAATATCCGGCATTTTTCAAAGTAATATATCAATAGCAATAATGTATTTATCTTATATAATTACAAAATGTTATTTGTTGTAATCACTGTGTATAGTTTTGCAAAATTAAAAGAAATATTACTAGCAACAGTCTAATTAAACTATTTCTTAATTACTATTTCAGTATACAGGTAACCTGTACAATGAACGTTTTGATTTTAGTAACAATTTTTTTAAATATTTAACTACATATGTTGTTAAAAACAGTCGGCGAACGAATACTGATCAATGATCTTTCATTTTGTTCTTATTTTTCTGTTATCGAGGACAAATAGATCAGTCCTCATTGCGTCAGACTCCATCACTCCTCATCTCATTTTTTAGCGTTTATTAGTAAACATAACCTCCACCTTATGATATTTAAAATTCCATTTAAAAATGTTAATTTCTAAGCGATGTCAAATTTGTTTGATGCAACCCAATCTGAATGTTATATATACAAATAACTGAGAAAAGAAATTACGAACATTAAATAAATAACCCAGAAATAAAATTGAGATCAATTGTAGATAAGAATGCTTTTTATAGACTTTCAAAATGACCGCCATAAATTGAAATTTTTTCAATTCGATTCTAGCGCCATCTCTACGAAAATGGCTGAAACTACTCAACAAGTTACCGATCGAAAAAAGAAAATCAATCGGTAACTTGTTGAGTAGTTTCAGCCATTTTTGTAGAGATGGCGCTAGGATCGAATTGAAAAAATTTCAATTCATGGCGGTCTTTTTAAGATACACGTTTGTCAAACTTTTATTTGAATAATTTCTCAGTCTAACATAATTGTGACTATAAATGTTGTAAAAAAAAACAAATATATACATTTTTTATACAGATTATATTTACTCAATATTATTTTATTAAGATACACTCCTGCTTATAAAAATAAAACACTTTATGAATAATATAACGTATGTTTCTTGATACGTTTCAAAAACATCTTTAAATTTTTAGTAATTTAGTCAAAGTGTGAAAGACAATTTGTACTCTAATAGGGTTCAAAGCACAATGTGCGTTATAGATAATAGTTCAGGTTTTTTTTTCTACATAATAAGATAGAAATCACATTTCTTAACTGTATGTACGCGACCCCATAATGAGATAAAACTTTCAATTTTATACACGTTTTAATATAAATAATTACTAAAATAATACATGAATTAATGTAAACAGTGTTTTAGAAATCTCGGAAATTAATTAAAGATGTTTGGAAATGTTTAAATTTTAAAATCTACCTTGAAATCTTTTAAGAAATATTAGTAAAGATCGTTTAAAAATTAGTATCATTAATTTCCGAGAATTTTAAAACAATTTATACCTGTGAAATATGTGTACGTATATACACGTTATAAGGATTTTGTACATAAAGATTACTTATAATTTTGTTGGAGGATTCTGTTCTGAAAGAGGTTGGATAATACTGTTTGCAGTATTATGAGATCGTCCTCCTCTTCGCCCTCTGCTTTTTTTATTCTGACTTTTAGCAGGTTTTTGAATTAAATTTTCTTGCTTCGATGTCTGTCCTTCAAACGAAGAATTTGTTTCTGTCGTATCTAATGTCTAATACAAAAATTCACAATTCAATTAGGAAGAAGAAAAAGCATTTAATATATTTTAGATGGAATATAATTATCTTCATTACGTACTTGAATCGTAGATGAAGAATTCTGTCGATTCTGAGACGCTTTATTCGGTTTATTTGTTCTATATGCCTGCGTAACGGTAGTATTAGAATATGGAATAAGTTTTACAACATTGCCTACTGCTTTAGTACGTCCTTCTCTAAATACCATTCTCTGTCCTGGTTTTATATATTCAGGATGCTTTATAAATCTAAAACGAACTAAAGCCTTATCACCAGTTCTTAAACAATCTTGTGACATTGAAATTATAGATGCTGTTTGCCTTATACTTCCACAATGTACTGAAAATAGTTTCATTTTCCTCAATACCTAAATATCAATGAAGGTTTAAATTAAAAGATAAAAAAATTACCCATCGCTTGATAGCAAGAACTTATTGTTGTAGGATGATGTAGTACAAGAATTTCTCCTTCAAATTCCCAACAAGCTTGTGGGTTTAACGCAGGCGCGACCATCACCATACCTTTTCTAATTTGTGATCTCTTAATCTTTTTTAATGCAAAACTAGCAGTTTGACCACCTCTAACTTCGCGAACAGGCATTCGCTTTCTATGTATACTCTTTACCGCGATTGGAATGAAGCGGCCCAAAGGATCAGGTCCCAGTAATAAGGTATCATTTAATTTTATAACACCTTTCAAAGTTGTCCCAGAAACTACAGTACCGACACCCTACAAGGATGTAACAAAAATTTTAATAATTTTTATTCGCAATCAAAGTTTACTATTGTATATGATATTTACAGGTACTGAATATGTATCATCTATTTGAAACTCAGCCGGTTCATCGTCATGACTAGTCATCCTTGCAGTCAATAAGTTTAAGAACATTTTAAGAAGGTTTAAATTTTCACCTGATACGTTTGATACTTGAAAAATAGGACATAACCTGTGTAAATACATTGATAGTTTTAATATTTGTACACCTCAAAGAATATAATGTAAATTAAAACTCACCGTTCAGATACAAAATTAGTAGCACTAACAACAACATCATCTGGTGTTTTCACTGTAACTGGTACTTTCCTACAGCCTGGAGATTTCAAGATTCTTATCAACAGCCTTAAATTTTCTTGTAATATATTCGGTGGGCACATATCAATTTTCGTAACTACAACAAATACTGGAACTGATAAAGCTAAAGCTAAGCCAAGGTGTTCTTTTGTCATTCCAACAATGCCTGCATTTGCTCCAACCATTAACATACCTAAAAATAATATTTTTATTGAAACATATATGTTTTTAAGTACTTTCAAAAATTCTTACCAAAATCAGGAGCATGCCCTGTCATTCCAAAAACAGTTGTTTTTAAGTATCTTTCATGTCCAGCAAGATCAATGAATGTAATAACTTTTGATGACTTCTCACATATTTTAACCCAATCCAGAGAACCATGCTCAGGCTTATTTACTACATTACCTTTAAAAGATGTAGAATATAATGTAGGATGTATGCATATGTAGGATATAATACTGAAGTAATATGTTTATTAATATTGTTACCCTACCAACGCTATCAAATCCAAGAATATCATTCCCAACTGAACTAGTACGTCCAGTTTCAGCTTCATGCTTGTGACGAAATAATTTCTGACGTGCTAAACCTCGACCATTATCAAGTTCCCCATGTGTTAACACACCTAGAAGGGTTGATTTTCCGGCATCAACGTTACCAACAACCGCCACCCTGTAATCAAAATCTGTATAAATTTTTTTTAAACATGTTCTATTTAATGACATCGCTTGAAATAGTTATTTTAACACGTTAACCACCTCCTATTACAAATTTTATTAGTTAGTATTTTCATTCCTAACAAATCTTATATATTACTTTCACAATATTTTGTTATATATGTATATTATCTGTAATACATAGTGACATGGTAGTCAAAGTGTTAATAGTATTTATATTATCTAAAGTAGAGACCTAATTTCTAAGAAATCTTGTGTGTCTAAACGCCTTCGCACTAAATACTGTCCTATAAGACCTTGATCTACTTTGCTCTGACGAAGAAGTACACAGTCGGCTTCTAATGTTGCAGCAAGAGACTGAAGAGTAGCAACTGATGCTTCGTATTCGTCTTCTTTTAAACCATCTTCTGAACCATCTAGAATAATGTACATATTATAAGTACAAATATATATAATTATTCATAGAAAATATTACTTTAAACAATGTACCTTCACCAATACCGATATCAAAAATTGTTTCACTTCCACCACCCTGAATTCTTTCTTTTAAACGTCTAAGTAGTAATTCATACTGATCTTCAGATGGACTAACCAAAACACTCTGAAATTGATTATATATAATACACAATTTATGTCCTCGTATCATAAGGTAAAATGTTAACTTTAATAAGCATACTTTTCCTCTAATACTAGAATAATCTATGTTAGAAATAGATGCATGATCTTTCTCCTGCAGTTGTTTTATAGATGGCATTATAATGGACCCACTTCCTGCCATTCTTTATGATATATATTTTAAAAGTTTTAAAAATCTTATCTGTGGATATTATATATGATTTGATCAAAACTTAAATTACAGACACATTGATACGTTGAACATCTTCCAATATTTAAATCCAAATCTTCTTCTGTAGATTAGTGATATTAATACATACATACTAAATATTGTATGAGTTTAATAACAATATACATAATCAGTTGTCAGAATTATAAGTTATATAAATACTTTGAACACCTCTTTCGCTATAAATCTGAAACAATATAAAAGAGAAAATATTTAGAATTCATAAATATAAATCAATATCTTATTAATCTATGAATAGAACTATCAACTACTATAATCTATTCCTAAAATTCAATGTACCGGTACATAAAATATAAAAAAGAAATGTTTCACAAATAAATACTTGTCTTTAATATTGGAATTTAAAAACAAATTCAGAACTATTTTGCTACAAAAAGGTTCACTTTTTTAAACATATATTATACATATAACTTTCAAAAATATGGTGCTAATGTTTTACACCAAAATCATATATATACATTTTAAATGTGAAAGTAAACGAACAATATGAAAGTTGATAGTTCATTTACATAAGAGTGATCATATTAATTTACCTATTGTGATATGTTTACATCATGTGCTGTTTTTTGCGTGATCGCACAATACACTTTAAATAGATGAAAACAATGATGGGCTTACGAAAAATCTGTCAACGATTGCACGACCTCATCCCATCCAAGTGATGAGCCAAAGCAGCTTAATATATGTATATACATATGTGTGTGCGTTTAAGCAGATTGTAAACCATCGATGAAACATATATCGATAGTGAAAACGATATTTTCGATAGCACTTGAGATCGAATCTGTCGGTTATTTAAACTTTTCATTTCTGTATTTTGTAAAAAACTTTATAAAATAGTATAGAATATAACACATGTTGAAAAATAATTTAAATTCTTATCTTACCCAAAGAATAAGTTTATTATTATATTACATCATGTTGTGAAACATTGCCTTTGCTCCAATATATATACTGCCCACCGATCACAGGAGCTTTGGGGTCTCCGACACCCCACGATGATATCAGGTCGGTATGTAGAGAGCGCCATCGATGCACTGGGGTCCCTAACACCCCGGACGCCATATTGCCGGTATGCAAAGTGCGTCCTCTTGCTTCGGGGTCTCTAACACCACGGATGCCTTCATGTCGGTATAAAAAGACTAATTACGTCATTATGAATGCTTCATTTGCGCTTTCTTAGCATGTCTATCTCTTACGGCTTAGGACTACGCTGGGGTCAAAGTTTTCATGAGATGATAGCGGATCCTTTTATGAGGCATAAAATTGTATAAATAACTGGAAAAAATAAAATAAATGGGGTCCATCATAAATGTTATCCGACTTGATGAGCTTATTTAATAAGCAAAAAAAAATAAATGAAGTAAATTAAATAAACTCTGGAAAAAACTTATACTGGTTGTGCCCCTTTCATACGGTCCTGATATTATCCGGGGTGTCAGGGACCCCGAAGCACCAATGACTATCATTGCATACCGACATTATGGTATCTGGGGTTTCGGAGACCCCAAAGCACCAATGACTCTCTTTGCTTACCGACAATATTGTATCTGGGGTTTCAGGGACCCCGAGTTTCCTCTTGGGGTGCCAAGGACCCCGGTTACCATCCAAGGGGTCCTAAGAACCCCAAAAACAATTCTGGGGTTCTCGGGCACCCCGGATGCAATCTTGGGGTCCTCAGAATCCCGGAACACACATTTGGGGTCCTTGGGATCCCGGAACACACATTTGGGGTCCTTAGGAACCCAGAATACGAGCCCGGGGTTCTTAGGACCCCGTATGCGATCATGGGGTCCGTAGGAACCCAGAATACGATTCCGGGGTCCTTAGGATCCCAGAATACAATTTTTGGGGTTCTCAGGCACCCAGAATACAATCTTGGGGTTCTCAGGCACCCAGAATACAATTTTGGGGTTCTCAGGGACCCCGAAGCAAATAGTGAAATATAAGAACGAAAAACGAACAAATCGTGAAACTTACTTGTTCGGAGTAGTGATGGATTTGACCGGATCTAGCGAAATATAAGAACGAAAAACGAACAAATCGTGAAACTTACTTGTTCGGAGTAGTGATGGATTTGACCGGATCTAGCGAAATATAAGAACGAAAAACGAACAAATCGTGAAACTCACTTGTTCGGAATAGTGATGGGTTTGACCGGATCTAGCGAAATATAAGAACAAAAAACGAACAAATCGTGAAACTCACTTGTTTGAGGCCCTTAAAGACAAAAAATAGCGGAACCTGAGCATAGAGCACCGTCAGCGCTCCGGGGTCCCTGGCACCCCTAATGCCACAATGTCGGCGTCCAGAGAAAGCCACTGATGCTTCGGGGTCTCTAACACCCCAAGATGATTAGGCTCGTGGGCAGAAAGCGCCACCGATACATCGGGGTCCCTGACACCCCGCATGCCATAACATCGGTATATATGTATGTGAGTACATAATGTATTACATATGATTAGTGGGAAACAGGTCATAAAAAGAGTAGTTAAAATTCCAATCGTTTGAACAACAATTATTAAGCAGAAATGTTATTAAATATACATTTTAAAAATTTAGCTTCTCATCAATATTAAAAATCTTTTGGTAAATCCACAGTCCGTGATACTGACACTTCTATAAATGTTGCTTCCACTCTTTACAAATTAGGCCAAATTATACCTAAAAATTTATACTAATTATTAATAAAAAAGTCAAATTAACAAATACTAATAATAAAAGAATTATCAAATGTTGGTGATAACCTATGGTAAAAAGACAAATACATCATAATTACCTCAAAAATCATCATTTTACTATTGCAAACTAATTTTTAGAAGCAACGAGAAATCATTGCATCTTAATTAGTTTGCTTTTAAAAATAATACTGTATAATAGGTAAAACTTACCAACAGTTAATAGAAGTATTATTAATTACATTTCTTCAAAATGTTTGCAATAGTAAAGTCACGATATTGAGGTTATGTACAGTGAAAGGTGTCAAATTTAAGATACGTCAACAAAAATACGATTTTTCTTACTTTTAAATTTAGCATTACAAATAATACACTGAATTTATATGAAAAATGTTACCAAATAGTGAAATAAATAAAATTATAGTCTTTTGCATCTGTATTCACTGATTCTGCTTTTATCGAAGACAGCCAACGCTCTTTTGTAAAGAGCGAGAAGTAGTAAAACTATGTTCCAATTTTAACAAACATAAATAAAACTGCAATATAAATAAATAAACACTTTTAAGTGGAGCAGTGTATAAGTTTGCGCCAACAAGCCCTTAATTTGAATTAATTTCAATTATATTGTTGCTGTACGTATTGAAGATTATTATATGAATTAATATATGTATATATAAATAGTAATTGTTTGATAAAAAATATAATTATATATTAAATGATTAATTTGTTGGTACTAATTAAGAATAGATATTATCGTTGTTGAAAAATTTCCTGAAGACAAATCACGCATATCATAAAATTGTAAATTAAATCTTCTGCTTTCACAAATTTCCGGCGGAAGCTAACCAAGAATTCAAGTGACCGTCTAAAAAATTTCAATGCCGTATATTTAAAAAATTTTGTGACAAAATGTTGTAATTGTACGAGTATTTCTTAAAGTAAATTATTATTTATTTTGTACGATGGATTATATAAATAACAGTTTTATGAACGATTAGTCAAACAGCAAGAAAATAACGCAACGTCGCGAACGGCGTCGGCAGCCAAAATGTCGGCAGTTTTTCAACGTTAAGCGTACCCTCTGTCAACATTTATAAATCTCCATCGAAATCAACATCGAATCAACCAGTAATTGAATCATTGATGATGAATGATCGATATTAGATCCCCATGATACAGTGAAAAATCGGAATCTTCAGAATTTCAAAGGTAAATTGACGTTTCCTAGGTTCTTCCTCGAATTGCTCGGACTTCGTCCCTTTCTCTCGATGTGATTTAGTTAAAAATGGAAAAAATTTATTGTTGAGGTTTTTCTACCGATTTGAAAGCAACGAATGTTTAAAAGAAACATCGTCAAGTCATGATGGAAAATAAAATGTTTAAGTTTAAAATATTTTTGAAGAAATGAAATTAGTGATGTGGTTATATACAGTGACTCACAAAAGTATTCCAATGAATTTTTAGTGTATAATTGAGCTGAGTTTTGTAGTATTTTTTAATAACTGTATTATCTGAATTATAATTCAAACTTCTAATTTTGTATTTATTTTAAGGTACAACAAGTTTGCTGTGCTATACAAATAACATTGTATTAACATTATGTATTGTAATTAGATATATAATTTATTTGTATTGTTGATTTTCCATTTATTTCAATCTGTTGTAATTTTAAATCTTGTTCTATCTATATTCATTTGTATCTTATCACGAATTTGATAATTTCAATAATATGTGTATGTATGTATGAAATTTTCATATAATTCTATTTCTTGTTACGTTAAACATAAATATGTTTTAAATGTCATATAGGGGGACCTATTCGTGTGATAATTGTAAAAATTAAAAATGTAAACATTGTAAATATTCATTGAAACTTACTCTCTGATAATGTAATGTGTTAGGTTAAATTTATATCAATTATTCTATGTGGTTTAAATTGATTATGAAGAGTAATTATAAAGAGAATTTCTATAGTATAAATAATATTATAATTATAAATTTATTTTAACTCATTTAGATATTGTAATAATCAACATAACTGATGTAAAAATATTTATAACAGTGTTCTTATATTTTATATTATTATGTGTTAATGTAAAATTAAATATTATTTTGGTAATAGTAGTAAGAAATTTTGTATTTTATATATAATACTTTAATTTGGATGTATAAAATATTATAGCTCTAGATTAGGATATTTAAAGAATCAAGATATAACTTAAATATAAGTAATGATTAATGAAATGTAAAAAGATGATTTGAAATATGTTCAGTTATTTACAAAATTTTATGTTTTTAATTGTGCATAGGATATGTGACCGGATAGGTATGGTGTTACAAAGAAGTCAAAATGTCTAGTGATAACGATCAAATCCCTCAGTCCGGCAAACGGAGAAAATTTGTCATACACGATAGTAATGATAGCGATGAATCTATAGTGCAATCTCGTCGAAGGAAAAAGACCTCTGTATGTATAATTTCATTTAATATATATAAATGATTTTGAATTTAATGTTGTAAGTAATCATTCATCCTACATTTGCAGAAAGTTATCAGTGAAGGTGAAACTAGCGATGAGGACAGTGATATTCAAAGACCCTCTCTTCGAAGACAGAGCCATGTAAATTTTGTTAACCATATTTTTAATGATTTTGTAAAATGTGATATTAATTCAGAAATGGTTTTATTTTGCAGAGGGTCGTTATAGATGATGAAACAAATTATGAAACCAACAGTTCAGACTCTGATAAATCTAAACAATCTGGTTAGTTGATGAATATTTATTAATTAAAGATCTGTAAATTTACTACTAACAAGCGATGATTAAATCTACTACATTAATCTTTTCAGAAGAAACTAGTGGAACTTTAGAATCACAATCAGACTGTAGCAGTTCAGAGTTAGAAAAAAGATCTCTTGTTAGACGAAAGTTGCTAGGCAAATCAAGATCCAAGAAACCACCAAAAATTGTATCAGAAACAGATTCAGACAGTAACGATGAACAATTAGAGAGATGCCCAATTTGTCTACTTCCCTTTAGAAAACAGCAATTAGGCACTCCTTCTAGCTGTGAACATTGTTTTTGTTTGGAGTGTTTAATTGAGTGGAGTAAAAATATAAATACATGTCCTGTAGATCGACAAATTTTTGCAGTAATTCACGTTAGAGATAAACCTGGTGGTCAAGTATGTTGTACTATATTAAGATTATAAAATTATTTACAAAACTGATATTAATATCAATTTCTTTTGTTCTTGTAGATCATAAAATGTGTTCCAGTGGAAGTAACTCCCCGTGAAGAAGAGAGTCTAGATGATCTTACATTTTGTGAAGTGTGTCATCAAAGTGATAGGGAAGACCGTATGCTTCTTTGCGATGGTTGCGATTGTGGTTACCACTTGGAGTGTTTGAATCCTCCACTGAATGAAGTTCCTGTGGAAGAATGGTTTTGTCCAGAGTGTTCGCACAATAGTCAGAGTGATGCAGAAGCTGTAAGATTTTTACTGTACGACTTTATTTTATGATTTTGCTGAAACTTCATATATTTACTTTAATGTTCAATTCTAGGTGGAAATTGATATGGATGAAATCTCAGATTTGATGGAAGAAGCACGTAGACTTGGTGTTTCTTATGGAAGATCTCGTACTAATATGCTTCAAGATTCTCACCGGAGAATTATACCTCGTACTAGACATACAGAACGTGTTAGAGCTATTATTCGCAGGTATTAATAAAATTTCAAAAAATGTAATTTAACCCTTTTTCATTAAGCATCTATGTAGAATTTCAGATGTTCACAAAAGGGTTAAATTTCACTTATTTCCCTTCCTTTAATGTACATTACAATGTATGATATTTCAGGAGAAACAGAGTGGACGATAATTTGCAAATAACTCATCATCAACTAACATTTGATCCAAACCAACCTTCTACTTCATCGGGTTTAGAGTCTTTTGGAGATAATAGTCAAAGTCGTTCTCCGAGTAATACCTCCAATTCTAGAGACCAGAATTGTTCGAACAAACATTCTAGAAAATCACACAAATCTCGAAAATACAGAAGCAGTTCAAGTGATTCTAGCGATGAAAGTATATCCGGCAAATCACAAAGAAGACTTGGTAATAAAAGTAACGCTGAAGGTTCTGATAACAAAAAGACCAGAAGAAAAAGTAGCGGTAAGAAGTTTGGAAGTAATTCAAAAAAGAGTGGGAGCAGAAAGTCTGGAAGTAGACGTTCGAGAAAATCTAGAAGATCTAAGAAAGTTGCTGATCGTGGTGGCACATTATTAAGAGAAGTTAGAATTACAGAGCGTAATGAAAATGGAGAGGAAGAAGAGATTGTAACGTATGTGAAAGTGGCTTCAGTTGGGCCAAGAAAAAGAAAAACAAAACGAAGAAAGGTATTTTAATATTCCTTTCTGAAAACTTAATAAGATAAAAAATTTTTGCTACAAAAAGAAACAAATGAGTGTTGTATTTATATTTACCTTCTCAAATAAAATAAAATAAAAATACGTCTTTTCTTTTTATAGAGGAGACGGTTCAGAAGGCAAGCTAGAACTGTGTCCAGTGTTTTAGCTAATACCAAAAAAAGACTAGCAGCTTCTTTGGGTATTTGTAAGCCAGTTAAAGGTGTTCCCGCTTTATTGCCTAGTATTAAAAACCGTACAGTTTTAACGGAAAGATCCGCGTTGACTATTTCTAGATATAATGCTGGAATTTCAAGGCTTAGTTTATTTGGAGATGGTTTAAATTTGGATTACAGTCCTCCAGGGTAAATGCAGTATTATATTTTTCATTAAATAATTGAATATGGTACATAAAATTTACTCGGTATTCCCATCGCCTATAAATTTCATAATCTCATAAATTCTACTCATTAATCATAATATTCATTTTAATTAACAATAATTAATTAAGTAATGAAATTAAATATTTGCATACTAACAAATTAACATAATAAATAAGAATTGATTAAATTTTTAAAATCTACTGTTTGTAGATCAGACAGTGAAGACTATCGTGCAAGTGTTGGTCCTACAATAACCATTCAAAGACGTTCTGTGATCTCAACTCGAAGACACCTGCATCTGAAAAGTATTGCTAATCCTCAACAATCACAAATTGATCTTGTAACAAGTATTCTAAGTAATCAAGAAATTTGGCATTCAAAAAATAACAATGCAACATTGAAAGCCGATGGACTTGTTGTAAGTGAAAAACAAGAAAATTCTGATGATCTGAAAAAAGAAGAAAGAAACGCTTCTAAAACGGAAGAAACAGTTTCTATTATAGAAGACAGAATTTCTAGAACTGATGCACCGTTAGAAATATCTGGAATCAATCCAGAGTTAATTACACAAGCTCCAATGTATAACAATCCTTGTGGGGGAGGGAACAGAGGAAATTTCAGAGGTGGTTACAGAGATAACACAAGGCATAATCACGGAGGACAAAATTATGGAAGAGATACTCTACCTGGAAGCGGAAGACACGGTTACGGAGGGAGTGGAGGTAATTTTGGGAGAGATTTCGGTCCACCTGCATTTTTTAATCCAAATTTTGAACATTGTGGCCCTCCGATGTTTGGAGGTAATCCTCCGTTTAGAAATCGTAATCCACAACACTTTCGGAATGAAAGGTATTAACTATACGTTCATTCTTATGATTTATTAAAATCATACAAGAAATTTTAATCATATTTTATCAAATTCACAGATTCCGTTTCATGCCTCCAGGAAGACCTCCCTTTACTTTCGGTGAAGGTTTTGAACATCATTCCTTCCCTGAAAGGTTTGGTCGGCCTAGATCTCCCCAAGCTTCTGTTGAGCGTTCTCAAAACAATATGCCAGCAAATTTACCAGAAGATACTCCCAGAAATGAGTCCGCAGAGCATCAGTCGCAAGACAATGAAAATACTTCGGTCAGACAGGAGGAGGATTGTGATATTTATTGTGACATTGAAACAACAAAATCCGATGGAGAACTCCAAGACCAACAAAATGGTTCCATGGCTTTATTACCACCTCCTGAACCACCATCGGGTCTTCTAGATTTTGAAGAGAATTCCAGAAGTGACAAAGACAGTGATCAGGAATTAGTTATTGATGATACTCAGAAAGAAGATACTCCAAAAAACGATAAGTACGATCCTTTCTCTGTGGACAGTGATAGTGATAGTGAAACGAAGAAGAACGAAGAAGTTACAGAAGCAAAGACAGAAAGTCAGACTTTGAAAAGTGTTCCACAACCTGAAGTAGATACATCGTTTCGCTTATCAGCTTACGACGATGAAGAAGAAGAGGATTCTCAAGCAGACTGTCCAAATTTCTCGATTTATTCCTCCCAGACAATGGATGTAGCACGACATACTGAACAACAATTATCCCAGCAAATTGGTCCTCTCGAACCACCCCCGTTACCACCTTCGATTCCAGATGACGATGATGTCATTGTTGGCGATGTTCAGGCATGCGATCTTGCTGACATTCCAGAACCCTCGGATCCATACGTCGAAGCTTTACGGAAGGAAAGGCAGACTTTGAGTAAAATTCCACCAAAGAAAATTTCTCATGATAGTAGAGGGAAAATTACATTCAAAATTGGTACTAAGTTAAAGATTAATAATAGGTTGTTAGGATTACAAGAGGAAGAGAAGGACAGTGATGAGGAGAAGAAGAAAGAAGCTGAGGTAAGTAGAGCTGGAATAATATCAGAATTTTAGCTTTCACCTCTGACAGCAACTTACCCTTACGATCAATTTTAATTATGAATACCTCAACTTAATATTGTTGTTACAGCAAGCAAAAGAGGAAGAAACGTCAGTTGATCGTGAAGAAGAACGTAAGAAAATTGCCAAAAGTAAATATGAAGAAGAAATGGCATCAAAGGAGGAAGAAGAAGAAGATGACGAAGAAGAAGAAGAAGAAGAAGAAGAAGAAGATGAAGATGATGATGATGATGAAGAAGAAGAGAAAGAAGAAAGAGATATAGAAAAACCTTTATCCGCAGCCAATGTCTCTGACTTCCAGGAAAAAGACATAAACGAGGAACAAACGGAAAAAGAGTGGCCAGAAGTATCTAAAGCCGACACCATAGAAACTAGTTCCAACGGAGTCGTTTCAGCAGAAATAATTGAGTTATCTCCAAAAAATATAAGGAACAAATTAAACAGTGAATACGTATCAGAAGAAGATGATTCTGAACTTCACAAGACACTAACACTTGATGAAGAAAGTTCAACAAAGATTTCAAAAATGGAAGAGAAGCATGATGATGCAAAAATCAAAGATCTTGATGATTTGGAGAGTGAAAAAGATGACAAAGAAAAGTGTCATATTGAAGAAGAAGAAGAAGAAGAAGAAGAAGAAGAAGAAGAAGAGGATGAAGACGAAGACGACGATGAGGAGGACGAAGAGGACGAAGAAGAAGAGGAGGAGGAGGAGGAAGAAATTTCAATGGGAAGATTCCCTATCGAGAAAGACAAATCGGATAAGAAAAGCCCAATCGAAGAAGATACTAAACAAATATGGGAATCTGATGGAGCTTACACCCCTTGTAAAGATGAACTTCCTCTAAGAGAATCAAAATCCTCTTCCGAACAATTATCACAAATTGAAAGCGGGTTAGAACCGATCACTCCAACAAAGGATAAACCTGATGACTTGGATAGCTGTAGAACTCCTGTAGACTATAACGCTTTAGGCACAGAAGCAATTTCAGAGACGGATGAAGCAATTAATTTTGAAGATGAACTCACTTTACTGAGTCTACGGAAGGAGAAAGAAATGGAGGATGGAGAGATCGTCGAAGAGAAAAGTACAATAGATGGTGAGAAAGCAGAAACTGATAAAGAGGACGATAAAAAACGTAAGAAGAAGGAAAAGAAGGAAAAGAATAAGGAGACAGAAAAGAACAAAGAAAATATTGCTTCGGAGAACCAAGTAGCATGGAAAAAGCTTTCAAAGAGTACAAAAGAGAGATCTTATAGGGATAAAGAAAAGCGATCAAAATCAAAGGAGAAAGAGAAACCGAAGAAGAAGAAAGAAGTGGTTAAGAAAAAAGAAAAAAGGAAAGAATTGCCTAGGTATGATGTTAGGAAAATAGTTGCGGAAAGGCCTTCGAGACCAAGAAAAGATGAATATGGAAGGGATATTAGAGAGAAATCGAGACAGAGAAGTAGATCTAGAAGCTGTTCATCCAAGCGTTCCAGATCATATTCGAAACTGCGATCCAGAAGTAGATCCAGAACAAGATTGCAAAGATCCTGGTCAAGAGATCGTAGATCATACTCGAAATCTCTTTCCAGAAGAAGATCCCTTTCCAGAGGGCGACGTAAATCGCCCAAAAGGAGATCAACTTCCAGAAAGAGATCTCCTTCAAGGAAACGATCCCTTTCTAGAAGAAGATCCAGATCAGTTTCCAGGAAAAAGAGATCTCTGTCAAGAAGGAGATCCAGAAGATCAATCTCAAGGTCTAGAAGATCCCTTTCAAGATCCAGACAGAGAAGATCTCTATCAAGATCCAGAAGATCCTTGTCTAGATCCCGTGACAGACGTAAGGATAAGAAAAAATATAAATCTAGAAGTAGATCAAGGAATCGAAAGAGATCCCGGTCAAAGTCACCCAGAAAATCTTCAAAATCGAAAGAAAGGAAACATTCGAAGCGAAAGGCGCAAAGTAGATCAAGATCGAAAGGAGGATCTTGTTCCAGAAATTGGGAGCAAGTTGATAAAATAGTGGAGCAAGATTTCTCGAGAGAAAGAGAGGAAAGGGAGTCCTGGAGTGCTCAATGGACGCCATCGTGGTCAAGATCAAGATCAAAAACACCGCCTCACGTACCACAGGATGCAATTGCATCTAGAGAGTGGTCCCCGATGCTGGAGAATGTTGCAGTTCCTCCCAAAAATTTAACTGTTATTCTAACAAATAAGGAAGCAATTAAAAAGAAGAAAAAGGAAAGGAGAAAGGAAAGTAAGAAAGGGAAGGATGAAAAGAAGAGAAAAGGAAAGAGGAATAGAACTCCGCCGCCATCGAAGGAGGTGTTTGCTAGCGGGGATAATATTTTGGTCAGCGTATGTTTCAACAAAGATAATGAAAATGATCAGCCAGGGGTTCCAGAACTTCCAGAAACAATTCCTTTGATTCCTCCTTTAAAAAGACGTCGTAGAGAATCTCTACAGGCAGATCCTCCGAAGCGTTCAAAGAAAGAAAAATCAAAGGATAAACGTTCCAAGTCCCCGAAACCTAAAAAGGATAAAAAGAAGAAATCAAAAGCTGCTGAAATAGCAGCGACAAAGAAACCAGTAGCTGTGATTGATTTGGACCAGTCTCCGTTCAGAGAACAGACTCCATCGCCAAGAGATGTGATAGTTCTCAGCGATGATGATGACAAACAAATTCAACAAACTACACCGGATCAATGTCAACCTTCTCAGAATTCTCCTCCACGAGAACAATTTGTTTCTCAAGGTCCTAAGACGCCCCCTGAGCCACAGATAAAATTCTCAATAAATAAACAAACTAATAACTTAAGACCATCCATGTTAAATCCATTATTAGACGAGGAGGAAGAAGAAGAGATGGATGAGAGAGTTGAAGAAGAGTTAGAAATGAGAGCGCAAGAGGAGTTGGAATTAAGATTGAAAATTGGACCAAACACTCCTCCTGAGCCTCCGACTTCTCCTCCTACTAGTCCAGACGCTTACGATCCGTTTGATCCAACAAAATCTAGATCGCCAACACCTGATGCCAGTCAGGAAGCAAATTCCAGCGATGAAAGAAGAAGGTCTCCAAGAAAACATGATTCTGTGGATGGAAATATTCTTGATATCGAAGAGGAAAACATACAAATGCCCCAGGAGAGACAGAGTCAAGAGAAGCAACTGGAGAAACCTAAGATTATTTCTATGGTGACCATCAAGAGAGCTTCTCCGCAGAGAGATGATGCGAATGAAAATGATAATAATAAGGACATTGCTGTTTCGACTGGGAATCTAGAGCCACAACAGAACCAACAACAGAATGTACAGAATCAGAGTAATCCTTTTGCAGTGATGAATCCTGTACTAGCTACGGTAGCTGCAGCAGTGCAAAGAAGTGGTGTATTTAATACGTCAAATTCAAACAATAGTCAACGTAATTTGTTACAGCCAAATAGAATCTCACCGAGTAATCAGCAGAAGCAGCGTTCAGGAGATCGTTCTCAAGCATCTACGGGGTTCACGAATGCTGGAAAACAAAGAGGTTCAAAATCCGGACAGACAACAAAAACAAATGGACAGAATGGGAATGATGCAGGTACGGAAACTACAGACAATGTGGATATGTCTTCTCCTTATTCCCCTGGATCAACTCTTAGCGATGGTATGTTTGATCCACCAAGTCCTACGAATTATAATAATTCACCTGGAGCTGGAACAGCAGGCGGTGGTGGAACAGGACCTGTTAGTAGTTCTCAGACTACGAAAAATAGCAGTTCGAAAACAACAAAAACTGCCGAAAAGAAGGATGCTTTTGATGCACTGTTTGGTGCTGCGCCGGTTACAAAGACTGCTACTAGCAAACCAAGTAAAACAAAGAAGTCTGAAAAGGATAAAAAGAAAAAGTCCACGAATCCTAAAGTAGGTGTTAGAATGGATGAGAATCAGCTTCAGATATTAGATGATCTTCCAAGTTCTGCCGTGGAAATGCAAGTCAAGGATAAGGTTTGGTTTTCATACAAATTTATCATAATTTCAGTTCTAAAATATTTTTACGTTTTTCTATAATATAATCATCATTCACTTATGCTTAGAAATCATTCAAAGTTTACTTTAAATTATTTTGTATTTTTATGTAGTTCCTAAAGAAATTAAATCGTCAAGAACGAGTGGTGGAAGAAGTGAAATTGGTCCTGAAGCCCCATTATACAAAGAAACATGTTACAAAAGAAGAGTACAAGGATATTATGCGTAAAGCAGTACCCAAGGTAAAAAATATAAATATTCATTACGTTATTGTAGAATATGTATACGTATATGTTAGAAGTACTCTGTACTAATTAGGCTCGTGTAAGATTAGGGGGTCAGTCGATGTGTGGCAGTACCCCCTCTTATCCCTGTGCCACCCCGTGAGACTTTTTCTGATCGGTGGAGAGATGATTATTTTTATAAATGCTATTTGTTTTTATGTTTTTACATTAGATATGTCACAATAAGACGGGAGAGATCAATCCGAAGAAGATTGCCCATTTAATAGAAGCTTACGTTAGAAAATGCCGAAGTAGTAAAAAGAAAACTACTGACAGTTCCTCTGCGAAGGCCTCTAAACCCGCGTAAGTATTTTTTTTTTTATAATTCGATGCTTTTCTCATTTTTTAATTCAAGATTTTCAAAAAGTCATATTCTCCAGCCACTTCAAATACACAGAAACGCGGGAAAACATGCAAATTTAAAATAGTAAATTTAGAAAAGTTTATCTTTTTTTTTTCTTTAACGTCATTTTGATTAGATACATAGTTACAATTGAAATAACTTGAAATTTATTTGTTATAGAAAAATTTTGTGGAGTTGATCACGAGTCAGCTAGGTGTCTGTTCAATTCCCTTCAATTTTGTAGTTCAGACGATCGTCGTGCTCGATAAGCGGTGAGTGAGCTTCGAGACAGCTAGTCTCCTCTTCGATGATGCGATGTATCTTATATTCTCTGTAAATACGTAATTAATTCATTGATTGGTCGGTTGATTGATTGATTGATTGATTGATCGGTTAACTTCTAAGAATACCATTGATTATTTATATAAACGATATCCTTTTTCTCATCAGAAAGTGTAAGTGTCTCTACGGAAGATCCATTATTTTTACACAACAATGTATTCTCCTTTTTTTTGTTTTTCTTAAAAAAATCAAGTTTTACTACTATGTTCACATCTAGTGAAATTTGTTAGAATTTGTGATCTTTGTTAAGATATATCAAGTGTAAGAAGAGATCAACGTGGATAATTTGTGTTCATTAAAAGTGTTTCAAATTAATATATATATATATTTTTTTTTTTTTTCAAATCACACATTTACTTTTTACAAGTTATTGAAAACGTAACGAAAGAACATGACTGAATTTTGTATTAAATTTTTTATGTGCAGTATATTATTAAAAAAACTGTCAAATAATAAAAATTGTGTAATTAGATTTTCTGAAAAAAACAAAAAAAGAAAAAAAAAGAAATATGTAAATTTTATAAGAACAATATTTACATACACTGGTTGTTCATATTAATAAGTAATTGATATTTTAACAATTATTTATTCAATTAGTTAGCTCTTATTTAGTAATTTTTATTTCTAATAAAGAGAAAAACATTGATATTTAATGATTGTTGTATTTATAATACATGGAGATGCATGCATCACAAACGAACACTTGGCTTTTCCGCAGAGACTCGTCATTCTCATATTTCTTAATGCACATGTAAAAATGCTTAAATCCCGCGTTTCAGACATATATATTGTAATTTCATTCTTTCTATAGAGTTGGACATTATTCGAATAAACTGCTGTTATTATTATATCCTTATTATCATTAATACTATCTACTATTTTATTGTTATTAAAACTATTGTATGTATTATTAATATATAGCTAATTATTTTAATGGATTCCAAAGTAACTTTTTATTTATTTTTAAGTTTATCCACTGATCTGTTTGAATGAATGAAATGATGTTCGAATAAACATTACAGTTTAAAGCAAAATTGAGTGAATGTTCAACAAATATAAAAATTAAATTTAAAAAAAATTTAATTATGAAATTTAGTAACAAGGCACAATCCAGAACAATTAATAAGCAGCAAAATTAAAATATGTATATTATAAATTTTCCATAAACGGTTTTCTAATAAAATTGATAAAGGAACGTATATGAATAAAGTGCTAAATAAATAAGTACTTTATTCGTAGATTCTTATTCGAATAAAAATTGTCCAACTCTAGGTGTTGTATAGCCATAAAATATGTATGAATGTGTGCAAGATAGAATGAATGAAACTTAATTTTAAGACATAGATTTTGTCTCGTGAAATTGTAAAGTAAGAATCTTTGAAAGTGTAGATGCTACCCAAATTTGATTGGCCAGAATTTGTCCAGTCGTATTCCAATGATGGCCAACTATATTTCTTTAAAATATTGAACGGATGATGTTCGATTCTTTTCACGAGTAAACATAGTTGCAGTCTTTTTTAAGTTTGAATTAATGAAAAACTTTGTTTATTAACACTACAATACGCAATGTTTAATTATAATTAATAACTGCATTACATTATATTGTACTTAAGTTCTAATTTATCCCTCAAAGGTTAAACAAGTTCATTGAAAACATAAATTAAAAGAAATGTGATTTTTAAACTCAATTTTAAAAATAATTATTGAATATGATACAAAAATCAATAAACAAGTATAAAGAAATTCCCATGCCCTATGACCTACTTAATTTGTCCATGATCATTATCAGGAGTGTTGATTACTGCCGTTTACATGGCTTTTTATAATACTAGAACGATGTTGAATATTATTAGATTAGATACATTATAATAATATTCGAGAAAAGAAATTGATTTTTAATTGAATCAATTATTTTCTGAGATTAAACAGATTTCGTACATATACAACTGGTTTGTTATTCATAAATATCTATTTAAATAGATCATTTAATAGTCTATCTAATTAGTAGTCTAATTATATCGATGAAATTAATAGTACAGGATAATATGTATGTATTTTCTAGTTGAATTCACCTTTCTCTATGTACTTTCTTCCTGTTTTACTCTATAATATTTATTATGTTATATTACACATTATTTATAAACTCCGTGCTGAAGTAATTTATTAAACAATATTCGATTCAGTTAGAATACTTATGCGTAAGATTAATAATTAAATGAAAATAATCAGATGTATGGAATTTAAATTTAAAAGTAATCCATAATCGCGCCCACACTCCCATTTCCTGGAAAAAAAGATGGCGCTAGCACAAGCATTTGACGAAGGTAGTAATTGTATATAAGTTTCACAGGTATTCGAAAGTAATATGGGCACAGATTTGTGATGATGTATAAAATGAAAATTAAAGCAGTTATTTAAAAATAAGAAATATGCATCAACATTATACATATATTAAACGTTAAAGAATCGAACAAAAAATATCCCTAGGTCAGTAAATTTTGATACGTTTTGTCCTAATAAATTAAACAATTAGGATGTGAAAAAGAAAAATTGAACTTAAACCGATGATATTCAAAAACCGGGAAATCACAAACGCAGTTTGTAAAATTAGGCGCGAATAATAAATGTGTGTGTCTGTGTATGCGTGTAAAATTTTTTGTACTAAATAATAATGTATATACAATGAAGGGAGAAATAAAGAATTTATTATTATCGAAGAAATTACAGTTAAACTATTTGTTTTGTAATTTAATATTTTATTCAGAATTAAATTCTCAGCTTATTTTCGTCAGTGACTAGAAATACAAAAGACTGGACATGCCTTCAGGGGGTCCCAGACACCCCCAAGTGAAATTAGATCTCCGTGTACTATTAAAGCTTTAAATCAAGTGTGAAGATATTTTACCTGTATATTTGAGAACGTAGGATCATTTAGCAGCCTTGGAAATGCCCAAAAGTTCCTTTTTTCGCCAAAAAACGAAATATTTCGTATTTCGTTCTACAAAGTATTCCAACGGGGAAACACTGTCGCCCTCTATCAGGAAGCCGCTGAAACTACTCGACAGATTATCGACTGCAAGCGGAGGATTTTATACTCTTGCAGTCGATAAGTTGTCGAGTACTTTTCGCGGCCTCCCGATAGTCGGCGCTAGTGTTCCCCTGTTGAAAAAACCTACCGGTAAATTGTTGAGTAGTTTGCGCCATTTTTGTATAGATGGCGTTGCAATCGAAGATGAGAGCATACCCTCCTCCCTTCTCGACGCCGGGAGGCCGACTGATGCGCTTCGGCGCCAAGCGGTTAATATATAGTCGAATTTCTGATCAGCCTACCGACCATAAATTAGTAAATTAGTCAATAATAAATAAAAGGGATGGCAGCTCAAGCACTATAAGAAGGATAAACTAACATACTTTGAGTTATTTATAGCAATTTAATTAATAATTTGTAGTGTATATTTACAGTTCAAATAAAGTAAGAACATCCGTTCATATGGAGATGAAACTAATTTTTATGTAGTAAATACAAAAATAATATCAAAAAATTATTACAAAAATACGAATTCTCACAGCAATTGATTTCAGGATGCATTAACAGGAAAGTTGAAAACTGGATATTATTTTGGCAATATTCGGATGTGTTTATTGAATAATTAGAATTGTTATTTAAATATAAGATTTAAAAATATGTTTTAAGCAATGTTAAAGGTTTTTCGTTACGTGAATTTCTCTACTTCAAATCAATTTTTTCGGGTAAGCAGGAAGCATTTCTTCCAAAATTTTAGGTTAAGTTTTCAGAACTGAAATTATTTAAATTATAAGTTTGATTTTATTAAATTAATTATTTTAATTGTATCGATTCTTAATTATAATTGTTTAAATTTGCGAATGTCAATTATTGTTAGGATAATTTTCCGTCGTGTTTATGTACTACAGATTGAAAGTAATTTTATAATTGTGTTTTTTTAAAAGGGCCATCGAACGTGGCAAAAAGTCATAATGAAGGATGAAGTGATGCCACCAAGTAGATTAGATCCAGTGATTACAAAATTAGATAATGCATTATTTCACTCTTTATTTACATCTGAACTTAACACCTTGGCACAATTGTTTAAAAAACGTAATTATGAACTAAGGATTGCTGGTGGTGCTGTCAGAGATATTTTGATGGGTATAAAACCAAAAGATTTAGATTTTGCAACAGATGCTACTCCACAAGAAATGAAAAGTATGTTCATAGAAGAAGATGTTCGGTTGATTAATACTAATGGAGAAAAACATGGTAAATTGAAATCTGTTACACTGTGCTTACACTTATCGAAGATAATTGAATTCATTACACATTTTTAAGGTACAATTACACCAAGAATAAATGATAAAGAAAATTTTGAAGTAACTACACTCAGAATTGACACAGCTACTGATGGTAGACATGCAAAAGTTGAATTTACTAAAGATTGGAAATTAGATGCTCTTCGTAGAGATCTTACAATAAATTCCATGTTTCTTGATCTCGAAGGAAGAATATATGATTATTTCTTTGGCTATGATGATTTGCAGAATAGAAAAGTGGTTTTTGTTGGAAATGCATCATTGAGAATTAGAGAAGACTATCTTAGAATCTTAAGGTATTTCTTAAATAATGAATACAGTTTACTTGTTAATATTTTGAATATTGAAATTGTCCTCTTTCACAGGTACTTTCGCTTTTATGGAAGAATCGCAGAACACCCTGACTTACACGATGAAAAAACAATAACAGCGATCAAAGAAAACATACAAGGGTTACAAAATATATCTGGAGAAAGAATCTGGAGTGAATGGTCGAAGATTCTTAGTGGAAATTTTGTGAAAGAGATAACTTTAAAAATGTTGGAATGTGGTATTGCTAGGTAAATCTTAAGTTAATAATTATGGTAATTTGATTATAATTTTACTATCACAATTATATTTTTTCAGATACGTTGGTCTTCCAGAAAATTTAAATGTAAAAAATTTTGAAATTCTCTGTGAAGCAGCTAAGAAAAATAATATTTCTTTCCACCCAGTTTCATTTCTTGGCGTGATGTTAAGCAACTCGGATGAAGTACTACAACTGCATAACAGATTAAAGTTTTCTGCATATGATAGAGATTTAGCGTATTTTTTAATTCGATGTTGGAACGAAAATCCACCAATAGATGCTTTGAAGTTTTATAAAAAAATGCTTGTTCATTGGAAAGGGAGCATTAATGTTGCAAAAAATTATGTTTGCGAATTATTAAAGTGCAAACAGCAGTTTAGTCTTGCTGAAGAAGTGGAAAAAACAGTGATACCTAGGTATTAAGAAAAAATTAGAAATTGAAACATTGTAACTTTAACATTCTATTGTAATCAACATAATTATTTTTAGATTTCCGGTTAGTGGAAACTCATTGAAAGAACACGTTAAAACGGCAAGGATGATAGGTATTGTTATCAAAGAATTGAAAGATATTTGGTTAGATAAAGATTTCAAATTGACCGCTGAAGAATTGCTTCAAGAAGTTCCACGAATTGTCAGTGAATTAGAAGATAAATGTTGCTATCAAAAAGGTTAAAATTTTTACTCAAGGAAATAAAATTTTTACCAAAATCGTATGGTATTTTTTGTGCATTTTAATATTTTAGAATTTCATAATATATTAGTAATATACATTCCTAGTAAATTCGTAAGTATTTATTAAAAATTTGTGGATATCGTCAAAATGCATGTTGACTAATTGCAAGTATTTTTAAAAATCCCAATAATTTCTGAATAATAAAACTATTTATAATTAAAAATTACTATTATGTCTGTAAAAAGAATGAAAAAGAGAAAAAATAATTATACATTATTAACAATGTATAATATAGAAAACATTCTGTATTAAGGTTTTTAACAGTATAAGACACATTTATTTTTAAGAGCATCACATATTTATAGTAAATTGCAATTCCTTAAAATCTATTTACACGGTAAGTTGATAATGTGAAAGAATATTCGCAAGGAAACTCTATCTTCAAAAGAGTCGCGTCGTTATTTAACATTAGATTATGCACTGAAACCTTCGTTATTCCTTAAATTATATCAATTTTAAATATCGTAAATCTATTTTACTTCCAAATATGGAAATTCTTTTATTTCAATAACTAAAATCCTATTAAATCACAAAACAAAACCTACTAACAACATGTAGAAACGTAATTTTTTCTTTGTAATTTAAATCTAATTATTTGTTTATAAATATTTAGAATAATTAGGTTCCAGTGCATACTTGATCTGTAAAATAAAATTCTAATCGAACCTAAACAAGCTTTAAAAGCAACTTGAAAATAACAGTCAACTCATCCTTTTTTTATACAATTTTGCTCAAAAGAAAACTAACTTTTCCTTAGGAACACCTTTAGAAACAAAATGTTACACCAATTTCATGTGAACACATTATCAGGTTGATTTTTTATAATTCTATGTATTTACTTTTACCACTCCGCATCACCATTCATTTTCTGAAAAACATAATCCTTACCACTGAGGTTCATTATACCGTCTTTGAGGTAGAATTTCCACTTATTTCTACTCCTTGTTATCTAAAAATTGTTCATTAAATTGTTTGTTACACAGTGGACATTAAATAGAAAGTGAATTAATTTATAAAGAAAACGATAAAATTAATAAATACCTTATCATATTGACAAACAACTACATTTTCAGTATCAAAAAGATCTGTTGGATCGTCATCCGTTACGTCATCTTCCGAATTTAATGGTTCCTGAAAATTGAAAACCATATATCAAAAAAGAAATTTTTAATTTGTTAATAAAGATTTAGAAAGCTGAAATAAAACATTTTAAATACTTCTTCTCTTGTAGCAGCTTCATCATTTTCCTCTTCTTCTTTATCATCAAGATCTTCTTCTTCATCTTCATTATCTTCCTCTTCTTCCTCTTCATCATCATCTGACGAATCTCCAAGAGGACCATCTAACTGTGCTATGTTATTCTGTAACAAAGATAAGAATTAATTTCCACTTACAAAAACAAAAGAAAAGACTATGTAATGATATACCTGACTTTGAACAGGCCGTTGAGAGACATTATTGGCACTTTGTGTAACTACTTGAAGAGGCTGACTAACTTGAAGTGGAGCTAATGCCTGACCCTGAAGCGTGGAATTGACATGCTGCTGGAGCAATGTACAAGCCAGGTTAGCTGGTAATCCCATTGCAGCTGAAATAACTGGGCCCGTCAGAATTGTATGCAATTGATTACCTGAACACAAATTATTACAATTAAATTTCAATGGCATTAACACTTGTACACATCAACATTAGTATATATTAAATTATTATATACCTTGAATTGCCGACGCCGGAACCTGTATAGTTAAAACTCTTTGCTGAGCATCTGGTACACCTGTTTGTGGTGGCAATGTTATTTGAATAGGTACTTGTCGGTCCATCACTGCTGACGTAGATGTGACTAACTGCTGCACCGGTGCACCAGCATGCTGTTGTATACCAGTTGTAGTCGAATGGCATTGTGTTTGTGTTTGTGTCTGCTGAGGAGCCTGTTGTTGTTGTGGTTGTTGCTGCTGCTGTTGTTGTGTTGTTTGTTGCGGAGCTGAATTTCCTCCTGATTGTTGTAAAAAGTGGTTTCCCATATTTACTCCTGAAAAATGGAGACTGCATTATACTTGTCGAGATTACTCATTTATATTAACTTCAATTATACTTTTAATTTTTTATAGATTTAATAATATACAAATTAATTTGCTACTAATACATTTTTCTTATTTATGGATATAAGATAATTACCTTTATTAACAGGCACAGTTTTGTGTGTATTTATTTGAGGCACCTGAGGCTCTGGGGGATCTGGATTTAGTTCGACTGCTTTACTAGACATTAATTTGGTTTCCCATATTTGTTTGAGCTCCTGTAGTACTTGTTCATCTACACCTTCATCTATGAATGATTCTCTTACACCCGATATAACATCCTCTATCACAGTATTGTATAGTTTTAGCTGTAATCAATATATATTTTACTTTATAATGAAGCTCTTTAAATTTAGGATTTAAATTAATTTATTTATTGTACAATTTTACATTCATTTCATTACATTTATATTTACTTTGTATCTAGAAAACATAACAGGGTAACCTAGTGTATTTAAAAAATTTAATATTTTAAAATAATATAGTTCATAAACTTATTTAATATTTTAATATATTGTATTTCTACAGGCATTGTTTCTTTTATTATATTTAAAACAAATTCTAACTCCTATTAATACAATTTGTACAGTCATTATTGTTTGGGATTTATTTAAATAAAATAGTGATTACAATTAACGAAGTATAACAATGTTTTGAAAAAAGAATTAAAAAAATGATTCAAGGAAAGTTGTAAGAAATGTTATTCGTTTTTTATCGACGAAATTCTAAAAACATATTATAAATTAGTAACCTATAATAATTAAAATTTCATTGATGATATATAAATTTAATGTGGAAAGTTTTGTCTGAATCAAAGATGAGAATAACAAATGTAATGGTAATAACATAAAAAAAAACAGTGATAAAAATCATCATCGTCATCATGATGGTTATAATTAACTGTTTCTTTTATCAGTATCTACCTTTTATTCATACTTATTACTCACCACACTTGTCTGACTGAGGGCCATTGCAAGGATAATTCGTATTGTCTAATTAAAAGAACAATATGAACAATCCAACGAATAAATCAGCCCCAGTTCAGAAGCCGATTCGTCGTAGCATCGCTCTTTTATATACTGTGGACACGTCTCCCATTCCACCTGACTCTAACGTGAATCGAGAACAGCCATTTCCATTTCAAAGAAAATCAAAGTATCCAACCTTAACAAACGAAAATTTTATCAATTAGGAAATATGATTGGCCATTGGAGAAAAGAAGTATATAGAATGTGGGGAGTAGTAATGAAATATTATAATATGTATGTAATGTGTTTAGCAAGTGATTGTTAATATTGAATATTTAGGCTTTTGAGCACCAGTCTGATGCCCCTCTACAGACTGCTTCTTATTTAGCGGTAGCAAGTTGAATGCTGTCGGTTAAAATACCTGAACGCCTTAATGGTAATATACCGATAGTTTAGTTTTAATTATAGTTCCAAGTCTTGCTCCTAGATAGCGGTGACTTACTAACTTATGTAAATAAATTATATTTTAATGCTAGAATAATAATGGAATAACATTGTAAAACATGTATGTATGTATTATGTACCTAGTTAATTAAAATTAAATAAAAAAAGAGCAAAACCAGTTTACTATTAATTAAAAATGAAGTATCGATAATTTAATCATAAGTTTTATGTAAAGCGCGCTTCTATTTATTAGAGCATATTTATACAAATTCATGATTCTTTATTAATGATAATAAACGATAGATTAAATCAACTTTTTACAAGCTCTCTTCTTTATTTTTCTCACACTCTCTCATCCTTACACGCCCTTTTTCATATACATTCGTAAGTATACGTTTAAAAAAATTCGGACAAAATTTATCGCTTAAATAGTCAGATATTTCGTAATTAATCGACAATTCGATTTCCAATGATTTTTTAACATAATCCATTAATTGATACAAATTTTTCATGATTATTTCAAAGAGGAAATGAATCTCACATTAATAATTCAATTTTTAAGAGAGAATATGCGATACAAATTCATTGAACAACAAATACCTTAAATAATAATATATACATTTATGTCGATCGATAAAAAAAATTCGATCGAAATTCACAATTACATTTTTTATTACTTAGAATTTTTATAACTGAGTAACTCGTTTACAGAATTATTTCTCTGGCCAATCTTCGGCGATGTTATATTAAATAATAATGGCGAAAAGACGTATCAAAGAATTTTTTAATTAAAAATTTACAATAATTCCCCATATTTCAAAAATTAATTTATTATAAAATGAACCAGCATTTAGTTAATATTTCTAAATGAAAATTTAAAGTTACAGAATCAATTGCTTAGTTAAAGTTTCATATTTTGTAATGAAAATATACATAAGATAAATATAAAAGTATTATAATATTTGTATTCGTTTTTAAATACACATGTTCGCCAATTACACATTAAAAAGAATTATTTTATGGTGAAACCCCTTTCAGCCTGCTGATTGACCAATAATGAAATAAATCTCTATTTTTAATGTATTGAATTTGTTGATTGATTGTATTTCTGTTTTGAGAACATTTATGGAAAAAGAATTTCAAGATCATCGACATCGGAAAGAGAGAAATCAGAAGAATCAGGTGATCTACTATAATCTGTTATATCTCCTCCGGCATCGTCTCCATCGACTGCATCTTCATCATCGTCGTCGTCGTCGTTATTCTCACTATCGTTTCGCTCATTTTCATCACCATTCTCTTCTGCTACCACATCTGCGTTGTCTGCGTCTATTTAAAAACCAATTTCATTTCATATTAACAAAAAAATTTCTATCATATAATGCAATAAAAAAGGTATACATAGAAATTTATATGTTAAAGTCGAATTCAATATGAATTAAATCTGAAAAAATTAAAAATTTCAATTAGAGATATAGTTCAAACATAATTAGAATAATTTATAGTTAACTCAAAATTTTAAATAAATATAAGGATTTATATTTAATAGCTACCTCTTTAAAATTAAATTATTCGTATTAAAAATAAATTTAAAAAAATATTAATTGAAAGATTTTTAAATTAATAGCAGATTCTTACCATCAGCATTATTATCGTCAGAAGCCGAGTTTGAGCCATCATCATCGCTTGCATCAAGATCATCTTCATCATCATCTTCATCCGCTTCGTTCTCATCATCTCTTCTTCTTCCAACATCGTACAGCCTAACGCAGGATTCTTGGATGCTATCAAATTCACCTTGATTTTCAACGATTGCTATTTGAGTGTCAAATTTATTACAAGCCAATCCGTAAATTCCTCTTTTGACATCACAAGTTGCTGTAATTATTTAATCATTATAATTTATTTGATTTTCAAATAGGATAGAATACGTTAAAAATCCAGAAAAAATTCATGATCACCTACCGATATTATTGTAATCTAAAGCATCTAACGTTTTAAATGAAGTAACATAATGCGATTCATCTCCATTTTCTTGATCTAAAGATACAGCATATATAATGTTATTAACTGGAGAAAAAATTACTTCCATCTGATCAAGCGTTGGTACTGTTTTTAAGAGATGAAAAGTTCTTAAATCCCAAACTTCTGTATTCGATACTACCTCAGTGCCTGTTAAAAATAAAAATTTATTATCCGATATTAATATATTATCTTATGTTAAATAAACAAATTATCCACAATGTTTAGTAATTTATACATTGGCGTAATTAGGTGGGGACTAGAGTGAGCCTGAAAGGTGTGGATTGGTTCCTTCACCATTCTGAACTTTTAAGATTTCAAAATTTCAAACTTTCTAAGGGTTCTGTGACACCCTACAGAAAATCCTACTTACGCCAATGAATTTATATGTAAATACCATTTGGATGAAAAACTCCATTAAGTGTTTGATTCAGTTTATCGAACTTGTGAATTTCTTTTCCTGAATTTACATCCCAAAGAATTCCATCGCTGAGAACCAATTCATCATTCATACTAAATGTTGCACGATTTTTGGTGTATTGATTGGAAATTGAAGGGGTAAGGGTACTTAATAATTTTCCAGTAGCTATGTCATAAATCTGAAAATTAAAATTACAAAAATAATGTCAGTAATTACTCTTACTGTACTCATTCGTGATATTATTATTTTATAGGAAAAGAAAATACATACAGTTGCACTTTCACCTTGGGTTCCAATAATTCTGTCTTGAAGTTTACCGAATTCGACATAATCCTCATTTTCTAAAGATAATTTCAAATCAAAGAAGGTTCCTATACTCCACAATGCAGACATAGGACTTCTCCATGCGGTAGAAGTTAACAATAAATTTCCACGTTGATTACATTCCATGTGATAAACATAAGATTCATGACATGGATACGTTGCTTCCTCTAGCCCTGTATGCGCATTAAACATTTTTACATCTCCTGCGTAAGTACCTAACATTAAATATTGCTGGCAGGGCTGAAAGAATATTGAAATACTACATTAGTAATGCTTTATATTATTGCAAATAAAGAAAATGTAAAGATTTATCCATTGGGATAACTAGTATTCTTTCCCTGAAACAGGCTGGAATTCTGGAATTTTAGAATTCTAAACTTTCAAGTTCTAGAATGGTGAGAGGCTCTTACCTAATTACGCCAATTTAATAGAAAACTCATCTTACCGAAAAGATACAACAGGTAAAAGTTCCAACGTCCGTAGGCCGGAAAGTTTTAACAGGACAAAATCGGCTATAAATATGTCTTCTATCCAATCTCCTACCATCTATTCCTAATGCTCTTCTAGCCAGTCTTACTGTTACATTTGTGGGAATTGAATTTTTTGTACAAGGATCCGGACACTTATGAGGTCTGTATAATTAAACAAAATATTATTACAAATAAATAAATTTATGAATGATTTCATTCACAATTCTTTATAAGCAATACTTACTCAAAGAGATTAAATTGTGGACAAGTAACCATAGGATTTTTACACAACGCGTGTTGATTTGTTAAATATTCTGTAATAATAGAATCCAACGTTACTGTAGATGGATTTGATGTAGCAACTCCAGGTCCACCACTTCCAGGATCCCTTGAAATTTGTTTCTGTAGTGATCTACACACAGTTGGTTGCATAAATGATTGACAATTCATTGAATTGACTAGAGGCTGTTTATCAACTTGATTTTTCCTAGAAAAAGAAATTCTTTTTTAGTATCAACAAAGTATCGTATGTACTATAAAATGTCTATTTACTTTTGGTTAATTTGCAGTTTAATTGGTTGATTTGTGATATTCGGAACACCGTTTTGAACGAGGCAGTCAGAAAGTTTCATGCGTATGTTACTTCCAGAAGATAAAGAGGATGATCCGGAGCCTGCATTTGAATGGGACAAAAATCTAGACGAACTAGGAGTGGTACTATTTCGAGAAGACACTTCTCTCTGAGTACATCTACTCGTATTATATAAGTTAACCGGAGCTCCAGGAGAGAATCCATTTCTTGTTCCAGTAGCCACAGGATTTCGATAAGTAAATGGTTGATATGTAGAAATCGATTTCATTATTGCGGATGAATATAAATTTGCTTCTCTGTGAAGTGTCGAAGCAGTTTCTGTTAACCCTTTCGATACTAAATGTTGGTATATTAAATGATTCAATTGTTGCTCGTTATATTGTATTCTAGTTTGGGCTACTACGTTTGCTCGATGTAAACTGGCCAAAGAAATTTCATATTCTGCTCCGGTAGGTTTTGCTTTCCCAGAAACTCTTTCCATTAGCTCTAAAGCATATTTCTGAAATGTAACGTGTTCCTGTCTTTTCTCTTGGAGTATAGGATCCTTCATAAGAGCTTGAATCTGTCCATCGGTAAACATTGGAAGTTTACTAATTATCTGTCTTACTTTCTCACTGCGTGCTAGCCCCGCTAAAGCACGACACGCCAATGCTCTTATGCTATCCGCATCAGTGATAGGTGTTTTAACCATCATCAACTGCAGCAAAACCATTATTCCATTATTTGATCTCACGCTTTCCCAAATCTTTTGTATTAACTCTTCGCTATTATTAATATTTGCTTTCTTCTTAGCGGAGCCAGTTACCGAGTATCTGGCCACGTTTCCACCAATCCTATTTATCGGAGCGCAGACACAGTTAATTACAGCTCTTAACGCAGCTCTTTGTACATCAGGATCTGCGATGA